ATGGATGGTGAGCGCATATGTTTGTAGATGATGCTGTATGGCTGTTCTTTAATGAGCATGCATACAGAAAACTCACAGTCACATCTTCACTCTCAAAATAACTGATGGTTTTTTTACTTGTTAATGGTGGGCAGAGTTGCTCATTGTAAGTCGGCACTGGATAACAAACAGGCGAGCTCTGACATCGAGGATGATGAACACATCTATGATTAGGTTCATAACAAAGGCTATTGTGGTCACACATAGCTAGTTTGAAACAGTCTGCCAAGAATTCATAGCTACAGATGCCAACGTTAATAGTGCCTGGAATATGCAAACAGACACAAGCAGCATTTGTTGAACATTTAGCATATTGAGCAATTCCATGGCATATTTGAGATTTGACTTGAACAAGCAATACACTAAATAGAGAAAAAAAGAATAAATCTGTAAAACTTTAAAGAAAGATTTCTCGGTGTTCAGTCCGTAGAAAAAGAATAGAACTACCTGCATAGAATGAGCAAGAAACAGGAGATTGTTTTTGTAGACATCGTTTTTGTTAAAATGAAATGCAACAGCGACAGCGCACACATCTTTATATATGATGAATAGTTAATCTTTCACACATTCGCCGAAAGTGAAAAACACGACTTAATCCTTCTATAGTTAGAAATTCGATATCGTTCCGATACTTTCGTCACAATTTAACATTGCTCTGGAAATTAATCCTGACAGTAGGAAAAGAACCCAATTAAAAAAAATGATTGAAACAGCTCGTTTCAGAATGTGTGCGTGTGGAGGACTGAATGTAATTCCCACCTACTGGGCCTTGTCCCAGTTGACTTAGATATTTTAGACACAACATTGGATTTTAATATTCTAAAATACATGTTTTTCCGAAACAAAATTATTTCTATAACATTGGTGACATGCCATTTCAATTGGGCACAATGAACCATAAGATTATAAACGATATAAAAATATGATGATTGTGCATTAGTAAATAGACTTTGAAATTGGTTTTCAATTTAGCATGACATAATCGTTGCCAATACAACTAATCACTTCGAAAGTACGAATGATAAGACAGGTGCAAGTTACAATTGTTTTTGTCTCAATAGTTTATTTTTATGGCCTTTACCTATGTTTTTCATCAAGATATCACTCGAAGAAAAAGCTGGCAGCAAGAGTTACAATCTGATGAAGGGTAACCTGAGGGAAAAGTGTACCATTGTATTATAGTGGGAAATTACATTAAACAAAGCGACATGGAAAACTAGGGTGTGGGTGAGAATATATATATCTTTATGTAGCNGGCCTTTACCTATGTTTTTCATCAAGATATCACACGAAGAAAAAACTGACAGCAATAGTTACAATCTGATGAAGGGTAACCTGAGGGAAAGTGTACCATTGTAGGGTGTGGGTGTGGATGTGAGTGAGAATATATATATATCTTTATGTAGCTTGTATGGATTTATCTGATCATCATTGAAGTATTTAGTTATTTTTGAGAAAACAGCTGTTTTTTTTTCGTAAAAAAATTATAATCGAATATGGCCACAAAAGTGATACTTATCTGGTTACTCGTCATCAGCATCAGTAATATGACCATGCACTTGTTATCATCGAAATCTCACGAGAAAGTCATCCATCACTTATTGTATATTTCGACATCATTAAAAAGAGGCTAATTCGAACTATTTAGAATTATTAGTGCATAGTTCAACAATCAATTAAACCAAAAATCATTTATGTTGGACAAAGAGAAATAATCGTATCATCATTTTATTGCTATGGGATCTCCTTACACAAAGGATAGCTATTGAAAATTCTTCGCAGGTTTCCATCAACCTACTAGAACAACACCTTTCGATTAAATTAAAGAATTGTCAAATATTTTTTTTTCTAATCATATATCAGATGTGAAAATGATGGTGGAACATTGAGATGTGATATTAAAATTCGATTTTTTTGTTCAACGAAGCAGTTTCGAATAAATTCTTTTTATATGCGAAACGAGATAAATGTTTTTAACATGAATAAGCATTTTGTATAATTTGAAATTGTACACGTCTAAATAAAGTAAAACTTTCTTTTATATCGATCATATGAATCTTGAGAAAAATCATTCTATCTATTTTTTGCTACTGCGATTTTTAAATTTTCAATGAATCATAATTCAACATATAATGTGCAGAATATGTCTTAGTAATATTGTTTGAAATGAAAACAAGATTGGATTTTTTTCTTCAATTCTATTGAAATGAAAAAAAGATTAAATCAACGACCTACAAGCTCATTACTTTGTTGTAATATGATGTAAAACATCCATTGCACCAGATATCAATGTTAGTTTCGAAAATATATGACTTTACTACTTTGTCGAACATAATTCAAAATATAAATCAGATGTGTGTTCTATATTCTAGATCACTTGTGATCCGACAAATCTTTCTTAACTATATTTAAATTCATCTTAAATTGAATGAATGCTTACTTATCAAGTAATGAAGCTATGTGTAGACTTCGATCAAAAAGTAGGCATACTAATGCATGAGTTAAGTTTCAAACAATTTCAAGAAACATTATTGTCATTTGTTCAAGTGCTGATTTATGAACACTTGCACCTATTTTATTACGATCAGTGAATATACTATGAACAAGGAGAAAATTTTCAATCTAAAACTAAAATTATAGAAACAAAGAAATTCTATCATAGATCAAGTAATTTGTCGACAGGATAAAATTCATCAAGTAGTCTTATACTATATGAGTATTTGCTTGCAGATAAACAACACATTGACGATAACCTGCTGTTCGAACACTAAATAAAAATACATTGATCAATGGATAATGTTTTGGATTCAACAAAAGTTATTTTTCTACTTTTAATTGTCGTAAAAGTATTGCAATATTCATTTGATACTTATAATTTTGATTGAAGAAGAAGATGAAGAAGAACAGCTAATCGACAATAATTCGAAACTTTAGAAAAATATAATTAAATAAATTCTATAGAAACAAAAAATTACCTCCTCAGACCATTCTATTGTATGTAAAAAGGTTGAAAAAAAACTATAGATTGTTCAACTTTGAAATGTATCATTGATTGTTAATTGTTGTTTAATTAATCAATGTATAATCGACAGAATAATATGCAAACTAAAACATACAGAAAATTAACTTTAAGAAAATTCCATGTTTTCATATCATACATTCATTGTTGCATAGAGTTATGTTTGCCAAATAGATCTAATGTTTCGATAATAAACCATAACAGAAATCCAATATATCAAATGGTGATGGTTGATCAACTTGTGGAGATTCGTCGTATTTTAAAGACCTAGAAAATATGAATTGTATAGCAAAGCAAAATGATTCAACATTACCATTTGATGTTGCTGAATTGATTGATGAAACATATCGAGTACTTGTTCATGTATTATTAAAATCATAAAGAATTCGTTCCTTTAGAGCATTTAAATTTGAAAGATTTCAAAATAAAATGATGATTTTTCGATCTATTGCCATTATAGATAAATCGAAATTTAAACAGGCGAATGATGAAATCATTTGCTTCATCATTAAATGTCATTTTTGGAATGAGACGAAAGTGGACCGAACTCGACGGCACTGCAGTGTCGAGACGATCTGTGGCACAGGTCCGAGTGAACCCGGGTGATCCTGGCTGATGTCCAAAAATCCGCTTGAAAGAGCCTGGCTCCAATGGGGCCAACGCCGGCTTTCAAACCGACGAGAACAGATACTACATTTTGATCTTAGCCGAAAAGGCCGAGAAGCGATAACCACATTGACGACCAGAAAATCACGAAATTGCGGCTGCAATGACACATTGCTCACTCCAAGGCTCGCACAGAACAGGAAAAAAATGAAACGCGTAACTCGGTTTCGATTGAGAATGTAACTGGAGAAAAGGAGTATATTTAATGCGATGCGAAGCGATGATCTCAAGAACGAATTTCGCTTGATGCTCGTTGAAACGATTTTACTAAAATTAAGATCTTTATATGCTACAAATTTTGTCCGATCTCTCCCGTCAAATTTGGCGTGGACAAAGTAGAATGTGGATCATATTTTTCACTTAGTCGATTTCATGCAGTCAGACTTGGCGTGGATTTAACCATGATTAAAAAGTTGACGATTAAATTCATAAGCTTTATTAAACATTGAAAATTCCTTAGCCTAAAAATCAATAAATGTTTAATAGCCAATCATTTAAATAAAAGGCCGCATATGTTTACTTATTGATGCTGAATTGTATGAATGTAAACATCGTTGCTGTTACAATGAGACAAAATACTGGTGGTTACACTATCTAACTTCAAGGCTTTTCTCGGTTGTCAAGTTTTCGTGGAAATGGATAATGCAATCAGATAAAAACCTTCGTATTGCTTACTGTTTATAAATGATCAACATTTTCATTCTCAAATTCGCATCCTTAGTTTTTTTTTCTATAACGAAAATTTGAATAAAAAGATTCAGCAGAGTTTGATTCGAACGCAAACTTAAATAATTGTATATTTTAGAAAAAAACAAAGGAATGAAACTTGCTGGAAGTGATCTAAATTGAAAAATCAAATATATCTCTACTCATAGATTGAAATCAATGGAGTGTTGAAATACAATCATGAAAAAGATGCATCTACCTTTTTAAAATATGAAATACTTTCAGATTTGTTCATTAATACCCTAGGACTATCACATAAAAAGGCGAAGCAAAACGTATGTAGTTCATGTTACTAATCGTCATACTAATTCAAAGATATTGATATTTTACCCATGTTCTTCTTATTATGCAAGTAGAGAAGCTATAATCCAACTGAATTTTAATAAACATGTTTGTTAAAATATGATTCTCTAATTCTAAGTACATTTTTTTCTGTTTTGATGGCATATTGATTTTATTCAGTTCTTATATGATAAATTAGAGTTACAGTTTATTACTTAAAATTATGTGTTACCCAAATATAATTTAATTCATACATCATAGAAAAAGTATCGAGTGACTTTACGAATATTGTGTCTGGTGAGATTCACTGCATACTTTGAAACGAAGACTAGTTGTTGCACTTTAAATTGACTGTGGAATGCAATTACTTTTTGAAGTATAGGATATTTTACCGTTTCTATCTATTTCCAATGCTAGAAATTCTAAAATAAGTATGACGCAAGATGGTGATGCTCTACGAATTAGCAAGTTGTTACTTTGAACGACTGAGTTTCGAGATCAGAAATGCTTCGATCTAAATGAAGAATGTTCTCCTATTTGTTTGTGAATAAATTTCAAATTATTATCTAGGATCAAAGAATCTAACATATTTATTGTTTGGTAAATTTCTTGCACTTGCTAACTCTAATTTATGTATCATTACAACAATTATTTGTTGATAAGTATCATTACAACAATTATTTGTTGATAAGTATCATTTACATAATATTCTGGGAATTGAACTCGACAAACTTAAACAGATTCGCTTATTTAAGTTGATTATATTCATTTTTTTATTTTTTTTATTTAACGAGTTCTTTCAGTAAACAAAGTAAAGGTATTTTTGTCTGTGTTGGTCATGTCCTATCATTGAATTTTTCTCCACAAAATTTATCGATTGGATGATAATGTGAAACTTTACGCTGCTTCTACAATAATAATTCATCAGATGTATTCACATTTTAATTAAATTAGATATTATTAAGCATGCCTTTTTTCGTTTTACTTCGAAAGTACGATCAGACGTTATCTTTAGGAAAGAAAACAAATTACTTTTTGAGTATAAAATAATTTGATACCACTGGTTTTGTTCAAGACATTCTGTAAATTCTATTATATCCCGTGGTGAAAAATAAATGTTACATTAACGATGTTTACATGAAAATTAACAAAGTTGCCTTCGACCTAAACATATAGAATTTCATGAAACAAACCGCTCAATTTTATTAACTAAAAAAAGAAGTAGAAAGATGGTATTTATTTTATCATAAATATCAGTAGTGACTAACAATTGAGTTAAGTTGAGCACCTCATGATTCATTGATCGTTTCGTAGTGTAGACTAAGAAAAAATACAATTGGAAAAGGTAAAACAATTTCAAATGTTTTGCCCGCAGTAATAATAAAAATAGTTAATCAATGAAAAGTTTCATCAATATCATCTTCTTGCATAAATATAAATTTTATGTATTCGTTTGCGAGAGTTAGAGTCATTTTTGATTCAAAAAAATGAAGTTCAGTCAAACTATGAAAACATCGGATTAGATACAATATAAAATACAAGAACTGATATTTTCATTATGTTCTGATTTTTCGAATAGTACAGTCGTGAATTAGAAACTACTATATTTTGTAAGAAGCTAAGCTAGTAGCACTTCACCCAGTCAAAAGTAATAATAAATACAAAATCAACAGAATCGATTCCTATTGAATAGATTAGAATTAAATGAAAAAGTTTTGTAAAGCCGAAAAAACCAGTTTAAAATCTGAGCAAACGACTGTTATTATGTCGACTATTTCATAGTAGCCGTGAAGTTAGTTTGTCTTGTAAATAAATATTGATTTAAAGTAACTGATTTTGATCATCTGTCATATGCTCATTGACGTGTTGATTCCGATCATGACGATTCATGTTTGTTGAAAATAACATAAAACATATAGGACATTTTTCATTAGAATTATCATCCTTGTTTAGTTTGTTATTTGAAGTGAAATCACTGTGGGTTGGTTGTTTATCTTCTTCTTTATCTTGCATCTCAAATGTGTGTCGATTACTAAAAACAATATTAAAAGTATTATAACAAGGCAATGTTACAATGCGCAGACACACTTTATTTGATTTGAATTCGAAGTTGTTGAGTTATGTGATAAACTCGCTTTAGAATCATCTTTATTTTCTGTTTTCTTAGCTTCATTCTTGGCAAGCCGTCGTCGACGTCTGTGATCGTTTCGTGCATTCAGATCCATCTTTTCTAATCGTTGCATTTCTTCTTGATCTTCTATGGTGACCACTTGTGGATACTCCACTTCACGTTGAACAAATTGCAATATTGCAACTTGAAACTTTAACGATTGACATGCATCGCCTAACTCTTTAAAAAGTTCTCCATGTTGTGCATGATGGTACGTATTGGCTATTTCAACGGTTTCTTTGTATTTTTCATCAAAAACGGGTCTTAGACGATCGTATTCATTGATAATAAGAACTTTTTGTTTTTCCGCGTGCTTTTCGATTCGTTCATTCCAATCATGATGCCATTGATTTATACTATCAATAGATTTTTGTCGTTCAGTATTCAAAATTTTCCAATGTTGATAGAATATTTTATCAATTTTATTTACATAAGCATTGGCATTTGGTAACCAAGAGCAAGGTGGAGTGATGAAAGTGCTCGTCATGTTGTGAAAAATCTGATAAAAATTGTTTTCGTAAGTATAATCTCAAATAAACCTATTCGACTTTTTGTAATTACAATAAATGCATTGCTAGTCAGAAACGTTGTTCTTCAGTTATTTATTCATATAGCAAGAGAAATTTACTTGAATGAATAAGAGAAAGTTGGAAAAAAATGCACTCTATCAAAATATTTGTTGACAAGCAAACACGTTATAAGAGCAGACATGAAAATTATCGGTACGCTTTTTTTTACCTGTAGTCATTGTAAAACAAGTTTTCTTTTCTCTAACTGGCAGATGGCAAACAGTACCTTGAGTGTTTGTTTTTGAGCATATAGAAAATTTTCATCGAGACAAAACACAAACACAAAAATGAAAATCATGAAAAAAGAATCTGAACAATTGTCAATTTCACCTTTCACGGAATTAAAGATCACCAATACTTTATGTTAGAGTAAATTTTGCATGGAAAACAAATCGGATACCTGAAAACATGAAGCTCAATATTCGTCCACATAAATAAATATGCATACATTGAATAACAAGATAGCATTAGCAAAGTTTCTTTTTCACGACAACAATCTTCACATGTATAGAAAAAAAATCCATTATACTTCTGGTAATTACACAAAGAAATACCAATAGAGAATTTATCCCTTCAATGATGAAAAAAGTATGCATTTTGATATCAAAACTTGACGAGTTCAGTATTATTACTATCTACCATATGTTGATCGATATGTTCATACCGGCTTTGACGTGTCATATTGGTCGAAAATATCATAAAACATATAGGGCATCTGTTATTTGCATCATCATCATCGTTTGTAGTCGTTGTAACTAACATATTGTTACCGTTCATGGTCGTATCATACGCACTCGAGGATGAAGTCGCCAGTTGTTCTTCACTGGAAAAAGAAAGAATGGCAATCATGACACAGTATGAGATTTGAATGTGTAACTTTACCGTATTCCGTTTGGAATGGATGGAATTGAATTAATAAATGCGCTAGAAGTATTATTTTCATCGCGTTTTCTCATCTGAATATTTTCGTCAGTTGGTCGTCGTTGATGATTTTCGCATTCAAGCGTTGGCGTCATGTTTGCATGGAGCTTATTTCTTTCTGAGTAATTTTCAACTGGTGCCACTTGTGGACGTGGTTGTTGTTGTTGTTCATCAAGAATATATTTTAATTCTGCCACTTGAAACTTCAACAATCGACATGTATCACGCATACCATTGAATACATCTTTCTGTTTTGAGTTATGATAAGCCTTAGCTAGGTTCAAATAATTTTCACGTTCCTGATTGAAAATAATTCGTTGATTATTGTAATGCATATTGAGAATACGAATTTGTGTATCTGCATACATTCCGATTTTGCGAATATTTTCAGAACGCCAACTATTAATCGCGCCAATCGCTTCGTCGGCGTATTTCTTCAATTCTTCCCAATGGCTATAGAATATCTCACGTATTTCATTCTCTTCTTTACTACTCCTATAGCTATGTCGATTTGGCTCATCAAAAATATTGCTCATAATTTACGGAAATCTACAATATGATAAATAGATGTATTAACTATGATTAAGATACGATGTTAGAAGAAATCGGAAATAAATTTAGGTATTTTTCCCACACTAATCATTTTTATTTATCAAATTCTTTGTTTGGATATTTTTACTTCTGAAATAAGCAAAGGAAAGAAAAATCTAACATGAAAAATAAAAAAAACAGAACGTAAAGAAATTTCACTAACATAAACAATGAGTAGACAAGAAAACATTAGGAAGAAAACTTTCATTTCAGTCATTTTTTCGACTAACGTAATTCAAGTACTATCAAGTATATTTGCACATGAAAATGAACATGCAAAATTCAAACGTACGTCCGTAGATTCTCGCTGCCTGAGTAGTCAAGCGCAAGATGATAGGAAAGTAAAACACGAATGTTTCAACCAGTCAAATGACTTTTATCGAAAAGATCAACAGAAAACAAAATCTTTCCTATAGATGCCTCGTTTTCGAGCCATCATGCTTATTAAATAAATGTAGATGAGTAGATTTGTCGAACATCTAAAACTAAATATGAAATGGTTTTCTTCTATGACAGTGATATTTTCAGGTTTTTCAAACATGCGAAAGGAACAATTTGATATGTCTGTGTTTTTCATGACTTAATATTCAATAGATTTTTGGCTGCTTTGTAATAAAAAAACAAACATAAGATGAGTAATTATAAACCACTCCACTGAAGTAACAGTGTAAAGGTGATATTTGTAAATCATTTTCCTAAGAAGTTTCATAAAATTAAAATTCACCTGACTGTTTGAAAATGTTAATTCTGTCAGACTTGCCATCGTCCAAGCACTCATTATAAATGCGTATCTAATGGAAGATAGAACTTGTGCACATGCACAAATATTTTCTAGACACTGTGTTTAGTATACTGTTTCATTTTAGAAAGTTATCACTCAAATCTTCAAAAAGCAAATGGCTAGATGTTGAATGTTTACATAAGCGCTGCTTTATATGATTATCAGCGACCTATCTTCGTCTGCGGATACATTCTAGAGTAGCTGTGACAAATGATTCTGCTTAGTTTTAAAAAAATGCTTGTTGGAAAATTCAAGAACATCCTTTAATCATGGAGGTTTATAAACACACTGGCTATTTTTTACAACAAGATAACAGAATGTCATCGAAGAATAGCATTGTGTTTTTTAGATACAGTTCCTAATATAGATATTAGAAAGAGACTATCCAGATTGTGCACTATTCGATTGCCAAATAATTATTCCGGAACTGTTAGTCCATATCAAATTGCCTGAATCAAGTATTGAGAAACAAAATGGAAGGCCAATACCACCATTATTGATAAAAGGTGTCCATACATAGCCACTAGGAAGCGTATAAACAACAAGATTACGATCTGTTTGTAACGCAAGGTAGCATGTACCGGATGTTGATGTTTGGCTAGCTGTCCAGATTGCTGTCGAAGTGACGTTATCATAGCCATACGCTTTGTATATCCCAAATTGGTTGTTTAACATTCCAGCTGCATAGATTTCGGAGGTAGGTGAATAGATAAAATCATTGTTATACAGTAATGCACTGGCAGTACTAACGCAAATAGATGATGATGGAGCTGGAAAAAAAGAAAAGTTTTGTTAGAGATACGTCATTGAGATTGAAATGTGAAACTCGTTTATCTAAATGAATTTGTTTCAACATTTTATTCAAAAAACTAATGTCGCGCATTCGCTAACAAAGTATATCAACTGCATGGCGTATGTTCTAAATATCGAACAACATATCTTTCGAAAATGATTTAAATTTTTCAACTGTTATTCATCGTTTCGACAATTGTGTTTTGAAGGTGAATTATTCAATCATGATTCATATGCCTCAGTAGGTTTTATTATACATGAATACATCTCTATGTTTCTATTGTCATGTATTCGGAAATTTTCTTGCTATTCCGATAGGTATCTTTCTATGATGGTGGTTGTCATACATTCGATCTGTAACGAGTTACTCAAAAATAGTCCCACAGGAAAATGCCCAATTTAACAAAATCAACGAATATTATTACCTGTGGTAGTTGACGTTGTTACAGTCGTTGTCGTCGTGGTCGTGGAGGTGGTTGATGTTGTGGTTGTCATTGTTGTGGTCGTCGTGGTCGTTGTTGTGGTAGTGGTTGTGGTTGTTATGGCCGTTGTGGCCGTTGTCGTTGTGGATGTTGTTGTTATCGCGCCGCTCTCAGCTGTAATTTATGTTTTCGTCAGTAATTTTATGAAGATAGTTGATATAAATCATATATAATTTAAAAGGGGATTGTGATTTTAAATGTAAACGGTACGTTTAGATTCGGATCAAAGGAGCTGAATAGTATTATTCACATACTTGTGAAAAATATTGATGTCAATGTTTCTGTGTTTGTCGAGATTGCTTGTTCAATAAATTAAATATATTAGATCAACATGAGCAACGATTTCACTGGCGAACGATTATTGTTGGAGAAAAACAACTACAATCTATTAGACATTTTTCCCTTTGTAATATCTACTTCTACTCTTGTTATTATGCAGTCGAGTAGGATGTATGAATTCTAAATTTGGACTAATCGAATCATCATATGTTCGTTAGTTTATCTGGTGCTGATGTATTTATGTATAGCACACAACGATGCTAAATCTGTTTTTTTTTCATCGTCAGTATGCTTTCTGTGAAAAGTATTTAAAAATGAAAATCACCTAGTAGTGGCATTTCATTTTAGTTGTAAATTATTTATCTTGGTCTTGGCACTTACCGATGAGTACTAAACTTGCCACTAATGCTGCAAGCAAAACTGATCCCAAAATGGCACCTATGAGGGCGTAACAACACCATGGTTTCATATAGAATTTGCTATATTTTAACAATTCTAAATCAGTTAATCAAAATTAGATTTAGATAAAAAAAAAGAAATAACTAAATTATTGCGTTTCCTACTTTTCTTTTCTTGATCTTCATTGTTTTTTTGAATACGATTGTCAAATTGAAAGTCATCTCGCGACGACTTATCGGGTAGACTAAATCGTGTATCGGATTCGTCGCTTAGTGGTGTAACTTTATTTTTAATTGAAGTCGACGACAAAAGATCTTGTCGTGATATCCGATACGCCTGCAATCGAATATCGAAATATATCAGAATGTGTATGAGAAAAGTTTCTTTAGAAATTCAACGATACTGTAAACATTTTCTAACTACAGTGATTCAAATTTCAAAATGGATTTTATATCAGTAAGTTAAAATGTTAATGAACTTACGAAACTTATGTTCATCATCACGAGTAACAAGAAACATTAGAACTGACATGCACATCCATCATTGATCGATGGATCATATATGCAGGCAAGGGGGAAAACAATGAGATCAAATATAGAGCGACCTTTAGGCTTCGTTTCTAACACAGTAAAATATGACAAGTTTTTAAAACTATCTATAGACGATTCATTTCTAATTAGAAAACGTATAAGTATGTTACTACTAAATGAAACTTTAAAAAGACTATTGTATAATAGATTTTTTTTGAAGCACTTTAATAGCGATTCGACTGATATCTCGAATGAGTGTGTTTCTGTGTGTATCGAAGCAAACAATTTTTGATTAGACTTTCAGATGAATGTAAGTTTAAAACAGAGCACCTATTTGATTTCCTATTAATTTGATTAAAAAATCAGTAAACTGACTACGAACTAGTAAGATACTAGTTGATGATGTCATTATGTATCCATCAAAACGTAATTTAATAAGTCGTATCCAACAACGTTTCATATTCTATTTCATGACTTCTTCGCTAAACTTAATGTATTGGAATTTTACCAAATAAACTGTAAATTGTACTCTGGTTTACAAATAATTAGCGCCCCTTATTTCGGATTGAATGCATAACATCAGACTTTACCTACATGCGATTAGATTTCAGCAACAATGATCAAAATTAGTTAGTATATGAACATAGTTTTATCCATGTTTCTTATCTTTGAAATAGTTCAATACTGTGTTTTTGAAAGCAGTAGGATTATAATTTTTTAAATAATCTTCACTACATTCATAAACTCAGGCATGACTTTACGGATAGTCTTTTACACAGTCAGGCATGTTGAATTTTATTCAAAAACATCGGTTACCTGACTTGCTCTATTTTGACGGTTTAGTTTTTGACTTGATCTTTTCACATGAACTGATTCCCGTAACATCTTGGTCTGTTCATTTGATGTGCTGTTGAACGATCCATTTTTAAATGATACTGGTTTTATGTCTGATTGACTCACTTCTTGTCTGGCATTTTTAGTGCTATTCAACGGACTTAGATTGCTTTTCTGATGTTTCAATGATGGAGCACTTTTCTTTGATTGGCTCGCTACTTTAATTATTCGTTGCAGTCCGGTCGATGAATGTCTTATTATTTCGACGTGCGAAACTACTTTCTTTCGCTATTTAAATAAAGATGCCTAATCATATAGTTTAGTGCATTTTCATTAGATACATACCCCCATTGACTGTGTATCGATAGGATTTACTATGATTTCGCACTGTTTCAATGCCGTAGTTCACAAATTTTAACTGTGCTCGAGCTCTCCGGCGGAATAAATTTCCTATGTGCGAGTGCAAACTATAATGAAAGTTCGAAATGCATAGATGAAAAAAATAATCAAATAACAAAGAAGCCTCGTTTTTAATAACTTGCTGGAAAGAAAAAGAAAGGCCGATGATCAAATGGAAATATGTTACATTTTCATCCTATGATAGAAATGAGAGAATGATGGATATCCGTCACATCTCAGTAATGAGAGCCATTGATGTAGACGCAATTTTTAATTTGGTGGAACTGAGTGTATATGGATTCAACGACTTCTATGCAAATTCTTCGTATATAGTACCATTAAACAATTCATTTGAACATCAATGCCAATGTGTACCTGCAGAGACTTCAATTTAATTCTTCTTAGAGCTGAACAAATCGTATCGAAAGCATTCCAAATCGACCATAGAAACAAAAGCTATCTGAGTGTGTTGGCTTATCTGTCTAAAATTGTAGAATTAAAACAATGATTAACTTGAAGATGGCATACTTTCGGCAAAGATTAGACACTCATTTATTCCTACTAATCCACACGCGAAAAAAAAGGAAACAGATATTTTGTTTTTCGATTAAATTTTCATCCGAACAAATTGAATTTCTATGGCCAAAGCAATCAAAAATGGGTTTTTTTCTTGTATTCAAACTGAATGCCAATGCAAAGTATTAATTATTTCAAAAAGTTGCATATTTTTCCTCTAGATTAAAATAATTAAATACAATAATACTGACTTGCATCAAGCTTTGTGTAATCCATCGGATCGAGCTGAATTCTTACTTGTTCCACTTTATTTTTCTATGAGTTTGTTTAACGAATCCCAAGCTGTATTTTATCAAAGAACGTACAAAATAATCTGCGTATATAGAAGGGCTGTCATCGAAATACAATCAGAATGAAAGATAACGAGAAGCAAAACTAAATTTAAGTATCTTTCAAACGAGAATATTTATTAGAGTATGTGTCTATGTCTCTCGTTTTGGTTTTTCGTAATACATAAGCAACAAAATCAAAGAATCTTTTCTATGATTACCATGTTGTAATTGATTTTAATGACTCGACAGATGAGATTAAAGTCGAGAAGTATAACAAAGAATATTCACAAGTAACACAATGCCAGCCAGTAGGCTCAAAGGGTGCCATTTTTCTCAAATAATTTCTTCTATTTTATCATCAGCTATAAATACTAAGAAATGCATCTGGTCAAATATTGTTTCTAATACTTGTTCTAGACATTGAATACAAACAAGGGATCTGTACGTGCTTCTTGTTATAAAATCGCATTTTTACATTGAGGTACAAGCGACATATTCTAAACAGGTTCGAGATCTGTTATTTGATCCATATCACATGTACTATCTCACATGACGTCATTGTTGTGAATTTTTCTACGTACTGAATCTTGTCGAAAAAATATGACACGAAACTATACTAGATATGAAACATAATTGAGGATTTTAACAGTAAAAATCACACTTTTCATTGAATTTTTTTGAAGAATAAAGCTTAGCAAATTGTATTCATTACAGAAACGCCAACAAATGATCTAGTCAATCTAGATTACATACCTGTACTATGGAATGTTACAATTTCATCTCACCAGTACATATCATTTAAATATACATGTTTCGAATATACATTCGTCTTTCTGACTAGCTAGCGATCAGTCGCATTTTAGTTTTCCGTATTCTGCACTTAGTGCCCCCGTTCTTTTCTGCTCTTCTTTTTTCTCTATTTTTCTTAAAAACACCTCCTTTTGAGCCTTTTTTCGAGAATTTTTTCTTCCGTGTCTGAGTCAGTGCTCACAGACAGTTTTTAGGTGGTTTTCGGAAATGCCGCCGAAAAGAGGAGGTGGGGTTGCCGGTGGTAAGCAGCGGNAAAAATAATATTTTAAAATTCAAGTTTTAGATTAACATTTTATTGTTCGCCGCTTTTAATCATCTGTACAGTGTTCATTGGTATGTCGAGAACGGTCATCATGTTTCATTTTAATTGGAAATATCATACAACATATTGGACATTTGTTGATCGAATCATCGCTATTTAGAATGTTTTCTGTTGACTTATTGCTATCATTGATTGCTTGACTATCGATATTTGAAGATTCCGGTGTTAATGAATGTGAACTTCATAAAGACGAAGATCATCATAAGAAAAAAATAAAATCACAAAACAAACTTGTGTATTAAAACTTACGCAGTCTCAATTGTAATCGATGATGCCAATTTAATGTGCTGATCTCTACTCTCTCCAGTATGGTCATTTATATCATTAGTGTGTTCAATTATCGGCTTGTTCTGATCATTGTCAGACTTCGTCGTATCAATCTTCTCGAGCTTATTTCTTTCGATTTGTTCGGAAATAGTTATTACTTTAATAGCTTGCAGTGTAGTATTGATAGATTCAAGCTGTGCTACTTGAAATTCTATCGATTGACATGCATTGCGTAGTTCAGTAAATAAAACGACACTTTGGATACCACAATAGGCACGTGTTGTGTCAAGATTTTCTTCACGTTTCACATCAAGACTGATTCGCTGGCGTTCATAATCTTCTGCTAGAACACGTATTTGTTCATTTGCATAATTATTGATCTCATCGAGCAATCTTTGACGCCATGCATTTATTTCGCTAACACCAGCCATTAGACGATCTTTCAGTTTCTCCCAATGATTGTAGAATATCAGTCGAATTTCGTTTTCTGCATTAGTACTATCAGATAACCAACGGCAAGGTTCATTTAAATTGATATTCATAATGTAACAACTATCTATAATATCCCGTGAAATTTATCATTAATCAATGTATAATATGATGGATCACCACCTCTGAGAAATTCCAATCATGTTTTAAAGTTCAATATATTTTTAGTTCATAGTACTTATATTCTTCATTCATAGTTATTTATGAATTTGATGCACAGAAAGAAGAAGAAGAAGAAGAAGAAAAAGGAACTTGAACGGTAAAAATAACTGGAAAGAAATCGATTCTTTTAAATATTGTGTTGCCGAGCAAATAAGTGAAAGAACAGAGAATAGCTACTTCGACAACATTTTTTATTTCTTCATTTAAACATACATACAACAATGGCTAGCAGCAATCATCGAACAACTTTGTCTCCAAGTGAACGACAACGAACTAAAAGTCAATCATCTTATCGATCACAGCGAACAACACCAAATTCTATCATACACGAACAAGATGCTCAACGAGAAAAATCATCTTCACAAATATCACGGCAAAGTACTCGAGAAACAAATCCAGCAAAACGTTCAGAAAGTTCGACAAGTAATCGATCAACTAACATTGCATCTCCTTTATCGAATGCGTCAAGAAAACAAAGATCGAGTTCAAAATCAGCAAAATCACCAACAAATAATCGTAAATCACCGTTGAAAAGAAAAAAGAGACCAATTAGTGTAGTAAGCTTCGAAAGAGGACCATTATCAGAACCAAATGATTCTGAAAAACAAGATTTAAGTTCCCAAGGTCTTTCTATGGTGCCAGCAGAAATCTTTGAACGTAAGCTTATTAATATGTTTAACTATATGACTATGCTGCCTATATTATTTTCTTCTAATTAGTTTCTACTCTACGTCGATTAATACTATCAAATAATAATCTATCAGGTTTACCACCATCGATAAGTTCATTGGTTAATCTTGAATATCTTGACATATCACATAATCCATTACTTGTTAACAATGGTCACAATGATTATTCATGTTTTCCACGTGCATTAGAAAATTTAAAAAAACTTCAAGCATTAATTTTAGCTGAATGCGGATTGAAATATATTCCAGTTGCTGTTTGGAATGCAGTTAGCCTTCAAACACTTGACTTAAGTCGAAATAAAGTTGGTTATATTGTTGGTGATATAGGTAAATTAAATGTTTCGAAAATATTTTTCACAAAAATATAATAAAAGTATAAATATTTCAAACTCTAATTTTGCTAAAATTGTTTTCGAAATCTTAAAACTTCTCGAATATACAAATGTCTATACAAAAACAAAAAAATGTGTATTATTTTCTCCGTTTTTGTTTTTATTAACAGGTAATTTGATTGACATTCGACATTTTCGTTTATCCTATATGAATCTTGATACGCTTCCACCTGAAATTGGTTTTTGTGATAAAATGGAAACACTTGATTTAACAGGAAATCCAATTGATAATTTACCTGAGACCTTAGTTGAATGTCGGCAATTATATGAAGTAAAAATAAATTTCAAAACTTTCTATAAATTACTCGACAGTTATATGTTACAATTAATTAATGAAGGAAAAATTCGTTCGGAACATATACCACAAGTTATATTTGAACTGGAAAATTTACGTGTATTGGATTTAACAAATACAAAAATTAATTCTATTACAAATGAACATTTACTATTAAATCTTACAGAATTGTATGTAACGAATAATTCATTTTTCGATATACCTGAATCAATATGTACAATAGAAAAATTAAAAATACTTGATATGTCATATAATCGTATTCAAATTATACCAGAACATTTGGCTAGTATGCAAGAATTGGAAATAGTGAATATCTCCTATAATAAATTAACTATAGTTTCTAAGATTTTTGCTCGTTTCCGAGCACTAAAAAATTTAACTCTTAGTCATAATCAAATCGATATGATAGAAGAGAATTTTTCAAAAACTAAATCTTTATTATTACTCGATTTATCTTATAATAAGCTCGATCATCTACCTGATGAATTATGTGAACTCGAACAATTAGAAACACTTGATTTACGATACAATAAACTTGAATATCTGCCATCAAATATTCGTCGTATGATTGGATTTAAATCAATGAATACATTTAGTTATGGAATGCAACGTAGTGGACTTCATCTCTTAGGTAATTCAATTACTAATCCACCAAGTTATATATGGAAATCCACAAATATACAAACATTATTTAATTATATTGATTCTAAGGAAAAAAAATTGATAAATAATTTTTATCATCTAAAATTAATTCTAATTGGACCGAAAAATGTTGGCAAAACAAGATTAGCCATAAAACTTGTTAATAATCGGAAAAAAATGTCAAATACACGAACACCTATTGATATGTATGTTTCAATAATTCAACAAAGACCATCAAACAATAGTCAACCACAACAAAAAACAACAAGTGATGGAACATCCTCGATATCTATCGATCAATGGATTGAAAACCGTATATCAACCAGTAACGATCATCATTATAGTCGACAATTAAAAACTAAACGATTACATCCACCCCCACTTAAAACTTACCAATCGATGGAAACAAAAAGGTTGCTTGTATATAAATCAACACTGGTGACAAATAATAATTTTTATTTTACAATAATTGATATAGCAAGTGAACCGAGTTTTGAAATACTTTATCCATTAATATTTGATTCAAATGCTCTCTATATATTACCAGTTAATTTAACTACACTTTTAAATAATTCTGAAACTACCACTAGTTTAGAAAATCCAAATGAGTAAATATAAATGTATATAATAAATTTATACTAATAAAACTTCTATTCTATTTTAAGATATAACGATGAATCAGTAACCATTAATTTTGATCAATTATTGACAAATGATTGGTTATATAATCATATATTTCATTATCTAGAATTAATATCTGATCATTGTCAACAAGTATCCATTGCTATCGTTGGTTTAATTGATAGTACATCGACAGCAACGAATGATCAACAACAACAATTACTTGATGAAATACGATCAAAAGTAAATACATTTTTACTCAATCAAGGAGATCAACGAGAAAACATTAATCTTTGTTCGGATAATTTTATGGAACCAATTCAAATAAATGACGATGGAATAGAATCATCATTGATCGAGCAATTGGAAGCAGTTGCTCTACAATGGAATATTGTGCATCACAAACAAAAACAAGAAGTTATTAAACAACTTTTTACTTTTCTTAAACCTGATGCTTTAATTATTAATTATGATACATGTTTAAACCATTTCGAACAACACAAAGAAAACTTGTTAACTTTATCAGACGACGACAATGATGATGATGATGATGATGATAAAATCGAAAAAAATAAAGAACTTAATGACGAAATAAATTCAATGTCTTTCGATGAATGTTTGGATTATTTAAAATTAATTGGAGAAATTTTTTATTTTGGCCAAAAATCGCACATGAGAATTCTTTTAAAACCTTATCATCTATTAAATGAAATACTATCTAGTACTTTATTTCGTCCGAATATTGATCAATGGTTAAATTATGATAATAATATGGTATTTCGTTTTTCTGGGTATTATCCATCGCAAAACTTATTTGATATTGATCGACAACGTTTATTAACACGTGGTGAATTTTCATGGAACATGTTGAATGTTTTATTTTTCGAGCAAAATACTAATAATATCGGTTTAATTGAACAAAATATATTTGATTATTGTTATTTAATGGAACGATTATATCTTGGTTATTTAAATCAAGCAAATCTAAGTCGTAAGAATAAATGAAGTCATTTATATTCATAATGTTGTTTTTTCTTTCTTTTTTCTTTCTTCTTCTTGATCGTGAATTTACAACGAGCTGTTTTGTTTGTCCATGGTTAATGAATGAAAATTGTTCGACTATTGACTATATTGGTTATTTTAAAACATTAGAAGTAGAACGTAAATATGAATATCTTCAACGCGAACGAGTAAGACGTATAAAACAGCAACAATTATGGTTTCAAATGGATAATAAAGAAAATATTCAAAATGAAAATTCATCTCAAATGAATCCAATAAGTTTGCTTCAAAAAGAATTCCAGCAAAATATTTCCATTGCAATACCAGATTTACCAGCCATGGATCAAATTCAAATATTGGATTCACAAGTAATCAATCAAGATCCTATTCGAGTAATAAAAATTTTTAATGAAAATTCAAATACTTTACCAAATGGACTATATGAACGTTTGTTAATTTGTTTGCATCCTCTGTTTCATGAACGACTCGATTATTATAATGTAACGTTGGGACGAACTATAGATAAAAATTTGATTAAAACTGAACGATTCGACAAAGAAAATCAGATCTATCTTACGATCAGTAATGGTTTACTTGAACGTATAAAAAATATTCTCATTCAAAACCTTTTCTCATACTATTCTACTAAACAACTCCGAATAGAAACATGAAAATAAACAAAACGTGACTTTCATTCTTTTTTTTATTAAATTTGTTTTTGATTTGTATGTAAAAATAAAACAAAAACAAAAACAACAATAAACAAAAATATTTGCTGAATGAACAAGACAAACAAAACATAATTTTTAAATAAGTAGCAATATTATAAACAAACGAAATCAATGGTTAAGTCCTATAGACATCTATATATATATATACATATAATGAATGCATACATTTATTGACTTTTAATATTAAAATAGAAGAAAAATACATGACTAATCAATCACTAGAAGGTGATGAAGTTGTCGGAACATTATTCTTTTTATCTGTTGTAGATTTTCCTTTATAATTTTCTTCACTATCATCATCTTCCAGTAGCTGTTGATCAATATATTCCCGTACTCGTCGTTCATAATCTCGACGATGATTTTGATAGAGCGTAGCTGCTTCAGAATTAGCTGGTGATGCTGGATTAGGATCGGTTAACAATGAACGAATAGAAACAAGTAATGTTGACACATCTAAACTAGCACTCCAACGATGTTGTAATATATCAAGACAAATCGATCCATCCATATCTATTATAAATCAATACATATGCATATATATATATATATATATATATATGTACATAGAAATGTTTATTTTGTTGATGAAATCTTACAAATATTTGGATGAAAGATTTTTGTAATAAATTTAACTTCAGGTGCACAATTTGGATAATCTTGCGGAAACTTCAGTGATAAAGCAAAACTTCCATCTTCAAAAATACTATCTTCTGGTCCATCTAATATCGCGTTCCAATAGAATATATTATCTGAACTAATGGGTGCTGCATTTATTCCTTCAACTGGATGCTGTGTTAAATCACGTAAATCACGCATAAGACGACGTTGAGCTGTAATTGTCGATGTTGTTGCCGCTGGTAAATTCGATGATGAATCTGGTGAACTCATAGTTTTTCAGTGAAAATAAAACGATTTGGTAAAAAAATAATCTCTAGAAAAAAGACGATAGACATAGCAGTATTTAATCAATAATCGTACATTAAAAGATTCGCAAAGAAACGAATTACGTATCAATGAACTGGCGCAAAAGAAAAAAAAATATTATATTTTGTATAATTTTGTGGCCATTTTACATGAGAGTTGCGAAGTTTTTAAGTGCACTGGAAATTTACATATAAATAGTATAGTGATTGGCACAGCATCTAGAAATATTTGGTGTAAAAAAAAAACATGTGTATTTTCAATGACCAATCTATGAATAAAGATGGCGTTTGAGTTGAAACTTTTTTATTTTCATAGATAGTAAAGAACCAATAAGAAAGAGGGAATAATTGAGAGTGATAAATCAAAATAGCAGAAGTAAGACTGACTAACAGCATTGAATAAGAATAAATAAATTTATTTATATACTTGTAGTGTTATAAGAAAAAGAACTGGAACACTCGAGAAGATTTTTCTAAAATTTATTTTTCAACCAAGAAAAAGTCTGTTGGTATTTCGGGAAACAAACAAAGACAAACTATTTTGAATGAACTGAAAACCTTTTGTCAAAAATAGTTGATGCCATCTTTAGAAAAATTGTAAGAAAGATTGTTTAATCTCTTTTCTTTAAGAGATTAGAGATTTTTTAGATATGATTATTTTTTATTTTTTAAATATCGGTGGTAGAATTCTGAGAAAATGAATCGAAGATAAAAATTTCTTTAATGATGATAACTAATAATTTATTTTCAGCATTTAAGAATCATAAGAGAATAGTTCTGACGTCTTCTCATACAAGTTCATCGTCGATACGAATCTTTTCAAGAGATACCTAATAATGGGATATTTACTATTTGATTACTTACAATATGAATAATTTTGCAACTAAATTTTAATAGAAACTTTTCTCTCATCAATCAAAATCAAAATATGAATTACTCATGTAGACAAAATCGGTAGCCACAATCATTGAAAATGTAGAAATCGTATATTTTAACGTCTTAAAATAATCAATCGAATTGTTCATTCTTAAAAAATCGTCACACGTGATAATCAATAAAAGAATGGAATTTTAGTATCTTACTTTCATGAAGTATTTCGCTCCATTTTTACGATGTTGAATATTCTTACACGAAATTATAATGTTAGAATGCATGCTTCTCATTAGTAGCGGACTGATTGACAGTGTAAACACATGGTTAAACATTCAAATTTTTAAATTAGATAACGTATTTGAAGCATAAGTAAAAATTCCAAATCTGAAAATTCTGTGAAAGATGTTTTCTGTGAATTTACATAAACTTACAAGGTGAAAGTTATTGTTTTATTGATATGATTTTTCTAGTTTTAATTACGAAAAAACTGGTAAAACTAAGCAACCTCTTTCGAAATTTCATAGTATAGACTTTGACTAACAAACATATTGGATACAATTCTTTAATTTCAAAATGTATCAATATTTTGATAACGATAAAGATATGTTTTCGTCTTTTAGGCATGCAGAAAGACGACTCAGGTGATAGGTTTTTTGGTCACGGTTACATTTCCTACTGTTCATCCATACTTATGTAAAACTTTCCGAGAGGAACAAATCGATAAGTATTTAGTGAAGGATTATGCGGCGCGAAAAATTCTATTTCTCATATCGCAGATAAAAGAGTCTGGCAATCGTAATCAGTGTTATAAATTATCCAACAAATTAATCATCAGTACCAATACCAATGATGATTGCAATAGAAAGTAGTTCATTCTGAAGTTATTGAAACATAGATTTATCAATTGAAATAAAGAAAATCTAATGAAAGTTTTACAAAATATTTATTTATTGTCAGTCGCTGTGAAAATTTGTCTGAGATAAAATTTCAGTGTTCCTCATTACTGAATTGAATTACATTGCATCCTGTCATAACACATTTAGGAGGTACGATAGATAATGCTACTGCTTTTTTGCTAGGTATTATATATTAGCTTCCAGGTCTTATACGAGCACTTCGAGTGCTGTTTTCGTGCACTTGGATCTTATTTTCGGGCGACATCTGATTGTTTATTTTTCAAACTAAAAATTAGTCGTTCTTTAATGTTTATTGTAAATGCAACCGTAAGTTCATGATTCATTCATTCGTACGTATATGCAACGCATACGATTGATCCCAAGCACTGTAACGAATCTGATTGGTTAGAAGTTCTCGATATACTGATCGTATTCGAATACACAAAATACCCGAATTCAATTTCAATATCAAGAATTTTGAATGATTTTGTCTCGGTTTTTTTTTGTAGATGGCATCAACTATTCTTGCTATTGTTGAATATGGTGCTCAAAAGCAACGAATGTCACTTGATCCTCATAGTTCATATCAGGATATATGCAATCAAATTTATTCACTTTTTAAGCTTGATCCTATCAATTCAAAGTATAGTCTTCAACGACAAGATTCTCTTAAATTCGGATCATTTATTAATATTGATGAACGAACATTTCAAAACGAATTGAAACAGTATGCTATAAAGAATAAGCAAAATCCTGTTTTACGCCTTCGACTTACACCAGCTATTTCGAAAAATACGGTGAATAAAACAAGAATACGCAATTTATTTCATATAAAAATTAACTTTTATGTTTTTAAACATGTAGTCAAAGCCAGTAAATGGAGTTCTCAACGGTGAAAAGGCCTGGTCAACATCATCATCACAATGCCAACATGATGAAAGTGATCGTGCTAGTACTAATTCAGCGGCAACAATTGATATTAAACAATTGATTAGAAAATGTTTAACAAATTTGAAAGGTAAAAAAGTGATGCGATACTTTTTTAGTTTAAAACCATGGTGAACTCGATGTATACAGATAGAAGTATAGTGAATACAGTTTTTAGGCCATTCTATCCTAGCAATCATAATGCACTAACAGAACTATGACCTCTGCCAACAACGAGAGAGCATTAAAAAAAGATGAAATATTATTTTTGATTTTACTTATTCTTAAGATTGGAGACGACATATCAAAGTTACCGCATTGATTGTAAGATTCTTTGGATAGCTTGTCATTGTTTCAGTTTCTTTTTAAAAATCGTCAAACGATTGAATATAAACCATTGGTTTTAATTAATAGAAACGACAGAAAATATTCAACTACTTGATCGTTATTTTCATCCAGTAAGGTTACTGCTAGTTTTATTTTAATATTATGATTATTCGTCTATCTGTTATCTAGGAAGATTACATTGATGATGAGTGCCAATTAACAAATAAGTCGTCCACAAACATACAACAAGCAGCATTACCAGTAAATACTTCGATGAATCGCGAAATATTACAAGCAGCATCTATATCTGAATCTCGTATAACGACATCCAACATTATCGATGAACTTATACCTGGTCTTAATCATTTGATGAGTACACAACAAACATTATTATCAGCATCATCATTAATTACTACTGATAAACCTGTTGAATCATCGCCAATACCTCCACAAACAACAGTCAACTATCACACACAAGCACCAGTTAATAACCAAATACTAACATCAGTACCAAATAGTACAAATGTACAAACACGTTCTTCAAATAAGTCTTTTAGCAATCGACTCGGTGTGATGATTCAACCGAATCAAACACAAAATTCAGTTGTTCAAGAACCAAAATCAGTATCGCCATGCCATCAATATATACCACAAAAAACGAAATCCCCATGCATTGTCAAACAATCGATAGTTATGTCGCATGAAAAACATCAAAATGAAATATCTTCCCATACGATCGTTCCACCACCACCACCACAGCCACCAAAACTCAAATGTAAATTTCTTTATATTGATATTTATATTTTACTTTGTATTAATTTGAAAAGATAAAATTGAATTAAAGCAATATGAATTTGGTGCGGCTCTTGAAGGCATCGTGTCGGTTGCATCAAATGCTTCTTATTTCTTTTTACAATTGATCGATGAAAGGAAAGATGAATTCGATCATTTATCAAAAAGTTTACAGTATGTCACTAACATTTTCTTCCTCTCTCTCTCTCTATTATATATGTATATTTATCTATTCTTTTTTTTTTATAATCAATAGCGAATACTATTCCAATCTTGATAAAAATTCTAATTATCGTCCATCGCCCGGTGATTATTGTGTTGCTATGTACACTGAAGATGCCCGATGGTATCGAGCTCGTATAATACGTTATATTTCAGGTTTGTTGTTTTATTTAATTTCTTATTTCGATAAAAAATGTCTATGATTATATTTAGATCAAACATGTGAAGTATTCTATGTTGACTATGGTAATATGGAAGAATTACCGATTGAGTTTTTGCATGAAATTTTACCTGATTTTGTTCGACTACCTGCACGTTCTATTGCATGTACCATTACGGAAGTAAAGGAAAATAATGTCAAATATGATGAAAAATAAAAGTTTGGTTATCTTCTTTAAAATTAGATATTACCACCGATTGGCCAAGAAGGTTGGACAAAACGTGCGACATTTGCATTTGCTTCACGTTGTAGTAATGAACGTGTTCAAGCAACAGTTGTGGAGTCAACAAATATGAAATGGCCAATGCATTTAGTTCAACTTCGAGTATCCAAAACACAAGAGGTACGCGTAAAGAAAAATATTTTCAACTTGATGTTTCTTTTTTGTTTTTGATAACATGCTTTTTGATAACTGCCGCAGAAAATTTTCATGAATAGATAAAACAGAATATTTTGTAAATTGGATTAACTTGCTGTAGCGTTTCTTTTATGAAAAGAAACACTCTAGATAGCTAAGGTTACGTATTTCTCGCATCACACGAAATTCTAATGAATTAAAGATATCCGAAAAAGATTTCCTATACTTAGTTTTTCGATCCAAAAATATTGGATTTTTCACGGTAAGCTATTACTGAATACTATGAGTCCTTCTTCTAACGAACACTAGGCTCAACGTTTTTCGAATTTCAAGTTCAAATCTAACAAAAAGAGATTTGATTTAATAGCAATATAACTTGATATAAATACTCTAAATCTTTTGATTTGCTTTTCTTCACGAATACTTGCATCTTAACATAGGAACATGCATAAGCTCTAAAAATATGAACGAGTTCTTGTTTTGCTGTATTGAGAAATCATTTAGATCTATATAATACAAATACCATTGGCTGTTATTTAATCAAGCAAGTAGAGAACTGCGGTAATTATAATGTATTTCTGCTTTGATAGGATATTGGAACATCACTTGAAACTTGTAAACTAGCTCGACATGTATCGAACCATGAAATATGCGATTTTTGGTCGAATAAAATTCGTCTCGAACAATACATATTATACAATTTACCAGAACCAAATCCAGATCGATTTCCATTCATTGAGCAAGGTACATCTTCTTATTTCCATTATATGACTACTAATCCAAGTAATTTTTCATCATCAACTATTATTAATATCTTCGATGAAAAATTCCATAGCAATATTGATAAAGTTAGCAAAGATTTGGCATTTGTACATCGAAATTGAATTCTATATATGTTCTTTTTTTTTGTTTCTTATTTACTATTAGTCCTATATTGTTGCAGCCAAATCGTGCATTCTTCTTTTTCTCTTTGTTTCTCTCTCTATATATAGTATGTTGCTGAATCAGATATTTTTTTATTTTCTCTTCCTTATTGTCAAACTAACTTTACATATCAGTCAACCCTATGAAGGCTATTGTTTCTGTTTCTTTTTTGTTTATTTTTTTTGTTTGTTCATATATAGTATAAACACTTGTATTGATTTGAGATTTAGTCTAGAGAACAGATAAAAAGTCAAATGAAGCAAAAATAAACAAGAAATAATGAATATTCTATCAAATTTTATGTAAGACAAAGAGAAAAAAATTAAAGATATGCAAGATCAACATGGCAATCAATTTATTCCTCTAATTATGTTCATTTTAACATTCTTTTTTTTATTTGTTTTGATTTTAATAGAAAAACATATTTGAAATCAATGTATTGTCTTTCTGTTGTTTTCTTTTTTATTTTAGTACCTGTAAAAAATGAAAAAGAACAACATCCAAATCCATTTCTATCATCATCACTTCAACGAACTCCATCTACTGATCGTTCAACAAAAGAAGAAACAACGCCTGCTTTAGAAGAAGTAAAACCGTTACAAGAAAATAATAATCAAACAACGTCTAGTATTATATCAAATAATGAACCTAATGAAATTGAATTGAATAAACAATCAACACTCGATGTTTCCAAAGAAAAGAAAGAAGAACATGAACAATTCGATGGTACGACGACTCCATCGTCTAGTCTTAATCCAGATGCAACTCCTTTCGTGATTTTTTCGACATCAAAAACCGATACTAATCAATCGACATCTACCGGAAATGAAAGTGATGATGAAATCGATTCAAATGAAACTCCGGCTATGAGTGGTAAATGGCAAAAATAAACGTAATTGAGTGAATCTATTTCTATTTTAAAGATTCATCTGAACGTCCACGCATGCCAATTAAAGAAGAAGTTATTGTCGATACAAATCTAACACCATCAACACCTCTACTTAAATCTTGGTTACCAATAGAAGTAACACATATTGAAACGCCGACACGTTTCTATATTCGTTATATATATGGTCCTAGCTGGAATTTAGGCAATGGATCCACACGTAAGCCATAACTCATCCTATGATATTTATCTTTAATTTTTGCTTTTGTAGCTGAATTAACTAATAAGAAGGAAGAGCCAGAAAAAAATGTTGTATTAAAAGAATTAACACAGGAAATGACGTATATGCAATCCACTTTTTTTCTCTCCTACAATAAACTAATTCATTGATTTTGTTTAGGCTATGTTATAGCAAACATAAACGCATCTGTCCAGGCGATAGCTATGACGAAGGTGAATTAGTTGCTGTTAAATTTCGTTCACAATGGCACCGTGGACGTTTTATACAATATAAACCTAATATTGATTTTGCCCATGTAAGTAGAAATCTTTTCTTTTCGATCTTCTGATAAATACTAATCAAATCTTTTCAAAGATATTCTTTGTTGATTATGGTTATACACGTTCAGTACCTATTTCAATGATTCGACCAATTAATAATCGTTTTGTGGTACAATATAATATAACTATTCATATAGTTTCTATTCTATTCTGTTTCTACTGTAGTTACATGCTGAACAAGCTCATTTAGTTCATTTACATCAACCTGATCAACGGCGAGGTCGAAAAGAATGGGATACAAAAGTTATTGAAGAATTTCAAGAAATGACTAAAGATGGTACAAATTTATATTCAAGGATTGTCAGTGAAGCAAATACTATTGAACTCATGTCTTATGATCCATTAACAAAAAAATGGTTTTCATTTTATGAACATTTTGTCAAGCATCTAAATCATTGTGATAACATAGAACTGAGCAGCTGAATAGATTTGCCGTTGGTGTTGTTATGTATTAAATGAGTGTTTCGATTGTTCTGTTTCTGTGATGCTGCATTTTCCTTTGTACATAGAAAGACTTTTGTTAGATTTGTTGAGGACTATCTGAACCACAAACTTTGTTGTTTTATCTCAATTGAAATTTGTTTCGTAGAAAAATTATATTGTCTATTCATCCAGAGACGTCTAAAAATAGATATCTGCTAACATCGAATATATCAATTTAAGATAATGGAATCTCAATTAGCTAGACAAAAATTGAAAATATAGAGTAAAGGAAATGTTATACATAAAAATCAAACAAAGAGAAAAGTAACAATATTGTATTTGTAAAATAAAGATGCATTCTATGTAATACAACGGTACGAATGACTTATTCACATTTGAATTTTCTTGTTTCAATTTCTAATATGTACATACAGATATATCTACTATGATACTTTACTACAGATAGCAATCAAACACGATAAGCTTTCTAACATTTGAAGATCTTTTAAGCCATAAGCATAATGCAAGTGTTGCAGAAGTTAAATAAAGCTTGATATTAAAATGAATAATGGTCAATGATTGAAAGAGTCTCTTTTAATGACTTCTCATAAGTGGTTGAATTTAAAATGTAGTTTTAGACCATTCTCGCTTCTCGTTTATCATTATAAAAATAAAAAAAGTGAGACTATTACATCTCTTTACAATGGTTTAATAAAAAAAAACAAAGAAGTCTTTTTTTCAGTTGACGAATGCTATTTACTCAACTTGTTGCTGATCAGAGACGGAAGGGTGAAGGCTTGATGTTGAGAGCCATTGCACTCTAAACCATTCGATCATTGTCGTCCTTGGCGAAATTGACCACCACCACGGCCACCGCCACGTGAACCTTGATGTCCACCACGGCCTCCTCCACCACCGCCGCCGCCGCCACCACCACTACCTTTATAGTTATTACGATTGTCACCGCCTCCGCCAGATCGGCCACCATACCCTAATAGAATAGAAACGATCAAAACAACTATCCTTGAGAAAATATTTTATTTTACCTCCACGTCCACCATCACCACGACCACGAAATGGTCTACGTGATGATTGTCCTGAACGTGATGGTTTTTCATTGACATCTTCTTTGACAAGGCCAAGAATATCTTCTGGTAAACGTAGATATTTAATGGTATTACCACGTATGTAGCATTCAGGAATTTTCCAAAATCTATCACCATCCTATAAAATTCAATTAATTAGATAAATGATTAATTTTTCATGATAAAATAAATAATTTTTACTCGAGAAGTGCAAATAACATCACGTAAGTGAATATTCATAAAATTATCGCAACTCATTAAGTTCCCATTGTATGTTTCACCATTTTTTAATTCCACCAACTAGGAACACATTAGAAATAATTAGAAATCTTTATTATTTCTACAAAATATTTACCATAGGGTGATAAACTGCAGTTCGCAGAAGTGTTAAAGGAAGCTATAAAAGAGAAAGACAAAAAAAAACATTATTTTCGTCGTGTCACAATGTTTCTATTTTTGATGACTCACCATCTAAAATTAAAATAAGAAAAATATTCAACGTTATTATTGTATATAAGTAATAAATAGAATCAATTCGTATTTTACTTTAAATAGCGTAGCAAAAAAATCAACAATAAATAACTCTACAAACGCTTTGGAACTTGTTTTTACATATTAACTTACATAAAATAGAAATTTTTCTAATAAATTCTTATTACACAATTCGAACGTAACAGCTATTTTCACTGTATAAAATCTATTCTTTCCTTTAATTTTTATTAGCGACATTTATAGATATGAATAATTGTTTTTTGGTTTCATATTATTAGTCAGATTTGAATGACGATGGGTAACACAAACACTGGTGTTCAACTTTATCGAAAAAAGATTGATTCAACTGGTAATTATCTTCCTTTTCCAGGTTATACCATTATCGCACATGCTACACACCCATTACCCAAGCCATTAGTGGAGCTAGTCAGCTATCTTTCTTCAAGTGAACTTCGAAAATATTATTCATTTCTACCAACTACAAGTTATCATGTTACTATAAATCCACTTGAAGGTGTTCATGACGAACATAAAGAACTTTTAGAACAAGAACAAGGCAGATTAAAGCAGCAAGATACTTCACTTGTAGGTACAGCTCAAAATCTACTCTGTTCTACTATTATTTTAATTGAAGTACAACTCAACGATAGTAATAATCCAAATTTTGAACAGATTATTCAATATGTTCGATCTACTAATTTACAACAGGCGAATATTCTACGTAATTACACACAATCTTGGCATTTAACATTAGCTTATCCATATAAGGATATAGAAAACAATGAAATAAAAGAAAGACTTTATAAAATAATTGAAAACATGCCTGAATCAGCGAAACTTCCTTTTATGATTCCACTTGAACATATACGAATATGTCGTTATAATGATATGACAAGATTCACATCGATATAATATAAATAGAAACAAAAACAAAAAACTAAGAATACCATTATTTTTATTTAACAGAAAAGACCTAATAAACAATAAAAATGAGCAGGCTCAATTGTTTTTTTTTGTTCTCGACATAAATGAATATATTGCATTTGAATTGATTATGAGAATTCGAAGAAAAAAAGAATGATTAATTTAAAGTTCTTCTTTCGGTTTTTCAAGATCGGCACCAAAATCAGTTATTTGTGAGCCAGCAAATGTTGAATAAACTGAAGTAATTTCACCAGGTGTACAATAACCATCTTTATTAGTATCACATTCCTTCATTAAATGGTCAGTTTCTTCATTTACTGTTTTTTCTATTGATGGTAAATAGTACACAGAAAACTCATCGAAATCACCAAAACCATCATTATTGGTATCAATTTCTGAAGTTAAAGAATCAGCTTGACCAGCTTCAGCTTCTATACAGAAAAACAAAATTTTCCTTTATTAGTATTTTTACTCTCTCTCTCTCTCTTGTTTAGTGAACATACCAGTCATTATTTTATATTCAGCGTTCGAAATTTTACCATCTTTATCGTCATCATATTCATGAATCATACTATCTACTTCAATTTTAGCTAATCCTTCATTTTCTTCAGGTTGAAGAAATGTTCGAAATTCATCATAGGTTAATGCTAGATCTCCATCGGTATCAACAAATTCCCATTTTGCTTTATCTGCTAAATATAACTTCAAAAATAAAAATACGGTCAATGTTTAATATTAGAAATTCAATTCAGTTCTTACTCGTTTATTTTCACGTAAATTTAAATTTAATTTATCCGGATTACTGAATTGGCTACGTTCAATATCACCAAAATATTCACGGGAATATGCATCAAATGTTATTTTATTTGTATTTTTAGGATCAAGTGTAGATATTAAATCATCTGCTTCACGATCATTTAGGGCTCTGAAGAGAAAAAGTATTCATTTTTCTTTTATCGAACTTGAACAAAAATTAATATTTACTTGACACGTTGCTCAACATAAACACGCATTTCATCATGAGATACTTTTCCGTCTCTATCAGTATCAATTTTATTTGCAATTATACGAAGTTTCTCATCTTGTTCTTGTCCATCCTGAATTTTTGCTACAATATTTTATTTTTTATTTAATATGAAAAATTTTACAAAAACATTTGCACATACCATCAAATAACTTTTTGTGTGATTCAAGATCATGATGATCATCTGAAATATAACAATATGATTGTATTGGAAACAAAAATACCAATATCAGTTGAAACTTACGTCCATCATGGGCATGATGATGATGATCATGGCCATGGCCATGTGCTTCATATTCCTTATCCGCAAATGAGCCAATCATTAATAGAGCTAAACAACCAGTAATCAAGAATAGACGAGCCATATTTATGGAGGTTTCAAATTTTCTCTGAAACACATTAACAAAATAATAGAACTAATACAAGCACATATATATATTATATATTATAAGTATATGCACTTATCAAAACAAAATAGTCAAATAAAAAGAATACATGAAAATTTATCGATTCTAGATTTGTCTGCTGTCTATTGGCTAGGACAATATAACCAGTTATAAAGAACGACTATAGGGATCGTTCTAAATTTTTGATTCATTATAATCAATGAAATTTTCCTTTACGAAAGAGTTAACCAACTAATAAGAATACATAGATTAAGAATCTCAAAAGAAAAAACTTCATGTTTTTCATCAATTAAACATTAAAAAGAGAGGTTCTGAAACTAACGAAATTCAATGCAATTGATTGTAATGAGGCATTCTAATCAAGTCAATATAATAACTTGATGTTTGATGAAAATCATAGGACTATTTAAATTGATATCGATCGATAATAAAAAATGTATACGAATCAATGCATAAGTGAAACCTTGCAGATAGAAAAGTGAGTACAGTAAATCTTTTGCATGAATAGATAACTGCTAGGAAACCTTGAAAAAGAAAGATACGCTTGATTAACATTATCACGAGTCGTTCGTTGAAGTACGAATAAATAGAATATAATTGCGTGACTATCATTGAGAAAAAATGATTGGATACTCAAGAGTCGATCAGCATCTGTAACAGAACTGAGGCATACTCACACCTTCACCTGATTTCAACTTGTGTTTTAATATTTTTTCACTAATTTACGACTTCTAAGAATTAAGCAGAAGTCTAATTTTTCTCCTTCTAGAGAAATATCTTTCATTCAGGTATTTTCGATGAAATTGTTTTCATATTTTCTTAAGTATCATGCCAAGTGATCTCCACGTAGAAGAGTATTACGGTTTTTAATACTCCACTGGTCGGCAATACAAATGATGTAACGTTATTTAATTTTCATTCAATACATTTTTACTTTGAAATTTCTTTTAAAACTTTAGTTTCTATGTCTTCATCACTTTGTAGAAGCAACAATCCGCATTTTTTGTCAGACACAAAAGAATCTCAATATTTTTCACGAACAAATAGGAGATGCAATCTATATATATATATATATATATACTGATGCAATCACTCGGCTTTTAGAGTTAGGAAAGCAAAATATATATCGGCATATGCAGACATGAATAAATGTAACAGATTGCCTACAAGTGATGAACAATATAAACTATATATGAAACTCTGCTAGAGTTCTTCTCATCATAATCTATTGGTTTACCTCCACATTCGACTTAACAAACGATGAATTTTCTCTTTAACCAAATTAGCCGATAATGTTGAATTGTCTAACAATCATACATGGAAAACAATTTATCAACATGGAGTATATTTATGAAGCGAACGTATTTGTGTGCATTTCATTTTCTGATTTTTCTTTTGTTTAACTTTCGATTTGATGCTTTTATTGGAAACATTCTTTTCATTTAAAAAATAAACCATTTTGTTATGACTTGTTCCTATATTCCATTAATACACATGAGAGCAAAAAGAGCGCGGCGGACTTACTTTTTCATATAAAATCTGTGGAAGTGCCTCTTGATGCTTGTTGATTCTAGCGAGACATTGTAAAATGAAGCTCTACCTTTTTATTGGCTTGTAATTTTTACAATGATGTGAGTAAAGTTCTTTCTTTCCTTCTATTTGCCGGTCTATATATATTTTACTTTTACTTCTGTACTTCCTTCAATCGTCGTCCTCCATTTTCGACAATATAGTCACATGGGAAAATTGATCTTAGCACTAGGATTGGCCCATTTGTTCATCCAATACGTTCTAAATTTTTTTTTCTTTTCTTTTTTTGTTTTCTGATTAGAATACACTCTATTATTTGTCATATCGCTTATTCTGGGAAGGTTCATTGAAATGGCAGCACAAGTTCAGACTTATGTTCGTAAAGTAGAAGATGCACTCAAAGGATATTTGTACGATGGCCCACTCACTCCATTATGGAGTCTCGTTGAACAGAAGACAAAGCTTAAACGAGAACGTGTTGCATTAGGTATTTCTATTTTGTCTTGTTAATTAAATTGTTCTTTAATTATTTCTTCATTTCCTAGGTTTGCTTGGTTTTGTTGCAATCTATTTGGTACTTGGTTGGGCTAACGATTTTATTTGTAATTTTATTGGGTTTATTTATCCAGCATATGCTTCGTAAGTTTTGATTAGCACTCAAATTAAACAAACAAAAGCATTTGTATGTTGTTTTTTCTTCATTTTTCAAGAGTGTTGGCCGTTGAATCAACGCCCACACACGATGATACAGAATGGTTAATATATTGGATTGTTTATGCTTCATTTGGATTTGTCGAATATATTGGTTACGTATTCTTCCATTCATTACCGTTCTATTGGTTTGGTAAATGTATTTTCCTTCTGTGGCTAATGGCGCCAGGAGAACGGGGTGGTTCTCATATTCTCTATCATCGTTTCGTACGTCCTTTCGTACTTAAACATCAGTCCGTTGTTGACAAACATATTCAAGATGGTAAGATATCTGTTTATTCTCAATGACTAGAAAGTTTAAATTCTAATTTTCTAGTTAAAGATCAAATAAACAAAATTTCAAGCAATGATACCAAATAGACTAATTACCAAAATTTTATTCACTTATGAAAACATGGGTGGTGGTGGTGGTGTTGGTTGACAATTATAAACATTTTCTTGCGTGTTAATTCTTATTTCAGATGAAACATTTATGTTAGAATGCAAAAAACAAGATCCCTGATTTATCTCATTCCATTTTTTTCTCATTTTATTTTATCTCAAAAAAATTGTTTCTTTATGATTTTCTCAATTATGATATTTGTTTTATTGTATCAGCTTAGATTCATTGTTGTCTTGTAAACAAATTTCATCAATCATCTTCGTATGTTTCAATAAAAGTCATTCAAGATTAGAGAATTGTGTAGATAGTTTTAATATTTACTTTGGCAATATAACAAAAACACTCATGGATTAGATAGCTAAAACAATATTGGTCTTGTTTAGAATGAAAAACAAAATTGTTAAAATATGGTTCTTTCAGATATGTAAGAGATGAATTTTTATAATAGATTCATTTGATGTAATGTCAATGAAAGTTAGTTTTGTTTAAATAATTACATGATAAAGTTTTACTAGAAATATCTCGAGTTTACAAATTCTACGCGTGATGATATTAATAAAAATGACATTCAAAGATTTTCTCATAGTAGAAGTTTCGTCACAGTTTTGTTGTTTCCTCAGTTTTTTTAAGAACATAAAAACAAAACGATTAATGATGTGCCAGTTCAATCTCTAATTAAAAAATTTAAAGAATAATTCCTTTTCGTAAAGGATTCTACGAAGAAGTAACTTTGATCAATCTTGCTATTTTTTTTTCATGTCTTTCAATCACCTATACAGATCTATTACATTGCGATGCATAATACATATACGAACTTACAAATGTTATTTATATTGAAAGAAAAATATGATCAAATCAATCAACAGACATCACATCCTATTTCGTAATTTTTATTTTGCTTTGTTGATGTTTGATGAAGAATATGAGTACGCGAAGTCGTACATGTGGCAATTGATAGTCCAAAAATAACTTCCAGTACTACTTTTTATCCAAATCAAATCATTCTTAAATATTTTGTTTCTATTCAATATTTATTCCAAAACTCTAGTAGCACAATTGTCAATTGTATAATAGTGTCATCTATCATACTTAGGACATATTTCATTATATTCTATGTATGAAATTATCTAAAGTCATGAGATGTATTGACTTCAATTTTTATGATACTTTGTTCAAATTATACTTACTTAAATATTGTTTTGCAAGCCTCTACCATATGTTCCGATAAAGTGAGATAACGATGGTGTTTTGAAACAATAAAAAAGTTGGTCACATCCTTTCTGCGTATAGGAAAGGTATGCGTTTTGCTCGCTAATCAATAAAGCGCCACCTGCTACGTAAATATTCTTCTGGATGACATTTGATTTTAATTTTTAGATTATTCTATTTATCTACTGCATAAATTAAGCGAGAATGACTGCTCGCGATCAAATTCGAGCTATGCTGGATCAATTGATGGGAACCGACAATAGTATGTTTGGTTTAAATTTAAAAAGAAAAAAGTTTCTTGTTTTTGATTTTACCTACTCTATTTGTTTTACGTTGTAACAATTGATTCTATTCGAAAGAAAAAGATGATATTGATAATTTTCATTACAATTTATAGTGAAAAAAAAATGCTGTTTTCTCTTCATTGAAGGCAAAAAGAGTTCATCTAGTTTTTTTTCCTCAAAAACTGACTATCACTGTTTACTATCATATTTTTTATCTGTCACACAAACTCTGTTTTGAACGATGTGTTTTTAGCTGATGTCACGATGAATATGTCTATGCTGGGTTTCATTAGCTCTGCGAGCAGCAGCTACTACGAAGTAAATATCGTGAGTATATATAAATAAATCGAGAAGTGGCTCCTCTGTGTGAGTAAAATATATAATCTATAACGTTGAATTGATATCATGTTAGGATATCTTCATATTTATTGGTTTTATATATTTTTTTTGTGTAATCTTCTGGTATCATAAAAACCTTCTTCATAGCAGATAGGGTACGTATCCGAGTAGATCTGGTAAGTATCCCAGCGTTATTTTATGAGATATCTAGATATTAAAATAGTAAAATTTCTTACAATATTATTCTTATTTAAAAAAAAAACATCTTACAGGTTCAACTAAATCAAGTATGTCGTTTGAAGACCGTCGAGTTTGTCGACCATTTCTATTGAATTGTTGTCCTCATGAAATTCTTTCTGGAACTGTAAGTTATTGATTAAATGTAATCTAATCAGAAATGAAAAACTAAATCATTGTTTTATTTTATAGCGTGTTGATTTGGGTGAATGTACAAAGATTCATGAATATGCTCTACGTGCTGATTATGAACGTGCAGCAACTACACGTAATCTGTATTATGAAATGGATGTTAGTATAGAAAGTTAATTTAATTTCAATTACATAATTTTTTGTTTTTAAATAATAGGCATTAGACATGTTAAGTAAATTCGTTGCTGAATGTGATCGTAAAACGGAACATGCTAAACGAAAACTTCAAGAAACACAAGAAGAATTAGGAGAAGAAGCTGCAAGAAAAGTAAATTCTAATAATTATTTTTGTGATTTAGTTTAATTTATTGATTTTTAGATGAATACTATTCATGAACTTGGTGAACAGATTGGCACAAAACTAGCTAAAGCTGAAGAATTAGGTGCACAAGGTTTAGTTGATGAATCCATGAAATTATTAGAGGAAGTCGAAGCATTAAGAAAAGCAAAATTAGAAGCTGAACAAGAATTTCGTTCAACGATGCCAGCATCGACATATCAACAACAAAAACTGCGCGTATGTGAAGTATGTTCAGCTTATTTAGGTATACATGATAATGATCGTCGTTTGGCTGATCATTTTGGTGGAAAATTACATTTGGGTTTTATACAAATACGTGAAAAATTAGACGATTTAAAAAAACGTGTCAATGAATTAAATGAAAAACGTGAACTTGAAAGAAAAAGTCGTCGAACGTAAATAACTGAAAAAATCGATATGTTAAAAGGCTTTAAACTAAAAAACCTTTAATTCTTTGCATTTCAGTTCACCACCACCAGCATCTTCATCGCGAAACGATCGTAGAGGTGATGATAAAGATAAGAAAGATCATCGTCCAGCACATCGTAGTCGAAGTCGATCAAAAAAAGCATCTAGTCGAGATAGAGATCGACGAGAATCACGATCCAGGTAAAAAAAACTTGCTCATTGAGTTCAATTTTGAATTCATTCCGTTCTTTTTTTTTATTAAATTTTCAGATCTGACCGTCATTCATCTAAGTATTCACGTAGTCATCGTTCATCGCGGTCACCTTCACATAGTCGACGACATAGCAAACGATCTCGTTCACGGTAAGTCTTCAATGTTGTTATATTTATAGAGAAAGTCATTATCGTATAGTTACATTAGTATTATTGCTAAAATATTTTATATTATAACGAGTCACGTATATCTTTATGTTTTTTTCTTTAAAATATATTTAATTTATGGTTTGATCTAGTTTTATATGTCATAGTTCTCCTTAGTCTAAGAGTAGGTTAGACACGACACATGAGATAATTAGTAGACTTAAACATGAGATTCTTCAACTAAGAAATTGTATTTTAAATCCAGACTATAAAAATATGCTGAGGAAATCTCAAATCCACTTCACAACACCATGAAACTTTCAGTCTATCTAATTCAGTTTTTTTTTCTTTACTTATCATGATCTATGTGTGTTGTGAAAGTTTTTACAATTTTTTGAATGAATTATTCAGTAAAGATTTCGGTTAGACAGAATGGCACTCTTTATATATATATATATATATATATATATCAAAGAGTAAACTAAATATTTATTAAAATTAGTTCTGGTTCATCACGACGTCATCGCCGTTCAAGGTCTCGTTCTAATACATCATCATCGAAACGTCATCATCGTCATCGTCATCATTCAAAATCACCGGTACATTCTTCGTCACATTCTAAACATAATGGTAACGGTGATTCTCAACATAAAGATAAACCCGATGATAATGCATCAACTAATCATGTTGAGGATGATGAAGAAACAACACGTATTCTTGAATATATTCAACGAACTATGAAAGAAGACAAAAACATTAAAGAATAATGAAGACATACAGATGAAATAACTTTATTAAATAAAATACATGATGATCTGTATATGTGTGTTTATCATTTGTTTATTTCTTGTTGTGTATGTTAATTGTATTTGTCTTTTCGAAATAGAAGCTCATCAAAACTTAAAGGAAAAGGTTGCTTTATTGTTCCAATAATTTATTGTAGATTAAAAGAAATCTCTCAAAATAGAGTTCAATTTTGAATATTGTCTTACTTATTATTTAATTACTTGGTTATTATTAACTTTTATCACGTGTCTTCTTGTTTGTTATCGATTTAACCGGAGTATTACTCGACAGTTATCAAAAATAAGTAAGAAATTTTAATTGACTTGTTTTAGGCCTATCAGAACGATTGTTCCTGTGATCGAGATCGTGTTTCTGCATGATTTTAATTATGAATTATGTAGAGTCGTTGTTCTCGTAAAATTAAAATAATCAGAATCCAGTTTGAAATAATCGCTTCAATGGTCATTTCGAAAATTTGCCCTGATACAAATTTGAAATTTTTATTAAAAATTTGTCTCTAGATTTTTTCTATTTTCTAGCATTAAATTCTGAATTTCACAATAGATTACGATCACGTAATTCATTGAATATATTAATTTCAAATTCTATCGGTACCATCGCCGTTGCTCCTTCAAAAACATTGGATTAAACAATGCACTGAATTTGTTTTTCTAATGGACAATCCCGTTTTTTTGGATGAAGAAATTCCATTTGTCGAATCAGGTGTCTACGAAATCGATGAAGCAGGCGGTGGCGGTAATGGTACAACAACAACACTTGGACATGGAAATATTATATCACTTAATCATCAACGGCATCCTTTTGAAGATCATTCAATGTGGTCAACAACTGTGCCTGCTAAACGTGGCCGACGACCTAAATCAACAACTGTTGTTTTAACAACAGCACCATCGTCGTCATCATTAATACAAAAACCTGAGCCTAAACGACGAGGACGAAAGCCAAAACAAAAAATTCTATCGCCATCTAAATCATTATCATCGACAAATAATAATAATAATAATAATACTTTAAATGATATTCTCTCGGAATCAACAGATGGTATCGATCAGAAACAACAACGACGTTCTACCACAGGACTGAAATCAATAAAAAAATTTAATAATGAGGAACAACAACTATCTGGTAAATTGATAGAATTAGATGATTAAACGCTTTGTTTTTGTAGAATAGTCGTTTTTTTAATAGTTAGTAGATGCTTTGCCGAGTAGCAGTCCCTAAACTGTTCCATCTCTTGAGTATGCTGTCGTTCAATTGATCATGATGAAAAGTAAAAAGCTTTTTCTTCTCCCATATTCATTGTTCTATGAACACTGAAAACCTGAATAATCGAATTTTGAAATTCACAATTCGATTATTTAGGTTTTTAACGATTTTATGATGGCGAGGTAAGCATCCTATAGGATGTTTATTAAATAAAAAATAGAAGTTAGTAACTTAAATTAAAAGATACTGCATTTTTCTTACTACATACCATGACCAGCAGAATGATCGAATGGTTGGAAATATTCTTTTGAGAATCAAAATAAAAAATAGAATTATCTGAATAAATACTATGATTGATTTAATCTTTTTAATAATCCGTAATTATCTAACTGAACAGTTATTTTCCTTAATAATATTTATGAAACACATCCTAATTTTTCAAGAAATTGCTTACTAGAAAAAGAATATGATTGCTGATTGTTGATTGTTGATTGTTTTATTTAGAAGAAGTTGGTTTACGTTCAAAACGACCCATAAAACCATCATCACATTCAGACTCGCAACAAATTATTTCTAATATAACAAAAAATCAACTTCCAATAACAACTAATACTCCAACAAAAATGAACCTAGGTCCAACTGGCAATATTGTTATTATGGGTAATATAAGTGGAGATAATAAATCAATGAACAACACTCCAACAGTATCATATGATCAAGCAGCTATATTACAAGCACTTCGTCAAGCAGGAGTCAATCCATTACATCATGACCCAACAGGAGACGATTCCGATACAGATTCCGATGATGAAAGTGGATCTGACGATGAATGTATGGATAGTGATAATGAAAATAACCGTTTATCAAATATGAATGATAGTGTAAGTCATTTAATAAATACAGCATCACGTGGACGAACACGTCAATCAACAAAAAATGCTAGTAATAAAAAGCCTTCGACAATGCGTCGTTCAACAGCAACAAATAACAATAATAATAATAATAATAACAACAAGAAAAAACGAGAAAATCTCGATAAAAGTGATACGGACGACGAAGATGATGACGATGACGAAGACGAAGACGACGATGAAGATGATGATGATGACTCATCAAATGAAGATCTCGATGAATTAGGCGTTGGAAATGATACTAATAATAATTTAAGTGGCATTGTTGATTCACTAGATGGTGATTCATCATTGATTGTACCTCCAGATTTTTCTAATCCTGATTATGTACAAAATCTTGTTAAACCACATCGTAAACGTCGTGCACATTTACCAAATGATGATCAACCTAAAACTATACGTTGTCCACAATCAGGTTGTACAAAAATGTTTCGTGATACTGCATCAATGAATAAACATTTACATACACATGGCCCACGTAAGAATAACAAAACTCGAAAAAAATAAAGCTTCAATAAATATTCAGCATAAATAAAAATTGATTTATTTCTATATTCATTTCAGGTGTTCATGTGTGTCATGAATGTCAAAAATCATTTGTTGAAAGTTCAAAATTACGGCGTCATCAACTTGTACACACAGGTGAAAAAGCATTTCAATGTCCATTTGAAGGATGTGGAAAACGATTTTCACTTGATTTCAATCTACGCACACATGTTCGAATACATACAGGTGATAAACCATATGTTTGTCCATTTGATGGTTGCAGTCGTCGTTTTGCACAATCAACGAATCTCAAACAACATCTTTTAACACACGCAAAAATTCGTTCACATCAACCATTTGCTATTCCAGCTGTGGCTGTTACAATTACAGAAATTCAACCACAGTATTGAAGAAAACAATATCTATATATATCTATATATATATATATATATACGTATAAATATATAAATATGTCCTCTATACAACCTACCCTTCTTTTTCACATATGAAATATATCCTGTTTTGTGTATTTGTCTATGTCGGTATATGTTTATGTTGTTTTGTACATAAATGTCACATGGTCAGCCAGTCAGTCACTCAGCCACATCGACGACGACATATTATTCTCTTCTAGTTTATTGCTATCTTCTATTCTCTAGAATGGTATGCGTCGTCAATCTTTATATTCGGTTACCTATGTAGTGTACTTTTTTTTGGTTGCTTGTTTTAGAAATTACATTCATTTATACTTCTCAATAAAAAAAAATGATGAGGAAAGTCAAACAATCGATGTGTCTCAAGAACAAATTATTTAATTTCTTTTCTTCTAGATATGTCTAATATTAAGAAATTCTTTTCGAAACTAAAAAGTGAAGTGAAATTTTCTAAAGCTGGAGAAGGCCATCGATTGAATGAACAATCGTCAACTCCTCGAAGTGCAGAACCTAAACCACGCCCACCACCATCTGCACGACAGACTTCCGATGGCGGTACAGCAGCTCGAGCTGCTGCAGAAGCAGCACAACAACGTTTGCAACAACAAACGTCTTGGCAACAATCAGGAGCTTCAAGTGAGACTAAAACATTTTCACTGTTAATAGTATAAACTAGTAGATATCTATGCGTATTTTCAATCTTGCATTAAATTCGAGAGGATAGTTATACAATAATTAATAATTCTTTAAATAAAAGAATAATATCATTTCAGGTAGTCGTACTGCTGATAGTGTTCGTCGTCAAGCTCAACGTGAACTCGAGCAAGAAAAGGCACTTGAAAATCAATTTCAACAAGCACTTGATCTAAAAGATCATTATTTCGGCAACCGACAAGTAAGTAAGAGAGATGGAAAATGCTTCGAGAGTAGCCGTTGTTTAATTTATTTCTATGCTATTGAGCATATGTCGCAAATTCAAGTAGTGATTGTAATAGTCAGAGAAGTTTTTGTATCTAATATATTGTTTAATTTTTTCAAAAAAAAACGCTTCCATTCAATCTTTATAATCCATTTACAGTTTTAATAGAAAATCTGGAAAAAAAAGATAAAAATCCTGTGTATTGTGTTCTCTTTAAAATGCAATTATACAAAAATATGTTTGCTAGAAAACTGCATAGCCGATTAATATCTCTACGTATTTGAATTTGCGCTAAGTGTTTTACAATAAAACAAAAAAAAGGAAAAGCTAAAAATAATAATTCTTTTTACCAATTTTAAAATCTTATTTTGAAAATGAATATATTTTCTTTATGTGCTATTTAGATTACTGTCGAAAGTTCTCCACTAGTTGATCTGTCAAATTTACTTTTTAAAGCTCCCGATGTATTTGGTGATGATATTTGTTTACCTTACGATGAATTACAACAACAAATAGAAAATACACTTCGATTGCAACTTGAATCTGAACCAATGGTTGCGGCTACACTTCTATTTTTAACTTGTAATCAAAAAGATAAAGAAAAGTTAAATGCCTGTAAAGAAGTTATATGTAAATATTTCGATAATATTATTGCAAATCCCGATGAAGAAAAATATCGTCGAATTCGATTACAAAATAAAGTTTATGCTGAAGTAAATTATTTGCATTGTTTTGGTTTTCTTTTCATTTTCAAATTATCGTTTTTCTTGTTGTAGAAAGTTGCATCATTAAAATATGCTGCCGAACTACTTCAAGCTGGTGGATTTATAACATCTGACGATAAAGAATCAATTGTTTATCAAGAACGTTCAATTGAACCATTGACATTAGCACGAGACACACTTATGAATGGTGAACCAATACAAGTTCAACTTGATAGAAACTTAAAAATTTTTCTACCAACAAAAGAACGATCATCTGTACCACCTGTGCAACAACTACCAAAAGATCCATTATTTTATCAAACTACTGTTGGAGATGTTTTACGTGAAAAACAACGACAAAAAGATATTATTGAAAAAGAAGAAATGCTACGAACAAAGGCAATGCGTGAACGCGATGAAAAACCTGAACCATCTGTACAATATAGATATACAATTATACGTATACGAATGCCTGATGGCATTATATTGCAAGTTATATTTCAATCAAATGATCGGCTTTCGTGTTTATTCGATTACTTACGTTCATATTGTCTTATATATGATTGGTTACCATTTACATTGATATCAAATGGTGATCGACGAGTTTATACAAGTCAAGATGAACAATCAATGACATTTAATCAATGCGGTCTTGTACCAACTGCTTTGCTTTCGTTTCAATGGAACGAACAAGCACTACGTGAAGTGCTAGGACAAACCCCCAATTTCTCACCTAATACTTTTATTAAACCCGATGTACTTGCGAATGCAACTCGACTGTGAATAGTCTCTTGTTTTATCTTATTTTATTTTTGTGCGCTTATCTTTATTTTATTTATCCATCCATCTGATATTTTATGTTTTTGAAAAGATCAGTGTATATGTGTACATGTATTTCAGAAATTAAAGAAAAAGAAATGAAAACGAATGCTCTTAAATTATTTCGAACAGCTGTTACTGCTGCTGATCCGTATGAATGTGTGAAGCAGCATCTTATTTTTCATAATAATAATCAGTTGAATGATGACAATGCCGAATTGCATATTGGAAACAATCATATCACATTTAATCATAATCTGTATGTTGCAGCATTTGGAAAAGCAGCTATAGGTATATGAGAATTTAGATTTCTTCTGCATGATATATATATATATGCATAAAAAATTTTTTCTTCAATTTTAATAAGCTATGTGTCGAGCTGTGGATGAACTTTGTCATAAGCATATTATTAAAGGTATTGCTAGTGTTCCTGTTGGTGCTATTGAACAAGCGAAAAGGAAAGATTTGCATGCAACTACACATATAGTATACGTTGATTTTAATTGAATTCTTTCAGAAGTGGCATTTATTCATCATGGAATAGTTCATTTGATTTTTATGAAGGTGCTGAAAATAATCTACCCGATCAAGCAGCAATGAATACTGCTCAAATTATTGAAAAAATGGTTTCAAATACAGTGTGTACTGATGATATTCTTTTGGTACTCATTTCAGGTACTATATTATATACAATAAAGAACAAAACTAATCCACGTTTATAATTATTATTCTTTATTTCATTGTTAATTCATGCACAACAGAGTTTTTATCGGCCGAACATTGGACCTGGATTTTCTGAATAGTCATCAAAACGTCGTTGTTGATGGTCGCTATTGTATAATAATTCGGCCAAAATATTTTCTTCATCACTTGATGCTGGTCGAATATCTCTTTGAGTTACTGATCGTTCAGGCAAGAGAGACATGGGCCGTTTGCGTACGAAAATACCTAAATTTGATCCACGAAAAAGAGGAATAGATGTACGGGCATGCGCATCGATACGACGCTTAGGAAAATCGAATTGCTCATTCAAGGATGATGACGATGAAATAGCAGCTTGTTGACTATAGATCACAACACATGCAAGTAGCCAACCTTCAATGAAAATATTATAGAAAAGAAAAAAAAGAATGAATTTATATTAATAGATTATTTGTGTAGTTTTTACCAGTTATATAAACGAGTTTCATGTAAGAGACCATAGTACGTTGGATCGAATGAAATAGTTTAGTTATGGGGTTAAATGATCTCGTTGAAATAATGTAATATCTAAGTTTTATTGCTTACTATATAAATAGTTATCATCGCTCTCGAGTTGTCTTTCTTTTTTTTCTCCTAAGTTTCTTTCTCGCTCTCGCTCTCTCTCTCTCTCTCTCTCTCTCTCTTCGTTTTTATTACCTTTTGATGGTAGTTAGCAAGAAAACTGAGCGGCATTAATGAAAATTTGAACAAATTGTCTTGCGTGATATCATTTTTAATCGTATTTGAGCTTCTTGTCTTTCAGTTCATGATTGAAGATCCACATGCGTGTATAACACAATGCGACATGTAACGCATGATTTAGGAAATATTCGATCCTTTTGTATGAAACCATAACATGCACTTAGAATCAACTGAACAAATTATCACAGCAAATAAATAAATATACGTAGAAAATTTGAATCAAAAACAAAACAACTGCGCTTGTTTTATTTTTAAAATATTCGATGGATTTTAATAGATAATTAATTTAGGCGGTGGATCAGCATTATTACCATTACCTATTGATATACTCTCACTTGAAGAAAAAATTCAAATAATTAAATTACTACAAAGTCAAGGAGCAACTATTCAAGAACTAAATACAGTTCGACAGTCTATGAGTCAACTTAAAAATGGTGGACTTGCACGAATATCTAAAGCTAAAACTGTCAGTAAACGTTGCTGTGATTTAGCGATGTATTTCTTCTATGTATATCTTTGTTTTTATTTTTTTATTTTTCGGGAAAAGATTATTGGATTGATTCTTTCTGATGTTATTGGAGATCCACTTGAATTCATTGCATCTGGACCTACATTTTACAGTGGCAATAAAAATCAACAAGCACTCAATATTTTCAATAAATATGATCTTACGGATCGGATTCCTAATCAATTTTTTCAATATTTAAAAGAAAATGAAACGTTTAACAACGATCAAAATATGTGAGTTTATTTTTCCTTTCGTAATAGTACGTACGCAAAATATAGTTTTCAATCCAATAACTGAATACCGATTTTGATTAGACATATTCTCTTTTGTGAAGACTAAAATTTGTGATCAGTTCGTTTTCTTTTTTCAAAACAAGTCGCTACTCTTGAATTCCTTGCGGAATCTTATTCATTACATGTATGATTCTTCACTTACGGTCGATAACTCTCTTGAACGGAACTACCAAAAATCTACTATTTAGATAAAACAAGGAATTCAATAGTTCTCCTTAGATGGAAAGAACTGATTGCTAATTTCAGTTTACAAGAAAAGAATTGGTAAAAAGTTTTTCTATCTTTATCTGAACTCGGATGACCCATTAAACCAGAGAACTTTTAAAACCTTTGCATAATAATCAAATAAAATTATGGTTTATTCTTATATTTGAAGATTTTCCATTAAACAAATTGATAATATTATTGTGGGAAGTAATCGCATTGCATTAGAGGCAGCTGCTCGTCTATGTCTTCAGTCGAGCGCCTATGTCCCTTTTATTATGACGACCTGTTTACAAGGCGAAGCACGCGAAGTTGGCTGTCGCATTGTTGAACTCATTAAAGCAAACTCATCTCATCTATTTTATAATGATAATATTGCTTCTTTATTTACTGATAAACAAACATTTGATGCTTTTCAAATATTCAGAAAAGAGCACAAACGCTATTGTCTTTTATTAGGCGGTGAAACAACAGTAGTGATGAAAAATGAGATTGGAAAAGGTGGTCGATGTCAAGAGCTTGCATTAGCTGCAGCATTATCTATTGACAGTAGTAACGAAGATGATACATCGCTACTTATATTAGCAGCCGGTTCAGATGGAATCGATGGACCGACTGATGCAGCTGGTGCTTTTGCGTTCAACGGTATGATTACTAATCAGGATGACATTCAACAAGCCTATGCGTCACTTGATAAGCATGATGTGTACACATACTTAAACGAAATAAATAATGGTGAAAATCTTCTCAAAATTGGACATACTAGTACGAATGTTATGGATATTATTATTGTACTTGTTGAAAATAAAGAAAAATAATCAATAAATTCGTATTCAATATTTTAATCATTGAAGAAGTTCACAGACATAAAAGTTTCAAACTAGCACGAGGATATAATGAACTATTACACGCACAGTTCAAACCTAACGTAAGTTTTGAGGATGAATAACTATTAACACTAACAATGTTTAACATAAAGTTTTCAATTAATACACGAGACAAAGTTATATCCATTCAAAATTGTTCAACCAATCTTTAAGAGACCATTCATTATAGTCTATCATAGAATATACAATCGTGTCAAAACTTTATCTATTTTTTTTCTCACACAATATGGCAGTAAAAATAGCAGACCCGAACTGATGAAATTCTTCTTATAAATGTTTCAATTTTTCATATACGATTGAATGAATCATCGAGTAAGTCTCCACAATCAAACAAGTACAACGCCAGTCTCGACTTTACACGATCAACATGATTTAAGGATTTGAATTCCCATGTAAAAATGCCCAACACGCTTTTGTTTATTTTTATATACGAGGGGGATGTTTTGAAAGTTCGTGTATACATAAAGTATAGAAGTAAGATGATAGTCCTGATTATTTTTGAAACAGAATATGAAACAAAAAAGAAGCTCAGTTAGAACATTAAGTATAGATTATTGTTACTGTTCACACAGCTTTCAAACCAAGAGACAAATACATTCGTAATTTGTTCCTGATGTAAGATACAACAGTAAGAGTTGAATGAAATTTATCCCGAGATCGATCGCATATTCACGATTTTAATTTCTTGAAATAAACAAAAAACAGCTGAAAAGAAAATCAAAAACAGTAAACTTTCTTCTACTTAGATATCAACCAGATCTCTGTCTTGGAAGACTATGCATCCTAATCCTGCTAGAATTTTTCTAGTCCTACCATCTCTTACCGATAGCTAAAATTTAGATTCATATGGTGGCATCCAGCAATTAAGTAGATTTCGTCGTAATATTATCTATTTGTATTTTATGCTTTCTTTAATATGATAATCTTATTCTAATATTTTTTCTCGTCATAGAAGTTTATCATTTATAAATATTTTATTTGCAACACATCATATTTCTCTATTTTTAACGCAAGAGTCATGGTAATTCTAGAATATACTTTGCTAAGTACTGTAAGTGTACACCGTCCGCGAAGGTTAAATCCACTGTTAAACAGAGATCTTTAAAAAAATATTCGTTTACAATAAGTATTTCTTAAGATCAAATGACTAATACAATGGAATATATAAAAAATATTTCTATGATCAATTAATAATTATATGATCTTGTTTTATTTACTACAATGGATGTTCCAGTTTTAATGTAGTTCTATTTTAAATTTAAATAAAACAAAACAAAATACTTTCATCAAAAAAATATATAATACATTTGAGCTTTATTAACAAAGTCTAATTAGAATCCAATTAACTTTCTATCGAATGATCCTTGGAAAAATTGAGTTGATATACTTGGTAACAGCGCAAAATAATATTTTCGTATATCTTAAATCTTCATCATTTCGTATGTTCAATTCATCTTATGGTTCATCTCGTATAATTCCATTGTCTCGATCAACATCATTCGAATATTTCGATGATCAAGATCTATCTGCATTACAATTTCGAATGTTTATAGGTACGACATAAGAAATTTTAAAGAAAAACGATCTCAAATTTCTTATGTAATATTTAGGAGTGCTTATTTCATTTTCTATTATCATATGCCTTGTTATAAGTGCTATCATTTATTATGAACTATTTACTGGAAGTAAAAATCAACTAACTGAAGAACATGCTATACGACTAAAAGATTTTAAAGTAAGTGAAGTCTAAGAAAAAGAGATTATGTAAAAATTTTATTTGGTTACACTTGAAGGAATTAACAGGAATGCATATTGAATTAAATGATATTCAATCAATTTTAATGAATGAATTTATTTTACAAGCATGGAAACGTGAAAAATATAGACGAGAAAGACATATTTAAATAATTAGTTCTATTACCGGGTTTACTCATAGCAAAAACGAATACAAGTACAATATACTGTACAACAATGGAAAAATGTATGAAACGGATATTCTTCTACTATTTGAAGAAGTTAATTGTTGATATTGTTCATTGGTTTCATTCAATAATTCTTTTTGCATTTTTATACGATATTGATTATTTTGATTTATCGAATAACGCCGATAATACTTTTGTACATCAATAATAAATCGTAAATTTTTTGTACGACATAGACCATCATACTTTTGATAAATACCATTTTTGTCTCCATTTGATGTTGAAATAAAATAATAAGAATTACCATCCTGAAATTCTGGTATGGTTGGATATGGTAAATATTTTGATATTGATAATGTATACATTAAACGTTTTAAGCTATGCGATTGATCGCATACAAGAAGTGGCTGATAATTTTCTGTTAGACATGCATGATAATCAATTTTCGATACTAAATATAATGTATTATATTCCATAGATGTCGATTCATTATAATACGGACAAAGAAAATCAATTGTATCACCAAGACGTGCATTAAGAATAAATGAATTATTAGAAGAGAAAAATGGATTTAAAGAATTCCATTCAACTTGAAAGTTTTGTCGTCGCCGATGTTGACAATAAGAAACCGAGATTGAACTTGATAATAAATATATAAATATTAAATATAACACCATATCGAAAAAGATCAGATTCAACTTTTGTGCAAGAAAAATAATTCTATTAAATAAAAATGTATCTATGTATTCATTCTATTTATCTGTATATGTTTATGAAAATGACGAAGTGCTGAGATTACATAATCAATGACAAGCTGTGAGATTGTGACAAACATCATGTGCGTGTCTAATTTTTTTTTTCGTGTTGGACATTCCAAATTTTTCTCTCTCTCTCTCTCGCTCTCTCGCTCTGTATCTATCTCGTTCTCTGATGACAAGCTGTACAGTCGAAGGTGATTTGTTGTCAAATGATGTTCATTAGTCAAGATTATACCGCTTAGATATAGAATAGAAGAAAAAACAAATTCTATTCACACTTTATATTCTATAATCTCTGATGATGATGAATGATGATAAAAAGTGATTTGCGAACCGATGATGATTCAATATATTTCATTTGAGAAAATAGATAATGCCTTGAGGTATTTTGTTTCTACATGTTGTTTGTATTCTGAAAGATAAATTTAGTGGCGTTGATCAACAACATTCTTAAATCGATTTTTCATACATTTTTTTGTTTTTCTTTCTCTCTCTTGAAAATATTCACAGTTAAGCTTCATTGATTATACTGGTGATGTGTCATTTGATTTTCAAATGACTTAAGGGAGTGTTGCTTGCTTAGATATTAAAATAATTTGTTATTTGTTTTGTCTATGTTTATTAACACAATTTTAAATATTAGCCTTGGCATCTCATTTTTTCTTTGACAAGAACTCGAGATAAAAAAAATGAACTTAATCGTATTACTCCAGAGTTTCTATTCATATCGTTCGTTTCTTTTTTTTTCTTTTTTCTTTTTTACTTCGACCAAGAAGTTATCAATGAGTGGTTTCTCTCCGTGCGCCTATCTGTATCTTACTGTTATCAGCCTGATAATCGGAACTTGCTGACATGGTGTCTGTCTACTAGTTGAGAGTATAGAGAATAGTGAGAAATAGGCAAGACAAAAAAGAGAGATCAAATTAAAAGAAAGATAAAGCTTCGCTTTGTTTACATCATGAAATATCGATTTGGTTTTGTTGAGTATTAAATTCCAAAACTCTTGTCATTGATTATCGATTGAACATAAACACAATGCCCCTGACTTTCTTCCTCTAACTATTTACTCATTCTTTTTTTTTTTTGGTCGATTAATATGAGAAAAGAGAAAGGAGAACTACTTATCAGCTTGAACGGACACAACAATAATATTTGATGTCCTTCGTCTGATATATACTGATGTAGACGGACGTTCAACAATCATCTCGGACAGAAAGAAGCTCAACAATGGCATGCATGCAAACTCAATCTTTTCTTAACGGGCTGTCGAATAAATGAACTAGCCGTATGTCTACATAGAGTTTTTTTTGCCTTTCTTGATGCTCTTGACTTGATGAAAAAGGTGGTCAATGTTCGACATTGCGGCACATAATAGAACTAACAATAACAACAAAAGTGAAGAATGAAAACAGTAGTTCAACATTCAACTTTTGATCCGATAACAAAACAATGTTTAGATAGAGACAGTGAGACATGTATTCATAAGTTTATACTTATACCATCATATACTTTCTCTCTGGAGAGAGAAAGAGACAGAGAGTCAAGAAAAAAATAATGATTATATGACATCGTCAAGAAATGAATGTCATCGTTTGTCTTGATAGATAGATATTGGAAAGTTAGATTGAACAGCTCTCTCTCTCTCTATATATATATATATCTATATTTACATATCTTCATCTCGAGGGAAAAGGAAAAGAGAAATCAACCATCATCCTGTTCCATTTTTTGACATTCCAATTAGTATAGAAGCACCGACTCGTGCAATATATACACATACATACATCCAAACACAAACACGTTCTCGTCGATATGTTTGTTCTTTCTTTCACTAACTCACTCATTTCTCTCCTTCTATGTTCTTACTTGTACTACAAGCAACGGCTGACTGCTGCGCGTCTGTCAAAGCTAAACTTGTCCCAACTAATCGAATATCGCCTGTGATATATGTATGCATATGTGATGACCGACCGGACATTGAATGACTGACGTTGTTCTGAATTATGAGAAAGAAAGGGCATATTAACCTAACTGATCACTGTCCGATATTACGGGAAATGAATGAATGAATGAATGGATTGATCATTTTCATCATCCCTCTTGTCTTATTCTATACACAGATATCGGAAACGGTCTGTCTCTGCTCTAGTTCTTCTCTCATTTATTGTGTAAGCAAACAAGGAGATAGAGAATAGGTTTCTCTTTCTTTTGCCGTCATGTTTTATCTATCACTTGTGCGCATATATATATATATATTTATATATGTTGAGCTTTCAAGACAGGTAATCGATGATGTTGTAGAAAGAACGAGCAATGGTAGTGGTGACAAACACAAGCAACACTTCCTAATGAGAGTATTTTCTTGTTAGATCCTCCTCCTTTTCTTTTGAACGATTGCATCATCGTATGGAAATTTCGAATTTCTTTGTACGTGCTTGTATGTCTGTGAATGAAAAAAAATACGTTTTGTGACGGTAGTATACTTTGACAAGTGGGTGGAGTAAAAAAAAAAGAGAGAACAACGGAGTTTCAGTATGTTTATTCAATCATTCCTTGAGCTGACCGATGAACAATTTGCATATGTACAAGTACACTTGCACAATCATCATTTGTTTGAAATGACAGCTAGAAAAACTATTCTTAAATGATACCCATTCATCATTACTTGACAGTTAATCGAATATTTCTTTTTATTTCAGATCCATAACTGAATGTGTTCATTAGATAATGTTAATATTTTATCGAAAATGTATGACATTCCTATGGATTCTATTCTGTCAAATGAATATCCTTCGAACTTCTCACATTCGTCATCTTTCTCTATTAAATAAGATTCATCATTTAGCTTATTATTCTCCGTTAAAATGGCTTTATGTTGCTTCAATTGATTCAATTTCAATTTTTGATGATAATTTAACATTAGTACAAAGTATATCGACAAAAAATTCTTATTTAAATGATTATGATATATGCCAAATTAATCCTTGTCAGTGTTTAAATAATTTAACAAATGATTATAATAACAACAATGATGAGGATTTAACATCGGATCGATATCGTCGTTCGAAATTAATTCAATCATTAAATTTACAACATTCTACCGATCAAAATAATTATAATTTATTAATTTATCTTGAAACAGAAAATCAAATAAAGAATCAACCATATTTAATTGATTGTTGGTCTCTACAAGCAGGTTCCTGTATTATTCGTAATGCACTGAATCTATCACAAATTTATTATCAACAAATATCAACAACTAACGAACAAAATCAGGCACAAAAATTTTTGTTCAATACTGATTCAAAAATACCAAATCATATATTTCCGTTTCATTTTAAATTTAACAAATGTAATAATACACCGACTTATCTATTTTTAACATCAACATTAAAGAAAAACTTCGCTACACCGAATCCAAGAGAAAAATCCGACGATTTAACTGATCGTTTTTATTTTCAATGTCTTGAACAAGGACAACGACGTACAATTGCTTTGCGAGCGTTTGTATATGATGATGAAATAAAAAAACCGGAACACTATGTAAACAAATCTATGAACACAACGGTCAAACTACGAACCAGTACCGTTGTTAAAGAATCGATTATGAAACATCAAAATGTTCACGTCGAGAACTCCATTAATACAACAAGGTCATCTTCAAATAACAATATATCAAATGTAACATCAGTTAAAGCAATACACCGAACATCATCAACTGCTTCAATGATTCCTGATGATCATGTAACAAATATAAATAAGAATAAGAATAACAGTGCATCATCTGAATTCAATTTTATTCATGAACAGGTTCCATTTTTGAATATAAATGATTATTGTCCTGAACAATTATCTGTTGTACGTTCAATTTATACAGATTTTTTTGAACGAGAATCTTCTGATAAATTTCGAATATTTCAAGATATTTTCTATGATGAAAATAATTCAGCTATATATTTGTTTACTAATCAACAACATGTTAGTAAAATCATACGTTTATGTGAAGGACAAATATCATTTCGACATTATGTTGAATTACAAATTACCTGTGGAAATGATTATACTCTTATACAAAAAGTTAAAGTCATTAAACTAAACAATAATAAACAATATCTATTGACAATAGCATCAAAACCGAAGACATCAAATAGTATTGAACCATCAATAAATAGTCATTCAGCCATATGTTTATATGAACTTGATCAAATAAGAAATGCTTTTATTGAGAATATTCTCGATTTAGCAAAAGGAAATGTTTCACTCGGTATGGCTTGGTTACATGGCGAATCAGTTATTGTAAGATTCGATTAATTATATTATTATTTGAAAGAAAAAAAAAGTAATATGTCCATTCTTATTTAGCCGCAATATCCTGCCCCATATGGAAATTTAGCTCGATGTTCAACAACACGAGATGCAAGCTATTTAATGATCTACGAAGGACCGTCGAATATTTCTTCACAGCCAATAATGAATTTTTCATCTGATCAATTAACATCATTGGAAGCAACTATAGTTAATGGTTATATTGTTATTTTAGCTGGTACAGCTGATGGTAAAATTAAAAAGGTAATTGATATTTTCGGAAAGGTTACTATTGTGTATCGATAAAAAAAGGATCATGTTGTATTTGATTGATGGCAAATAACACTTTTGAAGTATTTATTTTCCTTCTTTTTGTCGGTATAATTACTAGATCAAAAAAGACAGAATCAATTGAGAAAAATTCGGATTCATAGAAATAAGTTTTAGCATATTGATATAATCAATGAAAAAAATTGTAACTCATGCATCATTAGTAATGGCACTATTCATTCATATTTCCTATGTATTGTAGTCATATTTCTAGACAGAAAATATGCGTTCACAAGAGAATTTTTCCGGCGAGCTAATTACTTTTGAGCTACGGCTCTATGTATCATGTACATTTTCACGAGTACAAAATACCCTGAACAATTTTTGGCCTATTAGTTCATCGGAACAAGATTATTGCTATTTACAAGTATTGGTTAAGTCAAGGTCGCCGTAATTCCCGATAGAGCTACGAAGAGAATCTGTTTTCGACTCCAACTTTAAAGTTTTGAAGCTACACGGAACTTAACGAGAATATGTTGTTCATAGAAGACAAGCTTTTTTCCACAGGCATATTTAACGATAGAAATGAGGAAATAATCTGAAATTTTTGATAGTTCACTATTGTCATTGAAGTTTGTCTATTCATTCATTTTCAAGGTACAGTTGAAAATTTAATTTTCTTGGTGTTCTTCAGACGGAAACTGGATCCTACATGATGCGCATAGTTACTATAACAAAAAAAACAACTAATCAATTTGGAATCTCCATCGATCATAAGACATAACTTGAAGTCTAGAATTAGTGAAAAGTAATCAATGCGAAATGTCAAAATATAGAAAAATTCATTAGAAGCCAGTAAATGTTGAAGAATTTCATAGGTTGCTAATGATTTTGAAGTAGACCTAGTTTTTCATATCTGACATCGAGAAAAAGATGAAAGAAAAAATACGAATTGCATAATTATTTATCGAAAACTCTTTAGTTGAACCCAATTAGTTCAAATATGGATAGGGATTATTGCAGTGTCTTAATCCTCTATTAATGCTCATGGGATTAACTTAAAAGAAAAGGAAGCAAGTGAAAAGACCTCTTCATTAATATTTTTCTTTGAAGTATGAATATTCTAATGATTAACAAATACTTTAGATCAGTGTTCAACCAACAACGAAGAAAGCTTTTCAATTTGAAGAAATATTGGTTCATCATGACGAATCCATTCTTCGCGATATGATGTTAGATAAAAATAATCGTTTTCTTTATGGAGCAACAAAAACACAAGTAAGTATATGAATGAGCTATAAAATAAAAATTCTCTATTTACTCTCTCTCTCTCTCTCTCTCTCTCTTCTTTTTCTAATTATTTTATTAATTTATCAATTATTTTTCTAGATCTTTCAAGTTGATCTTCATGATTGTAATCGATTTAAAACATGTTCATCATGTCTTTCAACACAAAATCCATACTGCGGCTGGGGTACAACAATAAATCGGTAAGTTTGTTTATTTTGAGAACTGAGTTTTTCATCATCTTCTTTGTCTGTCTACAGCTGTACGATACAACAAAATGAAAACAATGATAAACGACGTTTTCGTTGGTTACAAATATATGAAAGTTGTCCAACTATTATTGAAACAGCGCCTGTTGTCATTTCAAAAGGAAAATCGGACATAGTAAAACAATGTTGCTTTCCTTAAATTCTCTTTTTTTTGTTTACTATTGAATATTTTAGTTACATTTGAAGGTTGCTAGTGTACCCGACGATTCTACTTCGAAATATTTCTGTTCGTTTGCATTAACTTCACTTCTAACAGAAACAGAAGAAAATGATACTGATACACCTATTTATATATCAAATGCTATTAAATATGAAAATTATATTACATGTTATTCACCACCACCTCAAGCACTATCGAATATTGCTCACGGTATTATAACGAATCAGAAAGCTAAATTTGCTCTATACGAATAATAATCGATAGATTTATAGGGATCGAACAAAAGATTTTTGATAGTGATATAAAACGAAAGTGAATGCTAACAACTAGCTTCTGGATTATTAATTTAAAGCGATAGAAAAAAGTTTTTAAAATTTCTTTAGTTTTTTCTTTTTTTGCGACAAAAGAGTACACGTTCTCAATGATATTTCAGAGTGCTTTACATAATTTATATATCTCTATTCAATGAGATATTAGAATTGATTGCATAATATAATAACTTTGGCCTATATAATATTTAAAATAAGGTTTTATCGTGAAATTTTCCATCAGTATTAATTTTACTAAAATTTAGATTCAATCGTGATACATCTGTTGTATAATGATATTATTCTTGCAGAAAAAAATATTACATTTTATGATTGTTCATCATATGTGACGTAAGTAATTTCTGATGTTCATAAAAAACAATTTCAAGAGTAAAGACAACTTTTAGATGTACATCATGTATGAATAATTCATTCGATTGTACATGGCAATTATTAACATCAACATGTGTTGATAGTGATTTAGTTGTGGAGAAAAACGACACGATTATAAATAGTTCTTCAATTAATCAATGCCCGCGGTATAATGTATCAAAAAGAGAAATATTTGTTGTTGATGGCGATTCGTTTATTCTTGGTGAAAAGGGCCGAGCGATTATTCAAACAATTGAATTAAAATTTACTATTCAAAAATATTTTCGTTGTGTATTAACATTAATAAATTCTAGTAAAATCACTAGCATTGGAAAAATCATAAACGATTTATTTATTTGTGATCCATTTCAGGTAAGAATTTACAAAAATTATTTGAATCGATTTTGAACGAAGTTATTTTTTTTTTGCTTGATGTAGATTTCTTATGAGAACGATATTGGTCAACAAAGTTTAACATTCGATATCGAATGGAAAGAATGTGAAAATGAATGTACGTATAAAAAATTGGAAGCTCTCACAGATTTCACAGGTAATATATTAATATCAAAAACTTCTCTTGCATTTTCGTTTCATTTCTTTTCTATTTAGTAAACATTTATAAATGTAAACATCTCGCTGATTCTTGTGGTTCATGTTTATTACTTCATGAAAATTATCATTGTATATGGTGCGAGACAGATAAATCATGTCATCATGAAATAAATTCATCAATATGTAAACCAAATCATATAATAAGTTCATCCATGGGTATATGTCTTGATCCACGTCTTCGGCAAATCTATCCTACAATAGGTCCACAGTATGGTCGTACGCCAATACAAATATATGGTTCAAGCTTAGGTAAAACTCCATATGATATATCTGTTGTTCTTATACATTCAAATCAAACGGAATATCCATGTGATATTCAAATTGAATCATATGTTATTGCTCAATCATTTACTTGTCAAATGCCATCCTTACCAATTGGAATCTATACCATTAAAGTTACTGTTCATTCGGTTGTTAGTAATGATCAACCCATTTTTCATATTGTGGTCAGTAGAAAATTAAAAGTGAAAATAAATTAACTATTTTGTTCTTTGTTTAGAAACCAACAATTAATGATGTTTATCCAAATCTAGGACCTCGATCTGGTGGTACTTTACTTTCAATAAAAGGAAAACATTTAACAATAGGAAGCAAAATAAATATATTTGTTGGCCATCAAGCATGTTCACTTGTTGAAAATGAAGAAACACTTATTAGTAGTACAATATCAGATGACGAAAATAATCAACTGTTAACTTCGTCCGTATCACAATTCGAATCATATAATGAAAATGAAGAAGAAACAATTCAATGTCGTACATCTAAATTAGCAGCTATAAACGAACATGATGACAATCGAAAACAAAGATTTGTTAAACGACAAGCATTATGGATTGGCACAATTACAATATTAATTGATAATTTTACAGAAACTTATTCAAATATAACTTATTCATATACAGAGGTAAGAAACTACAAGAAACTGCCGGAATATTTAGAATTATCTATTGATAACGTTTAATAGAATTGAATTGTGTCAAACGAGTGAATCTTCGTCTTCACTTTTGTCTAGGTATCTTAATTTTCCGAACAAATGATCACGAGTAGTTCTACATTTCATGGATATTTTTCGCTATTCCCTTATAACTGTACCATACCACACTTAACTGATCGTTGTATTTGAAATTATAGGATCCACGCGTATATAATCTAAGTCGATATGCAGGTATTCAAAGCGGTGGTTTACCATTTCTTGTTCATGGTTCTAATTTTAATTCTATTCAAACACCACAATTCTTCGTCGAGTATAATAATCGCCAATTATTTATTGAGGTTTGTTCATCCGTTTTCTCTGTTTAATTTGATTTTATATTCAAAAAAAAAAAAAATGAAATTTTAGAATTGCTCAGTTAGAACTGCGGAAAGTATGCTTTGTTATGGCCCATCGTTCAAATGGATAGAAAATGAAACAAAAAATAAAAGTTCAATATTATCTACAGCTACAACAATGATTTTATCAACTACAACAATGTCATCATCGTCAGCAACAACAATAACTCATAGTTTACACTCACGATCAACGGATAAAAATCATTGTTTTGAATTGAAATTTGGCTTTTTTATGGATGATGTTGAACATGTTCGCAATACGTCAACATATGTTGAGACATTTCTAATTTGTCCTGATCCAATTCTACATGCATTTAATGATGATGGCCAACGTATACAATATCGTCACGACTATTTATCAATTGAAGGTTCAAATTTACTCGATGTCGCAACAATAAATGATTATTCGATATCGATCGGTTCATATCCATGTATCATAACATCAATATCCGATCAACAAATTGTTTGTCAACCAACAAATCGTACTATTGAAAAATTGATAAGAAAAAAACGAATTTTACTTGATATTCATACAAAATATAATGAACACGCTATTGTTCGCGTAAGTATCAAGTACTTGAAATTAAGTTTATAACTTTATTCCTATTCAATAGGTCACACTTGGCCGTCGAGTTTATACATTGGGTACATTAATATTTACGTCAAATATTGAAAAACGATCATTAATCTTATATTACATAATCGCAAGTGTTTGCGGATTTTTTCTAACAATGTTTATCATAATCGTATCAATTATTTTTCGACGAATAAATTCAAAACGTACTCGACAACTTAACCGTTTACAGAATCAAATTGATACACTTGAAATGCGTGTTGCTCGTGAATGTAAAGAAGGTTAGTTTTGCCTTCATGAAAAAAGAAAATCTATACTTATTACTTCTTTATTTTGCAGCATTTGCTGAACTTCAAACTGATATAGGGGAAATAACAAATGATTTGTCACAATCAGGCGTACCCTATAATGATTATCCTATCTATTGTATGAAAGTTTTATTTCCAAATGCTACTGACGAAGAAAAATATATGATGCTTCATAATATTGATATACCGGTAAGCTTAAAAAAATACAATGAAAATACTTGCGATTGATAAATCTCTTTGTAGCTGAACCTACTCTGCTATGTTGACTGAAATAATTTTTGAGTATAATAAAAATATTTGACTCCCTTACCTTACTGATACGAAGAAACTGTACTTTAATGGTCGGTTTTTACATGAATACCATTGTCTATCGCAGAAACAGCAAATTCTGAAATATTTACAAGAAATCAATCTTGTTAAAATCTGTATTTGTATACAGTTCGAAGTCAAAATTTAAAAATATATTCTCATCATGTTTCGGAGGAAAAGTCTAGATTTCTTTCTTCAAACTACAATGATCCGTTTCTTCGCTGTCTTCCAAAAGAATCAAGACGATTCAGTGTAGAATTTGATCCGATAGGTCACTACAGTATTTGTTTTAAATGAACTATATTTATCTTTTGTTCCCTAGCTTGAACCTAATCGACGAAATAATGTTCGACAAGGTCTTCAATTTTTATCTCATTCATTGTATAATCATCATTTTCTTCTTGTAATTATTCGTACATTGGAAGCAGATAAAATTAATTTTCGTTTACAAGATCGTATGCAATTTGCATCGCTGATCAGTATACTTCTTCAAGATAACATTGAATATTTAACTGAGTATGTCACACGAGAAATTTTTCTTATTTATCTAATTATTGATAATTGATTTAGAATATTAAAAATATTATTAAAAGAATTAATTGAAAAGTCATTACAACAAGACCGAAATAATAGTAAAATTCTATTAAGAAGTAATGCATCTGTCGCTGAAAAGATGCTTTCCAATTGGTTTGCTTTTCTACTATTCGGTTATATTAAAGTAAGAAATTAATTTCAAATAGAAAAAGAATTTTTATTTTTCGATATCTAAGGAACGTATTGGATCACCGTTGTATATATTATTTCAATCAATTAAACAACAGATTCATAAAGGTCCTATTGATTATTTTACAAATGAATCAAGGTATTCACTAAGTGAAGATAAACTTCTTCGACAACATGTCGATTATCAATCAATGGTAAATAATGCAAAGAAAACATTTGATTTTCTTATTGATTTTTGTTATTTCAGATTGTTTATGTGATTCAATTGGAAGATGATAAATCTCATCTCATTGCAACACCGGTGCCCATTAAGGTTCTTAGTTGTGATTCAATCACTCAGGTGAAAGAAAAAATAGTTGATCATTTCTACAAAAACATTCCTTATTCCAAACGTCCATCAATTGAAGATTTTGATTTGGGTATGTATGCATGAACATCGAATGCTTCTTCTATATAGATTATCAAACTATAGAATACATTGACTACTGGATACTAATCTTCCGAGAATTTTAGTTTTTCAAGTTCAATTCAGAAAGTTTAAGATGTTTGAGAGTCTTTTGTTCTTGAATATTGCATCAGTATATATATGTTTTTCTTTACCATAGAGTGGAGGATTGGTTCTCATATGAAACTACTTCGTGATGATGAAAAAGTTGATATTCCTGATTCAAATGGTTTTCTACAAGTACATACATTAGCAACTTATAAAGTATAATAATAATATATAAAGATAGTAAAACTAAAATGAATGATCTAATTTTTAGATACATGATGGTGCTCGATTATTTCTTAGCATAAAACCTGGTGTGAATCATACGAATACATCATCAAATTCATCGTTGTTTAGTTCACAAACAAATTCTGCGGGTTTAGCTCATGGACTCACCGGTTGCTATCCAACTAAAAACTCATCTTATACAAAAAAACTTGATGATGATCATAGTTGGCGATTACTTCAAGGACCTGGTAATAAAATATGGATACTTCTTTTTATATACGTTTTGTCTCGAGAGTCATGAAATTACTGATCAAACTTGAGGGCAACTGGCATCTCTTTACAGAAAAAGAAATTTTCGTGCGAATTAAAAATATCAAGATAAATAAGATTGGGAATAGCTCGTGACCTGGTTTTATATAAGCGACATTTTTTTTATGGTTGCTATTTTTATCCAATAGAAACATATACTATACTTAGAAGGAAAAAAAACTGCTAGTTTACGTTGATTCGTTTTTCTGTGTCTATTTTATTGATCTCTATTCTCAGTTAAAAACTAAGATGAAAACACCGGACTCTACGATGCTCACGATTTTATCATTCTTTTCCAAAGAAAAATGCATAGAATAAAGATAGAAATTCAAGTACATATTGAAAACAAACTGCACATACGATTGTCGATTTAACAACGGAGTCGAATTGTTAAACAGTAACCTTTTCTAAATTTTTTCATAAATTTGATTAAGTTTAATTAGTAGCAAAACTGTTTGTGTCTATAAAAAGATCTCACATGAGCTTGAGATAAAAGAAACTTGCTATTATAAAATAGACAACCAAATATTATTAAATTCAATAATAGATTTAATCAATTTCCGAAAAGATCATCGATTTACTAATACAATTCATTCGGAACAATCATTTTTCAATTCACGATCAGAACAAAATACACATTTTTATCATTTGGTAATCAATTTTTTCTTTTTTTCTTAAATTTATTTATCAATTCATTTTATTTCTTATAGGTCAAACCAACCGATCGTGAAGATGATGGTCGAACATTAATAACAAATAAACTTGTTTCAGAAGTTTATCTAACACGTTTATTAGCAACAAAAGGTTCATTACAACAATATATTGATAGTTTTTTTGATACGATATTTTGTCTTGCTGATTTGCCATTGCCAATTAAATATTTATTTGATTTTCTTGATGAACAAGCCGAAATTTATCAAATATTCGATTCAAATATTATTCACACGTGGAAGAGTAACAGGTGTGAAAATTAATTTAAAAATAAAACAGATGCAAATAACTATTTTTTTCAAATATTTTTCTTAGTTTACCATTAAGATTTCTTGTTAATATTATAAAAAATCCTGATTTTATATTTGATGTTCAAAAAACCAATGTTATTGATGCATCCCTGTCAGTTATTGCTCAAATGTTTATGGATAGTTGTGCTGCCGGTACTCATCAATTAACAAAAGATTCACCATCATCAAAGCTGTTATTCTATCGTGACGTACAAAAATATAAAAAACTTGTAGAAAAGTTAGTTTGAAAACAAAAGCGACCGCAACTAAATCTAGATAATCATTTTGAAATTAAAAAATAATTTATTTTAGGTATTACGATGCTATCTCTTCATTGCCTACTGTCTCTACTACTGATCTCGATCAAAATGTGATAATAATTAAAGAGCAAGAAAATCAAGTACAGGCAAAATATTCTTTTTTGAATTCATATTGAAACTATATTGTTTTTTCTGTATTCAGAATTCATCGAACAAACGAACAAATGACTTCAATCGAACTTATGCTCTCTATAAATTATATAATGAATTTATAAGTCGATATAAGACTAGTTTACGAATAGCAATGATCAATGATTTACACAACAAACAGTGTCAATTAGTAGCGGTATTTGAACAGATTGTTACTTTAATGGAAAGCTTTGAACTTGATATTTAAAACTGTTTTTTGTTTTGTACAAAACATTTGCGTATTAATCGACATATTAAAGATATGATCTTCAGAAATCTTCTATTTATTCGACAAGGAGCAGCAAATTTTGATCTTATTTGATTGTGCATTTAAATGAACAGAACAGAAACAGTTTTAAATCCATTTATATGATTAGGCATTTCTTTTAAATATCAGATTGACTACCATATACTTAGTCATATTACTCTACAGTGATATCAAACCAATTTCTAATGCTCAATAAATGTAAAAACATTCAATTGCATCATGTATCTTTATTCGCTTCACTCACAAATACAAGCTTCATTTACTTCCAATTAAATATGAACAAGATGCACAGCTTGTGTTCATTTTAAAATCTGCATCTATTCATCAATATAAGTAAAGAAGTGTCATTGAAGAACGAATATATATCTTATATATATTGAACTTCAAAAAAATGTTTAAGTCTGTGATAAAACTGGATCTACAACGAACTAAAGTTGATTGATTCAATTCAATGACAACAAGTTTTTCATTTGATATACGATGTTCTTCAACTTCTAGATCAAACCTTATGAAAGCTTTTTACAAACAAACTGAATAAATAAATCCAACAACTTCTCATAGCACTTGATAGTACTTTGTTAGCAGACAACCTATGTTTCATTCAAATTAGTAATATCAGTTTGAAGTTTTCTGTCAATATTAAATTGAGTTGGCCAAGGTAAATTGTAGCGCACGCTATTATTTGTTTATCCATGAAAAACAAGAGTTACTGAAAATAAATGAGATGTTAAACTTTGGAAAGAGAGATATGAGATGCAGATTGTATTCAAAAAATAGCTAATATATGCATTTTACAAGATTGCTGCAGTGTTAAACTGATGATTTCAGTGCATATCAACGGATTACTATTGAAATAGTATTTAGAATCTGATTTCACTGAAACTTACGTATAAGTATTCCGAGCTCTATTATGTAAATCGAGTATTTGTTTTGCTGTTCAGAAAACAATCTCTTTAAAATAATAATTTTTTAATCTTTTATTTGGCTTAAGTGTAATAACAAATATTACGTTCGCATTCATCAATATATAAGAAGATTATTATTTCAAAAACAATCTTATTGATTCAAGTGACTAACGAAAAGTTATGAACAGTTTTTTTACATGCATAGAAAGTGTTAAATAAGCTGCTTTACAAACATTTCAAATTGTTGCTATCGAGTTCTTCCAATTAGAGCGAAATTTTGTCTGTTCGTTGATAAGGTGGTGAACAATGATGTAACTAAATTACAATAATCTTAGTGTTCTGTACATTTTTTTTGTTTCTTTTCGATACATAAACTTCTTGTTTCTCGTCGTTGCTGTTAAGTAAACATTCAATCATACGGCGATTGCATAAACAAATGTAAGTACTCAAATTGTGATTATGTTCAATATTATATGGTCTAAGGTGAATTTCGTATTCGGCATTAGACCGATGTTAAGTTTGAATGTAGGTATACATGCGAACTATGTCGACATTCATCAAAACAAAAGGCTCATCTATTGTTGTGTTGTTGAGACTTATCAAAGCTTTGATCTCTGCATTTATTTCATCCATCATACCAACGCATATTTTTCTATTGTTGTAAAGCGAGGTTGTTCAAGGTATCCGATGCATCTATGAAAAGAACAAAATCAACGAAAAGTGAAGTTCTCTAGAGCATCTTGTCACTATCAATCAAATCATACATCACGATAACGACAAAGCCACAAAGTAATCACAATCATGACAAGTTAATGGTGATAATTATAGAATGTAACAAATTTGATAGCTCATAGAAATATTTAGATCCATTAACAAATGCATGCATTAAGTATTAATAAATTTATTCTGTCGTTACTCTAGACAATTAAAATACTATTTAAACTAGATGTGATGGACTATAGTAGATTTTAAGAACCTTTATTTTTTGCGGTTGTTTTTAAACACTCGGTGAAATCGATTTATATCGTCAGTTATTTTTTCATCTATAAAATATTTGTTTCCATTCAAATCTATCGGAAAAAAACGTAAGTAATGGCTATAGGTAATGGTTCGTGTAATGCGGTTATTTGCATGCATTTTATATTTGAAACATCTTATTAATAAAATAATATCACACGACTATGTAAACTGTAATGCGAAAGAATTATGTAACACCATTGAAAGTAATTCGTTCTGAAACGAATAAATTAATGTAAAAGGTTATACTATTGAGTTTCAAGGTTTTCTTTGATTTACAGGCACATTTTTTGAGGAAGTATGAAATTATTGACATTATTTTCAACGCAATGCAAAGAACGAAATCTCATTTGTGTTGTTTATGTCAAAGAATTTTTCGTCACCTTTACTGTTTCATGTTTGCCATACAAGATTATTCATGTTCATAACATAAGTCTGCCGAGATTACTTTTCTTTACAAACAGTCTGTATTTATTCTCGAATGAGAGAAAATAATTTTCTTAAGGTACTGCATATAATTACAAATAATACAATCTAGTTCATTTAAAGTATAACATAGTTGTATGTACCACAAGTTCTATGAATCGATGTTAGAATAAATATGCTATGAAGTAATTTTTCGCAAAAATTTCATTCAACTTTCAAGAATGATTACAACAAAAATTGATCTATTCACTTGAAGACTATATATTTAAAAAAAAGATTTTGTCATGCATTTTTATTTACAAAAGGAATACATATTTTATACATAAATTTTTTTTTCTAAGAAATAAAAAGATCATCAAATAAACAATTAAAATATTGAATAAACATAGACCAAAGTGAATGAATAAGTAATGAAGGTTCTTTATCTCGTAATAATGGTAAATAATCAAGTACAGTTTGAACATTTTCTTCCTGATATCGATAGAGACAATCGAGTGTTAGTGGTCGACGTGTTTTAATCGTATTAGTTGTTTCAAATTGTCGTTTATATGTTTTAATACCTGATAATAATTGTTTTATCGCAAGTTCATGTGTATCAAGTATTGTTTGAATTGAATTTGTTTTTGATGATGTACATGAAAGAAGACATTGCAAAAAATTTGTTTCAAATTGAACAAGATAAATTAAACGATAAAGATCCAATGAAGATTTCTGTAAACTATAAATAGAAAAATTTTTCAAATCTAAATAAGTCATTTTAATTGATATTGAACTCATTAAAGTAATTGATAAATCATCCTTATACAAATTGAAAGTTGAATTAAAATAATGCGGCACTAATTTAGCTTGAAGGCGATCGAAAAGAAAATCAGTAAAACGATGTGCATGATTAAGCACATCGGTTGAAGTAAATGAATCGGATGAATATTTTTCAAAGAAATAAAATAACGTATGTTTAAATATAACAAATGGAAGTTGCCCTTGAGTCTTTCCGTTTAAATAATTCCAAATAATCGATGCGAAACGTATTTGTTCATCAGACATAGTTGAAACAAGTTTTGCTTCAATCACTTTGTATGTGTAAGACCAAGTTGAATCTAATGAAGCTGAAAGGATTTTTTCACAAGCATGACATTTATCTGTTGCACGCATGTATTGTTCATCATTATTGACTCGAATAAAACAAGTACCATCAAATAGGTTATCAATATTGACGGGCCATAAACGTTGACGTTGTTCATAAATGTGACGTAGTTCTTGTGGCCATGAACAAACTCGTAAAATAAAGTACAACGATGTATAACTAACATCAAGATCATACGAATAAGAAAATTTCGCATTATTGATAATAGTTTGTCGAGTTTTACTTGGATGTGTTTGCGATATATAACCAAAAACTGTATTATGATTAGTTTCATTGAAACACATTTGCACTAGATTATGCGTTGTATTGACGAGAAAAAATGGACGCAAACGATGATTAAGTTTTGAACCGGAAAGTAATGACGAACAATGATCACATGATGAAAATAGTTTTGGTAAACGTGTTACATTGTTCGTTGTATATTTCAATGATTGAATACCAAATAAACGACTATGTTTAGTTATGTGAACAAATTTTTGTTGTTCATCGAAGATTAATGATGGTGTATCGAACTTTTTTACATCTCTACAAAGAAATAAACTATTTAAGATGAATATAAAAATTAAAACTAAAATAATTCACTTTAAATGTACACATTCAAGTTCTTTATGTTCAATTAAAATAGCTTTTGAAGATCGATGAATACGAATAAATTGTTGTTGTACAACATTATCAATAATAGAACTAAGTGTTTTACAGTTATGAGAAATAATATTCTGATGAAATTCGTTGAGAAATAAATCATTATTACAACGCGACGATGATGCTGGTAATAATGTTGTAAAAATGTCATTCGATGGACATATATATGATGACTGATTGTTATGAAGATAGATTTGTTCTGAATAAGTTAATGAACGAGATCCATTTTGGCGTGTCAACGGATTTGTTCTGTTTGAACGAGAATATGGTGGACTAGGTATAATAACTGCATTTACTGCTATTGGCGATGTAACAGCTGATGAAGACGATGACGGCGACGATGAAAGAATAAGTCGATCTTGAGAAGAGAATGGTGTTGAATTACAGGAGAGCGACGAAAGTGAAGAGTCAAACAACGATCGCGAAGGTGAGGTGTTAAGTGATTCTTAAATAAATAGCATACATAAAACAAGTTCGCATTTAAAGAAGCTCTTCGAAATATTAGCTAGCTTAGCTTACCTTGCACGATTTCTCGTTTATCAATCATAGTTTCTCTATTTGTCATTTGATCGTTGATAATTGTAAAATATTGATGGCTTGCACTTTGATCATTGTCGCTTATATGTACCTTGATGTCTATGCTCACTTTTGTACTACCACCTCCACCATCCCCGTTGTCATTTTGTTTATCTATATCTTTCTCCTTGCTAAACAGGTGTCCCATCGCCGTATTTTCTTCGTTTGCCGTTAATTTAAATGCTTGTTCTATATTATTCTCATCAAAAACTATTGATGTATTGCTTGATTTAAATTTTTTACATTCGCCTGACAATTGACCAGGCAATAATGTTGATAATGTATTATGCATGAATACGAGTGGTTCATTACTCGTTGATGTCATAGTCGCTAACAGTGAGGGTGATGAATATTGAATAACTTTTCTTTCGTTCTCGTCATTATCGTTCACTATGATATCATTCTCTTTTACATCGGACAAATGAGACAGAAAAATACTGTTTCGCTCCAATGGCGTATTCAACGGTGACGTTGACAATGATGATGATGATGATAATGATGATGATAATAGTAATACAGGTACTTGTTTTGTAGGTCGTTTATCATTACAAAACAAGTTAGAAGAATTAGTTTTCTTTGAAGGAGAGTGTCTACGTCGTTTATGATGTAACGTAGACTTTTTACCGATACAATTACCCATGATATTGAATTCGTATGATATCTAAAGACAAAAAGCAAAAAGAATGAAGTATGAAATTTTCGTCTCAATTTGAATATCAAATTGGAAACCTCAGTATTTCAATGAAAAAACAACAAGAATGAAAATTACACCGGTATATATATATACAGATATATGGTCCCACTGTGTGTTGCATGCAGGCATGCATGAAAATTTTATGGCCTCACTCTCTCCCATACTTTTTTTTCTATTTAAACTAACAATGGTAAAATTCGTACACATTCGTTGTCCTTCAATCTGTATATCCATCATCATTCATTTAGCTAGTATAACATAGTTTTGTTGTTTTTGAACAGAGGAAATAATTATCAAGTAGAGAAGCAAATTCTTATTCATCTACATCTATCTAAGTGGACTTTCTTTCCTACTATTCTTTTTTTTCTTTTTCTTCTTCTTTTCTCTTGTCCCCTTTCATTTGTCACTGAATGCTTTATGTACTACGATGTCTCAAGATAGTTCGATTAAACACAAATGTAGGGCGGTTTGATAACCTTCGACCAAGAAGAGAAAAAAACTCTCTTCTTGTTCTTCATCTTCATGATATGTATAAGATAATGATTGATATCATTTCGTTGTGTCAGATGAATATACATGTATGTATGGTAAATTAGGACATTATAGTGTAGAGATGTTTATAGATAAAAAAAACAGTAGGCTACTTCATATGGTTTATATATTAAAAAAGAAAAAAGAAACCTACTAACATAGAATTCAAATCGATATTATTACATATGAATAATAGTTATTGCTCTGTAGTGAATGATGAAACCTCTCTAGTAACATATATACTATTATGTAGAGAAACAAATGGAGCGACCGAGAGTTTTTTTTATGTGATCAAAAATGATTACTACATCAAAGAAATACAAATAAATTTTTGAACATACATACTGTGTAAATGTCCTATGAGCATAGAAGTGATTACGATTATTGGTTCTCTATAGATGTATTTATTTTATCCTCTACTTTTGTGTCACAATAGAGTTTCGTCAGTAAAAATGTGTGGCACCTGTTCATCCATAGTTCAAATTCAAAAAGAAAACAGACATCATGTAGAAATGTCGATGGGAGAATGCAATCGAAGCACCACTCCTGAGTTCGGTTGTTCGCCAATGAAAACAAAATGTCCTTCATCGAAATATTGAAAGAAAATTGAACTAAGTGACGTATCTAATTTCGTTTGCATACGTTTATGAATAAAAAGAAAAGAAAGAAGTTCGAAAAAAACCTCAATAGGTAATAAGATGACACCATTAAGTTACTCTAAATAGTTGTCATACGCATATGAATGGGTTTAGAGATGATATTATGATAGCTTCAAGTACATTGCGTTCATTTTTATATGTCAACATTGCCTATCCTAATTTATTTCAAAATAGCTAACAACATGTTTTATTAATTTTTCTTTAGTCTGCTTATGTCTGACAACAATCGCTCTTACCAATGATCGCTTATACCCTCAAACACCATAAAGTGATTCTTTTAGTGTGTGTGTGTGTCTCGTCTCCTGTCGTTTCATGTTGAGCCGCCTTGAATAATGTACGTGTGTTTGTGTGCTTGTTTATGTATGATATGAGATTATTGCCTCTACTTACTACCAATCTGATCTTAACAGACTACTAGATATCAAGGTTCGATCATTACATCTACATCTGTCTATATTCATACACAGAGAAATAGTAATGTTCCGTGTATGAGAAAATAAAAAGGCTAGATCTTGACTCACGGATAATTTTTTTGTCAACGAAACTAAATGTCTTTCGATTTTACTGAGTCTGTACTATTTGTCTTTTGTGTCTCGTTCTGTTTTTTCAAATAAAATGGATCACATAAGTATAATCAGAATATAATCTGCCATTTAGTCAATCATAGATCAGTTGATGATGATGATGATGATTATACAATGTATAGTAAAGATGTTTACATACTATATATTATATATATGCTTGTTATACTTATCGCATCTCATCTGCAAGCACGCGGATGACGAACGATGTCAATCTAGATATTCTCTTTTGTTTTTTTATTCAAACTACTAGAAAAGAAAATGATTGCATCATAGTTTACTTAATTCAATATGCTGTCTATATTTGATAAAAGTGTGGGAAAAAGTAAGGCCAAAGTATTACACAGACAGACAACAGTGATACAAAGGGAAGATTACGAATAGAAGAATATATGCCAAAAGAAAAATGAATAAAGAAAGAGAATACAAGCTGCTGCTTTTTGGACATAAAATTTCGAATAAAAATTTCAAAAATGATCCCTTTTTATTTTTAGAAAAGACGAGTGAAAAATTGTGACATACTGAATGATAAGTATTTTCTCCAGTAATCGAAAATCGTACGAGATTAAATGTAATCTTCGATTAGTAGTAAATATCAGGAGAATCGTTTAAATAAAAATAATTTTATGGCCACTATTTCATCATTGTAACTTAACAATATACTTATGACTTACTTATGTTTGACAGCAATGTTCTCTCGTTGAAAATGTCGTCATACATACATTCATATACAACATATATACATTGATCATTGAGGTGACTTGCACTATATACAATTTGTCATAACAATGTGAACACACACACAGACTCTACTCGATAACGCGAAAGCGTTTTTTTCTTCTCTTCTTTATCATTTCTCTTGATCATGCATATGTTACAGAAAAAAGAGAAGAAGAAAAAAAAATTATATTTAGCATATTAGCTTGAATGGATTAGTGGCTGTATGATGACAATCTTGATCAAAGAAGCATAATGTAACTGTTACTTGAAGTATCTTTTTACACGTTATATCAGACTATGTTGATGTATATATACATATATATATATATATTAAGCAAATATACTTATACACAGATTCGAGCCGATGGTGATAAAGTGATGCATGACACTGATTTTTGCCTAATCACATTTATCAAAAAACATATTTCATTAGGCATTGTCTGTCTTAGAAACGAGTTCAAAGTCATTCATGTACATGTACACATGTGACATTAAGTGGTACGATCAAGGACGTTCGTCTGTGCAAATAATCATCTCAACAGCTCTCATCTTTTATGGCCGTAATTCATGATAATAATAAAAAAGAAAAGTAATTAAAATGATTGAATTTGGTTGAATAGTAGTCAGTTAGTATGCAATTTCATTGATGATCATTTTAAATTGATAATCAAATCTATCTGTTTTCATAATAAAATAATATACGATAAAAAAATGGGAATAACTGGCCAACAGAAACAACCAACAGTCTGTGACAATTCTCATTAATTGAAATGAAAGAGATCTCAGATGCTTGTGTTTTCGAGAACTTAATAAAGGACACGTATCGTTTCATTTCAAAAATATTTTGATCTATCGAGCATTGTTTCAATTCTTTCTAGCGTAAAATCAGAAACAAAATAAGACCTTTAAAGATCTCTTTTTCACTCAGTCGAAAATACAAGTTACTTGTTCTTGTAGTTTTAAATTTATAGAAAGAGTTTACATCTATCTTTATTTTTTTCACAAAAAAAGAATATAAAATAAAGTTTCTCTAATATTTCAAACGTACTTAACTAAAAAAATTCTTACTAACAATAATTCATTGATTGAAACTTTATTAGTGAAAACTAAAAACTATTGAAATCTATCGGTAATAGCAGCCATGTAGATCAGCTTATTACTTCGATTTTAAAGTTATTAACTAGTTTATGATTTCTATTGAAGAGCATCGATTGATATTAGAAAATATTATTAGTATTAAAAAATAACGCTTAAATTATCAATAGTGATTCGTTCTCAAGTATGTGTTGTATCAGAAATTCAATGATTGTGTTTTGCAAGATTTCTGTAATTAGTTACTGTAGAGTAGTCATTTTTTTTATGCAAGCATTTCTCTTTTGTTTTTACTTCACGTTTCTTCGACTGGACATGTGAAATCAAAAGAATGTTTAGTTTGGAAGAAGAGAAACTATTCCATGCTAGGATTTAAAAAGAAATGATCACTCCTACGCAAACTACTAGTGGAAATACAGTAAGAAATATTTTTATCACATTAGTATTTGCAGTGTATTTTATATGATTAAAAATATTTAATATCGATGAATGAAATCAAAAGAATTTCTAAAATTATGTTGTATTCTACTTAAAACATTCACGATGTCGCTATCTTTCGTTTATGCATATTCTTTTGCTACGCTCTTTTTATTGATTAGTCAACTCAACAAATCCGTTACACTGACTTCGGCTTGACTCATTCGTCTATCTGTTGTATATTCTACTTACTTTCTTTTTTTGTGGCAACTGTCTCTTGCTCGAAGATTTGAAAGTCAATTCATTGCCAATAAGCAGAAATATGTCTGGAAAGAAAGGCAAAGGGAAAGGAGCATCTGCTGGTGGTGATTCGGGTGAGGCATCAGGTGGTGGCACTAAGGGTGGCACGTCAGTCAAAGTAAAAAAATATTGACATTGAGATGAAAGATTGATGAAACTTATATTCATAGGTTCGACATATTCTTTGTGAAAAGCAATCAAAGATATTGGAAGCTTTAGAAAAAATTAATAGCGGCATGAAATTCGATGAGGTTGCACGTACTTATTCGGAAGATAAAGCTCGGCATGGAGTAAGAAATCTTTTTTTTTGTGAGCTATGTTTGCCAGTTTAATCTTGTCTATTTCAAAAGGGTGATCTTGGCTGGATGACACGTGGATCAATGGTGGGCGAATTTCAAGATGCAGCTTTTGCTCTTCCTGTTAGCACATTAGCTAAACCTGTGATATCGCCTATTGTTAAAACTAAACATGGTTATCATTTAATAATAGTTGAAGGAAAAAAATAATCACTTGTTACAATAAACTACATCATTCTTAGATGTGCATTTTCTTCTAGATATGAAATAAAATATTTAAAAAAGAACTAAATCGGAAAACTAATGTGGAATGCCACTAAGACTTCGTCGAAAGCGTATTTTAATCATATCTATTATATCGATTATTCTTATTATTTACTTCACTAAAAATCATTCGGAAAAGCAGACAAATAACGAAGATGATTTATTGGATAAACCAATAAAGAAACATGATAAACGATCTGTTAATAAATTAGATGATGCAACTACGAGAAAATCTCAATATCAAACACGAACAGTTCGAGAAGCATTCGTTCAAATTGATGGAAAAACATTGAGAAAAATTGATTGGCATGATTATGAAATGATTGCTCGTGAAAATGCTCGAAAAGGTACTATCGTTTTTTTTGTATCTCTTGGTATTTCATTCTTCTTCTTTCTTTTTCTTGACTTTTCATCAGGACTAGGTGAGGGAGGAATAGGAGTTGAACCAAGTGCAAAAGAACGGAATAGTGCAGAATTCAAGCAACTTTATCGAGAGAATGGATTTCATGCTTTTATTTCGAATAATATTTCACTTGATCGTTCTGTTAAAGATATTCGTCATCCCGAGTAGGATAAAAATTTTATTTGTTCTTTTATTCTACGTCTATTTGTTCCTTTTGTTTTTATAGATGTCAAAACAAATTATATCTAGCTGAATTACCTTCTGTAAATCTTGATATCGTAGTTTTTCTTTCATTATCAGTTTATTTTCTGATTAGGTTAGTATCATTATTCCTGTTCATGACGAACATTTAAGAACATTACTACGATCAGTATATAGTATATTAAATCGAACACCAGCAAAACTTCTCAAAGAAATCATTCTTGTCGATGATGCTAGTGGCAAAGGTAAATATCTTTCTTTTTTAAGAATAAAGTTAACCTTTAAATCTTGTACATATACATTTATTTAGAGGACTTGAAAGGACCACTTGATGCTCATGTTGCTAATCTAACCAAGACACGTATAGTTCATCTTCATCGACGTGAAGGTCTTATTCGTACAAGATTAGTTGGTGCACGTGAAGCTAAAGGTGAAATTCTTATTTTCTTTGATTCACATATCGAAGTTAATACTAATTGGTTACCACCATTAATTGAGCCTATTGTAATAAATTATAAAACAAGTGTCTGTCCGTTTATTGATATTATTAAATGGGAAAATTTTGCTTATATTGCTCAAGATGAAGGTTAGAATCGTGTTTACAATATGTTGAAACAGTACGAACAAAAATCAACTCATCTATTTTCAGGTGCTCGGGGTGCATTTGATTGGGGTATGTTTTATAAACGGTTACCTTTACTGCCTGAGCAAGCAAAAAGTCCAACAGAACCATTCGAGTAAGACAAAAATGGTTTTGAATATTACGCTCAATGTCTGTCTTTCTAGAAATCCAGTAATGGCTGGTGGTCTATTTGCTATTAATAAAAAATGGTTTTGGGAATTAGGTGGTTACGACACGGGTCTCGATATATGGGGTGGTGAACAATATGAAATGTCATTTAAAATTTGGCAATGCGGTGGACGACTTGTTGATGCTCCATGCTCAAGAGTTGGTCACATTTATAGGCAATTTAATCCTCATGGTGGTTTTGCATTTGGTGATTTTTTATCAAGAGTAACTATGAATGACAATTGAATATTTTAAATTCAAAGCTTTTTTAACAATCTAGAATCATAAACGAGTAGCAGCAGTATGGATGGATGAATATGCTGAATATGTTTATAACCGAAATGGAAATATGAGGTATGTTGGTTTGTTCTTGAATTAACTGGGTCTATTATTTATTTAGAAACGTAAAACCAGGTGATATAAGCAAACAACTGGAACTACGTAAAAAATTAGAGTGTAAATCATTTAAATGGTATAAACATTGTTTCAGCAATAAATTCATGTGTTTTTTTTTTACTTGTCATTTTCTACCAAGGTTTATGGAGAATGTTGCATATGATCTACCTCTATATTATCCACCTGTTCCTTTACCTCCGTATGCTCAAGGAGAAGTAAAACATATAGATATATTATTTTCTTGACTATTTTAAATTAATACTGTTATTTTCATTTAGATTCGTAATTGGAACAGTTCTCTATGTATAGATACAAAACATGGTGGTGAACATGCAACATTTGGTCTTAATCTATGTCTTAGAGATGAGCAGGGTAGAAGTGGTGAACAAGTATAATAACTAATTTTGATGATTTTCTTATTTCCTACTAATTTGATTGTATTTTCTTTGTCAAGGAGTTCGAACTTAGTTGGCGTCAAGATATTAGACCGATAGGTCGTGAATTATGTTTTGATGTACCCAATAGAAGCGAGCGTGCACCTATTATCCTTTTCACTTGTCATGGTAATATTAAAATTAATTTTTGTTTCTATTAAATCTAAATGCATGACTTCCATTTTATCAAAAGGTATGCGTGGCAATCAACATTTTGCATACGATATAAATAACCATCATATTATACATGTATCTACACATTTATGTCTGAATTGTGATTTAGACAGTAGACTGATTTTTATGGAAAAATGTGATGGAAAAAGTAAAACTCAACGATGGTCCTTTTATTCTTACAACGAAACGCTAATTCTCAAAGATATGAAACAATTTCTTTAATGTTAAAAACGAGATGCTTTTCCGAAGGTTCTGTGATAATTTCTATCATTTTATTTGTTTTTTTTTTAAATATTAATGGCACACAATGCACTGGTGATGTTTGATAAATTTTGAGTTACTTGAACAAAATATTTGTTTTTATTGAAAAAGAAATTTTATGAATTAAGAGAAAGAATGATCGTTGATTTCCACGACATGGGTTGATATGATAATACGAGCTGGTGAGTTGAGAAGAATATATTCTTCTAAATACACTAAAACATCTCTATAGTGATGGGCATCCTTCAGACTTTTCAAGAGTATCTACTGTAGGGAGACTACGTATTTTTCAAAAACTTATATTCTCTACTTGAAAGAAACAGACATGCTTTTAAGCATTGGGAGTATTAATGAATAGGATAATTACATAAAGCACCTTATTACTTTTCTTTTCGTGTACTTTTTTGAAAATAGAAAAATCAACAATTTTCAAAATAGTTTTCAATAGAACTTGTGAAATCTATCGAAATCACAAATACATATTTCAAAACAAAAATCAAAATATCTGACAAAAGCGCTCTCACAATTTTGTTTTACTATTCGATAGAGCTGTACATCGTTCTATGAGTTTCCGAACAGTGTTTCTAATGGCACGTGTACGCAAAGCAATGAAAGTCATTTTAGTTTAAAAATAATATTTGTAAACCATGAAGGTATTATGATTTATTTTGAATGTTTTCAGGTATTCACTGAATCGTATTATTTTCCTGTTCAGAATTATGTGTCTGCGCTCTCGGTACTTGAATCATAGCTACCGGGAAAATGCAGCTTAGTGTTGTTCAAATCATATTGATGTTCAGAATGATGATGAAAACGATAATTGTAGTTTGGATAAGTCTTCTGACAATTGTGGATTTTGAAAAACAAAAAAATTGTACGTTCCCATTTTTATGTAGTGAATCTTCCTAAATGAATCAAATACAAATCGCTTTTCTATCTATTCTATATGCTTATTTATTATCGATCTCTGCTTTTACTTGATAAATCAGATATAAACTTGATTTTTCCATTTATTTTTACTATATAAAACAGCAAGATTTTACATTGTGTACACTTTTCACATTTAAAACAGGTTGTACTATACATTTTAATGTAGATTTCCATTCGAAAAACACTGATACGAGATTATATGGGTGAACGATAACAAATGCAATTCATAAACAAGCATTGCATATAAAGTATGCACATCGATCGATATAAACGTATAAACATATATCCATTTCTGAACGAATGAATACGAAGAAAAGCAAATGTTCACCTCTAGTCGCAACATTGCTTTTCCTTATTCTATTTCATCGTCATATATATATATATATTTTTTTTCGCTCAACAAAAGTTCATCGATATTCTTTTCTCTCTTTTGCTGTCGTTAAACGCAGCTTGCGTCAGTCAATTCGAACGTGTGTGACCTGAACAATCATGACAAGGCTTCTTCTTGTCAAATCAGGTGCTTATGAATTAGGAGAAATTATTGGACAAGGTGCTTATGGGTGAGTATTTAGTAAATATGATGAAAAATTGCCATATAATCTTTTTTGTTACTCTATCTAGTTGTGTATTTAAAAGTCGAAATGTAGCTACCAATGAAACGGTTGCTATAAAAAAGATGAGTATGTTACGTACTCGCGATGGTTTACCAACGTCTGTAATTCGAGAAGCTGCTTTATTAAAGCGTGTTGGCAAAGTTGATAGTGATAATTTGATTAAGTAAGCACGTTCTAATATCTTTCCTAGTGTATTTATTTACTTTTCTATAGACTAAAGGAAGTTTTCAGTGAACAGCCAAGTGTTGATCGACAGAATATTTATTTTATTTTTGAATATGTCGAACGTGATCTTGAACGTTATCTCAAAATGCATAGTCCTTTAGATATTAATCAAATTCGAGTGTGTAATTCTTCTAGATGAAACAATTTAATTATTATCATTTTTATATGATTTAGAATTTTGCTCAACAATTATTAACAGCTGTATCGGTTCTTCATAGTCATTCTATTTTTCATCGTGATATTAAACCTCAAAATATTCTCGTTACTAATACTGGTTTGTTTGGCAAATGAAGGATAATTTATTTCATATTCATTTTTCATTTAGGCATATTGAAATTGGCTGACTTTGGTCTTGCTCGCGAATATCATGAACATAAAGTGTTTACTACAGTTGTAAGTTATTGATATCTTCTTGTTTTTGTATGTCGATAGAATACTTTAAATTTATCTCGAATATTTAGGTTGTCACAATGTGGTATCGAGCACCGGAAATTCTTTTATCATCACCTTATTGTACATCTGCTGATATGTGGAGTGTTGGATGTATTCTTGGTGAAATGGCACTAGGTCGGCCGTTGTTTGCTGCTAAATCAGAAGCTCGTCAATTACGTCGTATAATTGTGTAAGAGTAAATTTTGCTTCCATAAGAGCTTTTTCAAAAATAAATTTTTTGCAATGTTTTAGTTTGATGGGTTTACCGAATGAAGATGAATGGCCACAAGATTCTCCAATTAGTAGAGAAGCTTTCGAAGATTATTCTCAACCGATTATTACATTAGAACGACTCATTCGTTTTCAAGATAGTTGTGCTTTTGATCTACTTCGAGTCAGATTTATTTTTCTCTTGATATATAATTAATTTGAATTTTATTAAAATTTTAGTCACTGCTAGCATTTAAACAAAGCCTTCGTCCAACAGCAATACGAGCTCTTGAACATAATTTCTTTCGTCGAGTTGATCATACGCCATGTACAGTAATGTGGTCTTCCACTGATATAGCCGAAGCTGCTGCTGCTGTACCCAATCTAGATGCATTTACAGACGATAATTTTGGATTTAATAGTGATGATGATCAAAAAATTGAAAATGTTCGTTCAAGAAAAAATTCTATTGATGCAGGTTATTATTATCAATCGTGGTTGTCTCCCGGTGACGATCAACATATGTTAACAGGAGATAGCCATATAAGCAGTACCGCTGGTGATGTACCTCAATCGCCTATTGATATTGTTTCATGGTGGTCCGATAGTCCATAATGAAAATGTTTAACAAATCATTTTTGTACATCTATTTTTTGCTCAAATAAATAGAAGTATATTCTAGAACAATTATAACTATTAGGTATTGGAATATGTACTTAATGATATGTAAAGTTTCATTATTTAACTACATTGATCTTTTTGTTATGCTTATCCATCATCATTAAGCGTAGAAGTTGTTGTTGTTGTTGTTCAAGAATAAAAACATCGTCACTTTTCGTTTCGATATTTATTGTGTATTTTTTATTTGATCATCGATTTGTCTATGTATGAAATATATAAGCAAGATAGTGAGAAAAATTCTATGCAATAATTTCACACGTGAATGTGAACTAGATGAAAACTTTTTTCTAAGTTATTACAGATAGAAAAAAAAATATTCCAACGATACCACAGCACAATAGTAAGAGTAAGAGTAAAATATATTATACTAGAAAATGTGAAGAAACAGCAATCAACTGTATAGTGAGTTGTTCAGCGTATAGCTACTACTTTTCACTTGTTTGTACAATAACTTCGAATCAGGGCTCCTCATGGGATGGGATGGGACAAAATTTTCGTCGGGTTTGGCGGAAAAGGCAGAAAGGGAAAACATCGAAAAGGTAAATGTCGAAAATAGAGTTTTTTGATAATTTTAAAGAACCAGAAAAATTTATTTTCTAAATTGGTGTGCATATATACGTCGCATCCATGTTCAGCACAAGCCCAAGACGTTTTTATTGCATTTGAACATATATTGGTTAAACACTAGTAATGGTTTACCTTTATTAGTCGTTAAGAATGATATTTCACTGTCCATTGTCAACGACCGAAGAGAAAATTATTTGTTAGTTGTTTTCGACAGACTGATTTATATATATGGTATACGCTAACAATGAACAAGTATAGGTTATAGACGAGAAGGACAGCGAATTTAACTTATCCCACTAACAACCAATAACAACTCGAAAAACAAATTTCGTTATCTATAGGCATCTCTTAATTCATTCTACGTTTTCCTTTTCAAAATTTTTCTACTTTTCCTCCACCAGTTTTTCTTCGACACTTTTATTAATTATACTTTTTCATTTCGATATTTTCCTTTCGACGTTTTCACCTTCTGCAATTACCAGTTTAGGCATTTTTCTTTTCGGTTTTTTTCTTTTCTGCCTTTTCCGCCAATTCGTTTTCGCCCCGTGGGATAATGCAAGTCGTCCCATCCCATCCCATGGGCTCCCATGGGATTCTCTATATTACGAAAAATCTTACTGAAAATCAAGGTTTAATTTTTTTGTAACTGGAAATTCGAAGTTTTCCAACATTTCGATTTGAATATTGGAATTAGGGATGCACCAATTCCTAGTACATTGCAAGAAAGATGACATTTTTTGCCTGATGTAAAATGGAGTTGTCCTCTGATTTCATATAATATTAGCCAAGACCATTTTTTTGCTCTATGTGAAACGATAGCCGAGATTTATGACATGTTAAAAAACGTTTTCAGATTTGACTCAGAATTTGAATTTTCAAGTCGTTTTCGGTCAAATCCAATTCAGTTTCAGACTTTCAGTTTGCATTACACAAATTCTAAGAATAGATTTGAAAAGAACGTTCAAAACTGAACAGAAAAAAATACGTAAAAAGAGGCTTAGTCCATAACTCCCAATGCTGAAAACATGTAAACATTGGATAAAAAATTCAAGAAATTGACAAGATTTGATCTTTTCCCTACTTAAAAATGACGTGCCCGGTAGTGAGAATTATTGATCGAACATCTCTTTCTTCATATTTTTCTGTTCAGCTTTGAACGCTTTTTTAAAATCTATTCTTAGAATTTGTGTAATGCAAACTGTAAGTCTGAAACTACGTTGGATTTGACGGAAAACGACTTGAAAATTGGCATTGGGAGTCAAATCCAAAAACGCTGTTTCATCTTTAATAAATTTGGATCATAGTTTTTCATAGATCAAAAAAGATGATCTTGGCTGATATATGGAACGGAATCAGAGGACGACTGCCTCCTACATTAGGCAAAAATTTTATCTATCGTACCATGTACTAGAAATTGGTGCATTCCTGGTTGGAATATCATTATCAATACCTTTTAATTCTCTTTGTGATGTTGTAAACGAAATTTGATTTTCTCAACTGAATATTCCTGCTTATCCGAAACGAAGGATGATAATGAGGAAGAAATAATTATAGAAGGTGACATTGAACAATTTATAAAACAAAAGATGATGATATTTTATTAAAACAGTGAAACAAAAAAAAACATTTATGTTTATTTCTGTTTTCTATGTTTTATCGTATTCTTCATTCAATTGTTCGAATAGAGCGCGGAGTTGGGATACTGACCAGTACAGAAAAAGAATGATAATATTCACACTTTTCACCTGTTGCCAAGTGTGACATAAATGAATAGCCATTTTTTCTTTAAAAAAATAATCACATTTCCCATGGGATTAGGAACTCATCCCATCCCATTAGGAGGCCTGCTTCGAATGTTATTTTTCTTTATATATGATTAGGCTCGAGACAATTCCTATACTAACAGTATAACATTATATAATTTGCTACGTGTTCCATTTTAATCAAGATTATAAGCATGCAATATGACTCATTTGAAAGTAATCTGTTTTATTTTAAAAAAACCATCAGGTGCACTACATTTGATTGAGAAACAATACGTATATGATCCATTTGCATTGAGTAGTCGAGAAAAACTATATGAATTCAAATTTACCTGCTTTTATATGATGGCAAACAATTACCATATGTACATGAGTATATTAGGAAATGTTTACTTTAGTTGTGTCTGAATAAATCAGTTAATGACTAATTGTAAACATTATTTGTTGATAATCAAGTCTTTTCAGCGAAAAGCTTTTTATTCTAAATCCCATTTTAAATGTAAGAATGTATTTTATATGACACTTAAAAAAGATATATTATTTCATAAAATACTCCACATCTAAATGACCTTGTATGTCTTTTACAGTTGTAAAAACAAAGAACTTAATTTGTTCAGAAAATTGTTTTACTATTTTGAAAATAGAACTATGAAATTGAACTGTTGAAAATAAAACTATTGTAGAATACCTATTGATGGATCATATAGAATTCATCACTATAATAGTATACATGTACAGCAGAAAAAATTCATTTTATCTGAAGTGGGTAAAAGTAAGAAAAACAAGAGCTTTCATTCAAAATCAATATATCTTTCTATTCAAATAATAATATGAAAAATCTCAAGAAATTGTTTAATATTTTGTAGCATGCTACGAAATTATAAATTTCTTAGCACACAATCATCGATATTTTATAGCATTATTTATTTTTAATAAATGCAAAAAAGAAAAGAAAATAGGAACCAAAAAGAAGTGTCTAGCCTTAAAAGTATCATCATTGTTTTTTTCTTATACAGCCTATTCATAAAGAAACCTTATGAATATACACTGCAGTTAAGCTATAGTTTTTAAGTAGTTCATTTTGACAGAAAAAAAATAGAGCTGGTAATTACTATTTTTATTTATTCAAACATTAATCAACAGATTTGTTGCCACGACGATGGAAAAGTCTAGTTTTATTGGCGTCGTTTTTTCTTTTGTTCAAAATGAGCTTCATTTCTATTCGTATAGTACAATGAGCACTATATCAAATGTTTGACTAATCTAACTGCTTAAACTTGTAAGCTATTTTAATAGTTAGATGACAGAATGAAAATTATCAAATGATTAGATTGTTTTTAATGGACGTTGATTTTATTATTTGTAAAAATGTGTACAAAAAATTAAAATTAAAAAAATCAGACAATTAGTGTTTTTACACAGCGGTAGCACCTGCTCGTCCAAAATTAGCACTAAAAAAGACTCCTCGTGTTGAAAAAGAATCAATTTGTTTCGGTGTAGGAAAGACAGTAAGTCTATCGTACGAACCGGGGCCAGGTACATTGTCTGGTTTTCTAAAAAATCGATCGGTACCACTACGAAATGATGATGTTACAGTTCGAGGATTCACGTTGATCACATCTAGTTGAGGTTCATAATCACCAGGTGCTGGACCGAGTTTCTAGATGATAAATAAACAAAATATTACTTTTTATTCCATCAATAGATATTGTAATATTAAAAATGATTACCGGAAGAAAAACGTTTCGTCTGATTTTTGATTTAAAAACACTATGTCTATAAGAAAAAGAAAACAATTGATGAATCAGAAAAACTCGAATTAATCTAACTTGGCCGCTTCAATAGGTGCATTGATTGTTTGATAATTTTGTGTTTCATACAGACCCGGTGCAACATCAATATCCTATTTAAATAAATTCAATCTATTATGATTCTTTTCCGTTCTTCTAATCCACATCTCAATTATCAGATAGAAGCATAGTGTTTATTATGGCTTCTGAAAGTACGTGATGAATTTAAAAAAAGTGCTGAAACAACTTGAAAAAAATACCTTATCATGATTTGCAGACATTGATTTTCTTAGTGACTCTTCTCGCTCTGGACCTTTGAAACCATATGTACTTCGTAGTTGACGCATACTAAAAAAATATTGTTCTTGATGTTTAATATATGATTATAACAAGATCAGTAAAAACCTACTGTTCTACAAAATCTTCTACCGAATACGCACCAGGCAATAGATCTTTGCCTTTTGGCTCTAGAGGTTGTGGATCTCGTCGTCGTCCATCACTTTTGAAACCATACGTCATCGGACGTGCAAGAACTTCTTTAACAAATGTATTCAAATGAGTATCGTATCTACCGGGATTCGGTGAATCCTATTCAGATCAATTTCAAAATCAAGACATAAGAAAGAAAATAAATATAATCATTATTAGTATACTTTAATTGTAACACGCCACCAACTTTCACGACCTGATGCTGGAGCCACATAAGTGTATGCTCTATTTATTCGATTTGTTGCGCGAGCACTAACTGTTAGATCAGGACGAAAAGATGCCCGACGAGAACCAGCTCGTCGTTTTCCTGTTGTTGCTGTAGTTGGTTTTGATGCACTTTCATGGCCGCCTTCTGAATCTCGTGAGCTACGACCACTTTGCTCCAATGGTCCAGGTGATGGTGCAGCGTCTTGCATGATGCCTTTTTATTCAACAACAATATGGTAAAAGAAACATGAACAATTGAAATTCCAATATGTTATTGTTCTTCTACGCCACTTTACTTGTTGTTCTCTCTAACGACAGCCATGCTGAAGGCAACTAATGTGCATGGTCGTTCTTCATAATCGTCGCACGCGCACACATACGAGAAGCAACAAGAATATTGAAAAAAGTAATGAAATTATGTGCTACAGTAGAAGAATAAGAAGAGAACATATTTCAATAATAAAAACGAAGAAAGAAAAACACCACCACTATAACATACAGAATGGTGACTTATACGCCATTATAGAATATGTAAGATGGAAAAATTGGTTAAATTAAACTAGAATAAAGAGAAAGAAAATAAACTCGTACGTGAGGTAATACTTGAAATAGAAATGTTTGTATCGATACGTCAACAAACAAATTATTCAGAAAAGAATAAATATAGCTATATGTATACATTTTCTTTTTCAAGTAAGTGACAGAACAAGCTGAAGAGCATTATTTTTATCATAGCACAAAAATCAATGATGAGCAAACACGCATATACATAAATATATTCACATTTTATTTTACATGTGAATTTCATTAATTAACAATCAAATGAGTCAACAACTAACAGTATTCAATTTTTTTCTGATTGCACAGCCCATTCACGCAGTCAACTCTTTAGAGAACAGACAATTGTCTTGAGTAATGAAATTCCTTGACTATCGCACAATCAAAAATTGTAATGTGAAGCAAAATAATCATTTGAACAAAAGAAAAGAAAAGAAAAGAATAATTTGTCAAATGCTTTTAAACATTTTTTTCTTTAAAGTTTATTCATCCAGATGTGTAGTCATATTCGTTTGAATGATATGATAAGTCACCGCAAAATAAAAAAAAGAACAGAAATTGAGGATGCACTATCAATGTGTCTTTTTTTTTTGTTTGCTAAATCAAAATCGAGGCAATGAGATAAAAAGAAACAATTCTAGAATCTAATCATCGTTAACGCTTCATGTTGATAGGATAGCGCATGTAGACAAGATGAATGTCTGCAATTGTGTTAGGTGCATCATATATGATTGTATGCAAAATAAATGATGGCGGCGGCATACTCTGTTGAATGAAAATAAAATAAAAAGGAACAGATAGTTGTTTCTCTTTTACTTGATTTCATTCACGATGATGACAACGTTTGTTTTCAAGCAGGTAGTTAAAGTAAACAGGGGGTCTATCGTCTTTTGAAGATCACAAGTGGATCGTCGTGATGCAAGCAACGGACGCCTTAGTGTTGTTCTTAATTTAACTTTTAAATATTTGAAACAAACTTAAAGCTTCATACTGTGACTAATGTAATCAGATAGCTTGATATATTTATATATATATTTATGTGTGTGTACGCATATGAATATGGATATTATTGAGTATCCATCATCAATACATAAACAAACCAAAAATGATCACTTGAAAACAATCGATTAGATTGTTCTTTTCACTACAAAGATGAATGTTTTTCTGCATAAATTTTATAAAAATCTAACAAAAAGAAGAGAATTTTTTATTGAATAAAAATTTCCATTTGTGAATCATTTTTAATCAAAATAAGTACAGAAGACGAAGAAGAAGAAAACTTTTCTTCGAAAATATGATCTGCTTGATTGAATGTAGCGAAAAATTTCGATACGATCAAATTTAGTGAAACATGATGCAATATGTATGTGTTGCTGTGTGGTTGATTGAAATCTTTAGCACACCACTTGTCATATCTTCTTACGTCTGTGGATGGTGTTACTGTTGTTGCATAAATTTAAATTTGAGCCTAGCCTGATCTCATAAACAGCCTGTAAAAAAAAACGATTCTGATCAGGCGCATGTAATCTTTTAACAAGTTTTACTCATCTTCTGATGTCGATGAAATATTCCGAATATTGCAAAACAAAACTCTAATCAAACGGAAATGTGTCATACAACATGTAACGTACTTTTTCTCATTGAAACACCACACCTGTTCAATTGTTTTTGCTATTGCTATTTTTATTCGTTGAAAAGAGAAAGATAATTATCATTAATATCATCGATTGATTTGTCTTTTCATTCATCTACTAGGCTACATACATATATATATATTATAAGAGATAAGAACTAGCATGTGCGATACGAAATGTGAACATTAATCGGATTCCAGTATGTGACTCTGAGGAGTCGTAAAAATGATCATTTTCCATATATATTGTCTACCATGAAAACAGCTTATGTATCATAATCGTTTGGAGAAAATTAGTTTTCTTTCTGATAGGCATAAAAACTTCATTCGACACTAGGTTTTCTATTATCATTGTTGTTGTTGCTGTCTCTCCTCTCTTTCTAATCATAAAAATGTTGATTTGCTCTTTTACACATACGTACGAACTACTGACTATTGTCGGTTTTTGGTCTCCCCTTTTTCTTTTGCTTGTCATCGAAAAATAGATAGAAGAATTCCCCAGTCTAGTTGATTTCTCCAAAGATATAAGAAAGAGAGAAAGACACTATGGAACAGCGTCTGATTGAGTGGAACAACGATCACACGTCGTCTTTCCCCTTTTCCCTGTCTCCCCCCCTCCCTCTCTCTCTGTCTATTTTATTCCATTGCTCTACTCTTATATCATTATATACAAAAGATGACGAAGCTAGCAAAAAGTTGGTCTTGCGCGTGTTGTTGATGAAAAATGAGTTAGTAGTAAGGATGCTGATCATGATCATTTTCTTGGCACCAATCGGGGATTGACTTGTCTTTCATCGTTTTTTCTCATTGGCTCATAGCGTAGCGCAAAAAAGACACTGAGAGAAAAGGAAGGAAAACACAACTTGCTTCTAGCAAGAAGAAAAAAAAGACGACAACGACGAGAAAAGGATTTTCTCAACATCATTTTGACCTTTTCACGCTCTTGCCGTTTTCTCTACTTCTCTCTCTCTCTCTCTCGTGCTCTCTGTTTCTCTTCTTGCGATCTACGAGGAAAAACAGATTAATCGTTTCATTTTACAAATTCCCTCGTCTTTCTTTTTTTGGTGCAGCGCACTTGGTCTCGTAGGAGAGCTCACGTACGTTCTCTATCAAGCCGACAGTTTCCCCATTGGTACCCAAGGTCTCTCGGTAGGAATAAAAGAATAACATTACATGCCATAGTAAAGTAGCCTAAACGAAAGTAATGTATCGTAATAGCAATTCGTTGAGCTTTTTATTTTATAATTAATTAAGTAAAATTCTTTTCAATATCGTCCTATAGATGATTTTCAAAGATCTATAAATACTGTTCTTCTATAGATATTAGAAATCTAAGAAGTCAAGATCTAATTTCTAAGAAAAATACAGGTTCCCTCGAGTGAAGTATCACAGATATCTGTGGTTTATTATTGATTTATTTCATTTCATTTCATTTCATATCCCTATTGGTCAATTTTAGATCGAAATAGAACTTATTGGATACTCTGACGCATTAGATATAACGATAAAAAAAATACGGAAGCTATTACTCGTCGTTTATTAATTAAACAGTGGCGCGACGTGACATAAATAATCGGACGAATCGGTGCTTCTACTGGAATTGACTTTTGTTCTCAACCATCGAATCCATACGGTAAGTAATCTGTCTCTATGGATTAGCAGGAAAAAATGCCGAGAATCTTCTACGTCTACATGTTTATCTCATGAGACACTTACCTGGTTATAGTATTTTTTCTGAATTGTAGTTAGAAAGACAGATAGTTGAGTATTATATAAAATATTTAACAAGAAAAAGAAGCAAAGTTAAGATTCTCATGAGATACCGGTATTTTAATTGTTCATAGATCCAATTATGCAACCTCGTGGGGCACCTTCTAACTTTGGTAGTCTCAAAGAAGAACCCTTGAGAGCTTCGTGGCCAGCAATGCTTGTCGACCCAAGCTGGTATGTATTATTTTATGGAAATATTAATATAAAAAAATTAGCTTATTAAACTTTTGTTTTTATTTGTTAAATTTTTTTTTCTTTCTTTCTTTCTTTCTAGTTATCTCTATTCAACTATTGGTGTTGCTTCAGCACATTTTGAAAAGCAGCCACCAAATAATTTACGTAAAAGTAATTTTTTTCATTTTACTGTGGCACTCTATGATCGAAGTGGAAAACCAATTGAAATCGAGCGTACTGCATTTGTTGGCTTTGTTGAAAAAGAAATGGTACGTATATGAAGGTCATTTTTAGAAAGCTTAAATGCACATGATATTCATGTATGTGTCGACAATAGTGCCGCCCACATTGTCTATTGACCAGATGTTATATATGTATACTTGAGAGCAAAAGAGCAAAGTATTGTGCTATTAACATAATTTTTGCTATTTATACGCCTACATTAATGTAACGGGACACTAATAGAATGTAACCGTACATTGCACGAATGAATCTTATTGAAATCCATAAGTTTACTTTATTATAACTAATAATACTGAAAAAAAAACAACTAACGTTGATTCTCTCTATAATTTTTAAAAACATGCATGACTTTTTTTTTCTCATACTAACCTCTAAATGTTATTCATAGTATAGTTTTGAGAGCTAACATCATTAATGTAAAACATAATCATATTCATATAAAAGACAAAAAATCATTGTATCATTATTATTATTATTATTATGATTAACATATGAAATTTGAACTTTATTTTTCTACTTTTTCGATATATAAAAATGATTATGATTATCACTTGCTACTATCATATTTCTTTTTCCATATGTGTATGACTACACATAAAACAGGCAGCGATTGTAATCACGCGATAGCTTCCATGGCAAGATGTTCGCTTTTTTACGCGTCACAGTTTTATACTCATCAACAAGTTTTTCTTTTATTTTTCCTATGTATATACACATCTCTTCTGTATTCTTATGATCATTCAACCGTCTACAAAACTTGCACAGCTGTAATTGAGAACTGTCAGAAGAGAGAGACCGCACACGCATGGACATATGTCACTATTTTTATTTTATTTTTATTCTATTCCGTTAGGAACCTGATGGTTTGCGTACTAATAACGGTATTCATTACCGTCTCAATTTGTATTATCCAGCACGTAAGTACCAATAAAAGAAAAACTCTTTCTTGTTTAATATTTATTGGAAACAAAAATTTCATTTTATTTTCAATAGTTAATTATCGACATGAACAAGATATATATGTTCGAATGATAGATTCTGTTACCAAACAAGTATGTATCGATATGAAAGAGATAATATGAAGATTCATTTTTTTGAATATATTCTAGCCAATCATTTATGAAGGACAGGATAAAAATCCAGAAATGTGTCGAGTTTTATTAACTCATGAAGTAATGTGTAGTCGTTGTTGTGACAAAAAATCATGTGGTAATCGCAATGAAACTCCATCTGATCCAGTTGTTGTTGAACGGTAATAGAAAAAAAATACAGTTCATATGTTACATTCCTATGAGTTTCTTATCATTCTATATAAATATTTAGAATAAGTGGGTGTGGTAGACTAGATAAGAAAATGACTTTCCCCAGATTATTTCAATAATTAAGTATTTACTTATCATGTCTTTGTATGAAAATAGAACGCTATGAAGTGAACAAATGATAATGATAATAATAGTTCAGGATAATTATAATAATAATAGTAATAATAACAATAACAGCAACAACAACAACAACAAGGGAAAACAATCTATTGATGAAGAGAACGTACGCTCTTTTAAAAACAGCAGTACGTAATCGAGCCTAATCATAAATTAGCTTCTTTCCATATGCGCGCGCTTATTCGTCATAGTCTTTTTGTTGTTACTAATTGTAAATGACAGTAAACGGCTGTCGGTCCCTTGAGTCGACAACGTATGCCTATTGAAATTAATTTTTTTTGTTGTTGTTGCTGGGGAGTTGACCTCTTCTTCTTCGTTTTTTTTTTATCTTTCTAATGATATTATTGAAATTGACACTCGTGTTTTTTTTTCAATTGTTTTTCGATCGCGCACATTAAGTACATCACCACAATGAATGGTATAACAAAATTCATTTTGTTATAATTGATTCTTGCTGAAGAAGAAAAAAAACCATTGTATTTTTTTTCCAATCATCTAAATGCATGAAGCGAATAGTATGCGATGACTGATTACAAATTCTTTGCCTCGTTACAATCGATCTTTTCTTTTTTTTTTTGTGCTATTTTATTTTGTACCTGTCATTTCCTTTCTTCCCTTCGTTTTCTTCTTTTTGCTTGTCAATGGAATATAGTTGAACAGGAGGTGATCAACAAGCTGTTGTATGGGCAAAATGAAATATGAAGGAAAAAAAGAAGAAGAAGAAAGGAAAAGTCAGGCGATCATCTTCCTCTCAACGATGAAGTGTGAAGAAAGATTAGTTGACATGCAACGCATGCGTTTTTGATAATAAATTAGATTTTCCTATTTTATTGTAATTTTTTTCCTTTTTTTTAGGTTTTTTCTTAAATTTTTTCTTAAATGTAATCAGAATTGTTTAAAAAATGCGGGCAATCCACGTGATATGCGTCGATTTCAAGTATGATGCAATAGATCAATATTAGCAAAGAAAACATATAAACTTTGAAATTCTTTAGGTGGTACTATCAACAACTATTAACCTTGAAACACCCTTATTGGCTGTCTCAGAAAATATGTTTGTTCACAATAATTCGAAACATGGACGACGAACACGCCGACTTGATGCTATCGACGGAGGTGCGTCCGTCTCAGACTCCGATATGGGTCAGTTTTTCTCATGTCTTTCGAATGAAATAAAGATATTGGGAGAAAAAAATAGAGTTAGTTGAGAAAAAAAAACAAACATCAGATGAGAAAAACTGAGCAAGTTCTATTGTTTTTTGATTGAAGAAAATTACATGAATGTAATATTTTTGTTTTTCAGAATCACTTATTCCGACACCAGTTATCAAACATATTCAACCAAATGAAGGTTGGGTCATCGGTGGACAAGTTGTTCTTATACTCGGCGATAACTTTTTTGATGGACTTCAAGTTATGTTTAATACAATGGTTGTTTACAGTGAAGTATGTTCTAGTTTAATGATTAGAAAGAAAGAAAACACTTTTTTTTCTTGATTCTCTAATTTTACAGATTCTTACGCCAGGCGCTATTCGTGTGCATACACCTTCACGGCATAGTCCAGGAGTAGTTGATGTAACGCTTTCTTATAAAGGCAAACAATTATGTCGCGATTGTCCTGGTCGTTTTACATATATAAGTAAATATTGAAAAACAAAAATTTAAAATAGTCTTTCATGTACAATTATATTCCATGTCTTTTATTTATTAGCAATGCAAGATCCAACTATTGATCATTCATTACAACGTTTATCAAAAATGATACCAAAACATGCCGATGATCCTGATCGTTTGTCAAAAGTAAGAAAAATCTATGGTTTTAAATAGGTAATTACAAAACATTTTTGCTTCATTGATTTAAAGGAAATAATACTTAAACGTACAGCCGATTTACTTGAACAATGTTATACAATGTCAGGCAATCCACATCATTTTGCATTACCAACACCACCAAGCGATCATGAAACTGATTCGAGTATGTTTTCTTTTGTCCTTTTAAGAACGAATCGTTGTTAGATGTTTGTATTCTTTTCTCAATCTTTTTCAGCTTATTACATGTCATCATTAGAAGGTATAGGAGAATGAATGCATTCGAATTGTGGAAAATATATGCTATTGCTTGTCATGTGATCTTTTTCTTCTTTTTTTTTTTATTATTATTTCATTTTAACCTGAGCAAATAATTTAATTGAAACATGACAATTATAATATGCATGAGCGTCTTGTCTATTATTTTAAGAGAATTTAAGTCTCACTATATTTTAATCAAATAACAGAAACTATACAAAACTTTTTAAAAATTGTTTACTGAATTTGTTTTTCACTCTCTTAGGTTACTCACGAAATCAAGCAGCGCCTATGTCACCACGCAGCTACAGTGCTTATAGCAATGCTTATGGACCAGCTGCAACATCCTATGGTGTACCTTCACCTGGCTTTTTAAACGGTTAGTTCTTTTTTCTTATGCATTCGCATATATGTGTTATCTGACGCTTGGCATGTTATGTATGTATGTATGTGTGTGTAGTTAATCATCAAAATGGTTTGTCCTTCGTTTGTCATACGGCAGCATTCAAACAACATTATCAACAACAGTATGATAGTGTTTTTAAATCACCTCTATCAATCAGTCCTATTCATCAATCAACAGCATTGAATCATTGGAATAGTTTATTGGCCAATTCAAATTCATCTTCATCTGCTTCTTCGTCAATGTATATAAAAAAAATTCAATTTTATTTAGTGCTTATAATAGTTTGATTTTTGTTGTTTTTATACTTACTAAAATGAATTCTACTATAAATTATTGTACTCCATTTTGTCTACTTAGGAATGACTAATCTGATGTCATCGGCATTTACTACTATTGGTCCTTTTGGCTCATTAAGTTCAGCATCGACTGCAGCATCGTCAGCACTTGGTTCATCAAATGTAGTTACACCTTATGGGCCAACTCCTACTAATAAATAAAACACATCTATTCATTTCTTTTTTTTTCTTTTTTTCTTCTACATCTATATTTATTTTCTCTCATCTGTCGTATACGCGTACATCTAACTGTGTGTGAGTGTGTGTGTGTGGCTTTAATTATCAAAATGCAATTTACCGTTTCTTTCTGTGCACTTTTTAAAAAAGTATTGTATAAAAAACAATAACAACACACACATATATATATATATATATATATATATACATATATATACGCATGTATTTGTTTGTTTTTTGTGCGTATGGGACAATGCAAGAATGATAAAAAAAAACTTTTTTTTGTTTGTTCATTTTACCTCATTGATTAGTTTTTTCCCCTTTGATTGTATACTTAAAGAAATGAATGAAACCAACTGCATATCAAAGTTTGTTTGTTTTTTTGAATAATTTTACTTCTAATGTAAGAAAACAGGTTTTTCTTTTTCTTCAATAATCATATCGTATGCATATGTATCGAAAATAAATGATTGAACAGCCGGTACAACACCATTTGCATGAATCATAATTAGCTTCTAATAGACAAAGAAACAAACGAACTGTTAGTGTCTCTTGATATTATTCTCACCCCCTACAGTCATAGATAGATCTTTTCCCTTTAATCAAGCCTATTTGACTCTTTCTACAGTCTAAAAATGATCTATGCTAAGTAATAGTATGTATGTATGTATGATGATGACGATGATCCGATTTCCATAAATAAAAAGAATAGAAAGCTAACTGAATTTTACTCCTACGCATGTGTTTAGACGAATGCGCATGCTTTGAACTAGTTTGATTATCGACAACGATGGCGAATGAGAGTGTTAATGTAGGCAGACAGAGGCACGCGATGATTCTCTGGCCATTGTACATTCACTGCTGTCCAACGATCTCATTTCATATTTACAACGTTAATTTATGAACAGGCATTCGGAAACTCTCAGGAGAGATAGAGAACTAAAAGAGAGAGAGGGAGAAAAAAAAGATGAATTAAAAAATGTGACGATTAGTCGAACGATCACCGGTCGCCCATATATATTCTACTTGTTGACAGATGGGTCTTGTCATCTTCGTATGGTTACTGGAAAACAGTTAACGATACTGACTGCACCTCAATCAATCGATTGATGAATTGAACAACAGTGATAATTAACGATCGTTGAAGCTAAAAGTGTGTATGTGTGTACAATTGTGAGCAGACACTCGGAAGCAATCGAGTGGTGGGCGGCGTTTAATAGATTAAGTTTCCACTCAAGATGTGTTTTATATACATGATAAAAGAGAGAAAGAGGGAAAACAAGTGGCACGTTTGTCTTGTCAAGATGGTCGGTTTATATGGATAGAATGTTCTTTTCATGCATGAATGCATCTTTTGTAATATAAAGAAACAGAAGGCAGTGGAAAAACGATTTTTGAAAATTAGTATTAAATGAAAATTGTTATTTTTATCGAATAATAGTATTTATGAAATGTTTAGAAAATTTTAAACGTCTATATTTTTTTTTTTAGAATAATGGTCAACAGAGCATAGGATCAATTATTCTTAACAATTAATGTCTATTTTTGATAGCGAACAGAGATATCTTCGAAGTAGTGTCGTTATCAATTCAACTGATACGAACTGATGATTTTATATTTAAATGAAGAACGATAGTTACAATTAGATGAACAGCTTGTCTATTGAAGTTCGACAACAATTGCTTTATTCAAAAAAAAAAGTAATTGCACCACTAAGCAAGGTTTGATGTATGATATAGTCAAAATATGTTTAATAGATAGCCATTTGATTGTATGTATACTAATGAAATAGAATTCAATAAAAACCTAAGACTGAATAAATTTTTCATTTTTCAGAAATTTTGAATTATAATTTATTTGCAAGGAAAGATTAAATTTATAATATCTATTCATTCGGTTGTCAATTTAGACAATATATCTTCTTATATTTTGGTTCTCGAATGATACACAATTTCAACGAGAGTTGAAAATAAGTAGAGAATAATTTATTTACACGTATTCATATTGCATAGCCGTATATTTTTATCCAACTAAAATGTTCCACTAGACTATTTATATGGAACATATTTCAATCAACAAATGAAGATAATTGTTTATCATCTTAGGCAAAAGTTTCTAATAAAAATAGTGAGCAGTCGTTTTCAACAACTAGTGTAACTTTGAAAAAAAAATAATGTGTCTGTTGAAATGAATAGGATAACTGAAAGTATTGAAAAACATGATTGATATCCCTGACAGAGATGTATTCAAATATAGATGATACTGTTTATCAATCTCATTACTTTGCTGTATGAAACAAATATTCTTAATCATGTTGGTTTTTTTTTTGATTATCGTATAGTGGCTATTGGTAGTTGTTCTAAATTAAAGATATGAACAATGCTATTCTTGTCTGTAGTGTTACATAGAATATCACATTATTTGTTTCATAATTCTAATATAATGCATTGAATTGATTTCTATAAAGATCTGTGAATCGGTTTTGAACAAAATGCTTAATCGTTTGATTTTTTAATCATTTTACAGGTTCGAAATATCCGTATGATTCAATAATTTGACGTTAATCGTCTCATAATTTTTATTTCTGTCTATTAAACGATAAAGTTTGAGATGGATCATGCAATTTTATTTTCTGATATATAATTATGATAATCTGATATAACAGAGAAAATACAACAGCACAAATATCATCGCATGAAGTCAAAAATAGAAAAAAATGAACAAACATTGTAAATCGATTTGATTAATTCAGATTATTTGTTGAAAAGCGAAGAAGATTTGAATTTATTAAATTATTCCTCGCTATTAGCACTACTGTTATTTTCTGCAAGGATCATCATGCTGTATATCAAAGCATAAAATGTCATTATTTTGTTTAATAACGTTAGTTTTATGTACGTCTTTTTTTGTTTTATATAGTTTTTTAATTTGAATGATGATCTCATCATGGAAAAATTGCCTATTTAAAAATCAATACTTACAGTAACTAGAACTTAATCTAAAATCAGTATTCTATTCAAAATATTGTAGATTCATCTTCTGTCCATGTTCAACTAATTCCCAAAGAACGTTTTACCTCACTGAAGTAGCCATTGTAGTATTCATCAATGCAAAAATCAAGGGGAAAAGGCGGACTTTGTACTGCCGAGATTTTCACGGGATTTCTTGGGATTGAGAATCGGGGAAATCCGCTTTTTCTTCCTTGGTAAAAACCAAGGGGTAATTATCTTTCCTTTTCCAATTGAGCGATTCATTTTCAATTTATTTGTAAATAAGATATTCTAATGTGAGTGTTTATTCATTCTTGTTGGTAAACATCCAATCAATACACATAAAATATGCGACAAGCAGCTGCGTTTATTGTCACTGGTGTGCATCTGACTACACGATGAGTTGTCTATCAACTGGTGTATTCTCTAAGAATGCACCCATCTTACATTTACTTTTAATGATTGTTGGAGTTCTGCTTCTTGTGGCAAGTGCCTTAGCCTGTAGCGTTGCAGTTGCTGACTACTGGTACCAAAAACCTGGATATGAACAGTATCAAAATACAAGTTGTCTCACAACAGCGTATGAATTCGTTGAAACTCGTTGTAGTTCGTGTGATGGACTGATTGTCTATCATAAATATAGTTGTGAGGCTGAAGATTGTTATAACGAAGTAATGCCGGTGTCATATATCACGTGGAATGGAACGCTGGTTAATAGTACAGTGTGAACTCGGCTCTCACGATTTCCCCATTACGCTAGACAAGTATAGACTTTCATGTTTTTATGGTAAACCAAAATCATTGTAATATTTGTTTTGCATAGATTGGTTCTCATCACGAATGTTTCTACAAAACAAAAAATGTAACATCTATGGTCTGGGAAGTTTCTTATGAGAAACATAGTCTAACTATATTATGTGTTTCTTGTGGAATCCTTGGATTAAGTTGCGTCGTGTTCGTTGGCGCATTCTCTATGAAAAAACAAGAAGAAAACGAAAATGGTTCAAGCAGATATACTCAAGCAAGAACGAAATCGCCTACATTACATGATATAAGAGAAAATCCAAATGAAACAATCCCTCTCGAAGTCATATAAAGCTGAATCATATTTAATGCTGTGCCTTTTTCTTTTCGATTTTTACAACTAATAAACAAGATAAAAAAGGAACATTGGCTAAAGGAATGTTGATGAAGCCAACTATTAGAGAATCCCTTCTCGGGGTGCTCTTTTTTTTAGTAAGAATCAAATCAAACGAATAACTTCAACTAGAGAAGAGAGGATATTATATAAGAGGGAATAGACATCAAGAAATGCGACTTGAATAAACACATATTATGAAGAATGAAGTGAGCCAAGGAATGTAAACATATGACGTAACACCAACAAGTGTGATTTCATTCTTTAGGATTAACTGTTATTTTTAGTTGTTTAACGACAAAAATTTAATTTGTTGCAAATTGCTAGAAAGTATGAGAGACCAAAATAACTTTTGTTCTATGTATTGTGGTTGTAGTCACGGAAGTTTTTTTTTTTGCACTTACTGACTTTAAATACTTTGTTATATTCGGAAAAAGTTTGTAGCTCTATATTTAGACCAGTTTTGGAGCTAAACGCTTGCATGCTACATCTTGGTATCGTGTAAAATTTTGGCATACTCCTTTTATTTTCGTAAGAACATGAAGTTTTCAGGCGAATTTTGCGTTAAAGTTAACTTCTTTCGAAAGATTGATTGCTAGTTGTTTTTTATCTGTGCAAGAAGTAATTGTTTTTTGATACGTAAAGCAATTATACCACTCGTATTTTCATGTACATATTATTAAAGCACATCTTCAAGTTTGTTCGAGGCAGAGATTTTAAATAATTCAATCATTTTTATGTTCCGTCAAACAAAAGATTCGATTCTATGTGTCAAGAGAATAATATATTTTTGTGGAAATAAACCTATGATGCTTTGTTGCTTATTTTGGTTTATTTCAGGATTCAATTGATAGGAGTAATATTTGATTCTCTAGACTACGTTGTTTTAAAAAAATGAGAAAATATTCTGTTATTCCAGGATGACTTTAATAATCAGAGAATACTCTAGTTAGCTGATGGTGTTGACTATTTGTTTGCCCTAGAGAAATTTTTGTGCAACAACAAACGTGCTCATAATAAATCACGATTCTATAGAACCATTAAAAGTTTAACGGAAGAAAATGATGAATATTTTTGTACTATTCCTAGAAAAACAATAATTGTGTCTATTCTTCCATTTTAATTCTAAAGCAATATGCATATAATCATGATAAGAAAAATAGTAGCAAAAATACTCGTTTCAGTATCAACAACAACACAACGGATATGTTAACAAGGATAAATCCATTTTATGTGAATGCACCGCGAAAAAATTCATGTCAAAAGTACGTAATTACGAATGTTTAAATATTTGCTAAGCTATTATAATAGTAAATAGCATTATTACGGAAAATAACTTATATAATCTATTCAAGTCTTTCTAATACTAATAAAAATAAAGCAGTCAGTTGAAATTAAGTTTATTTTGATAGAAATTGTTAAAAATCATTACGATAACGCAAATGAAAATATATACTTCGGCCAAATATTAAATAAAAAAACGTTTAGAAAATCCTTCAGTTCAATATGTGACTTCTTATGTGAATATAATTCACTTTTAATTCCACCGACCGCTTATTCAGATGTATACTAAATCCTAATGGTAATTTCAGTCTTTTATAGTACAGCTCATCCATTTTATTCTAATTAAAACATTAGCGGTCACAATGGCCTACGCGTTGAAATAAGGAAGACAAATAGAATGACCTTGTAGAAAACAAAATCAAGATACTGAGAAATCTATTTCATTATCTTTAAAAAAAACAAATAACGACGAATTCGTGACATTTTCTCTAGTTACAGTGAATCATATCAAACTCTTTGTGAAAAGTCATTACTTGGAAATATATTGAGAAAAATAAGAATTTTATTCTATAAATTACGCTTGTACTTTTTCTTCTTGTTGATATTTTTCAGAATGTGCAGTATCTTTGAATCAAATATTTGATCTTTTATTTTCAAAAATTGTGAGTCAGTTTCAGTTAAATATGGAATGTAACTTTTCAAAATTGTCACATTCTCGAACGGAAAAAGTAAAGCTTGATTAATCTTAAGCACGATATACTTCACTGTTTCTTCATCGTTCATCATTTTTTTACTTCGGAGTATTAAAATCTTGCTCTTATCTTAATATAGAAATATAATCCACAAAAAAAACAAATTTCGATTATATCACTTCATTGTTTTCTAAAGTTAATTATGTTTGAAGTTAAAATATATATTACTTTCTGAGTAATACAAGTAAAATAATAACTAATATTATTATAATTCAAAAATATAATGCTTAAACATGTAACACTATGTCATGAAAATAGCGTAGAATTTCTCAATTAATCATATTATTCGAAAAATTTAATGATTATTCGCGATTGATGATTAATGATTTTGTGAGAATAACAAAATATGAATTATGTTAATATAAATAGAATTTCTATACCTTAACCTCCAGTGAACACAAATTTAATTAAATTCCAATTACTTAGCTTAAAAACTGTTTTCGGTATTTCTACTAGTTGGTATCGGATAGACATTCCAGGCTGATTATTTACTTTTGGATTATTTTCAATCAATCAGAAAGTGAACATGAGAATTTTATTTTTTCACATCGTTTAAAATTCGTCTTATTTTATTAAAAAAGATCTTTGGCAAGAATCGTATTACTTCCATTCAGATCAATTACAAAAACAACAACAACAAGCCAGGTAGTTTTTTACATATTGAATTATTTTCTTTATTTACTTAAATTAATATCTACGGTTATTTCATCGGTAAGGATAATTGAAAAAAAAACAATTGCTTGTATGAGGATGACGAAAGAAAAACAAACGATCTCTGATTATGATAAATTCATGAAAATATAGAAAAAGGAAACTGTTGTATGAAAAATTTCTATAGTAGTTAAGATTCTCATACTTCAGACAATAGAAGAAAGTCTTTGAATTCATACCGGATGCTTGTTGTAGCGTCTCGACAAGTTCTTGAAGGACTCCTGAGGGATTTTTCTTATTAAAAAAAAAACAGAATAGAACTACTTATTCATTAATATAAAAAGGATGTTAGTTCAATCTCTGCGGGATTAAAATGTGAAACACGATCTAGCTGCTGTTGTTAATCATTGAGGGATTGTTTTATTGTATCAATTTTTGGGATACATTTCATCAATATCCTTTTACTAAATCCTTCACGAATGAAATAAGGAAATAGTTCATATATTTCCATGAGGTTTTATTGATTTATGTTCTGCTGCTCGTCTACCAACAGAACTTATGGCGCAGAAACGAAAATGTCAATGAAGTAATTATTGATAACAATTTTTGATATATTGTTACTAGAGGTGGGTGCCACTTCTGTCAGAACTGATACAAATTTTACTTTTCACACTTCACTATTTTGTTTAGATAGTATTTCACAAAAAGCATAGCTTTAAAAGTTTTTAATGGCAGACATACATGTTCAAAAAAGATCAAGAATTGTTCTTGTTCTCTTTTGATATGACATGAATAAAAAAATCTCTCGTGAAAGACTAGTTTCTTTAAATACTATTCAAAAACGATTGTAAACAAAAATAGAATTCGAGCATTAAATCTTTCTTTCTTGGTAGAAAATATTGTAGAACTATCATGAAAAAAGTTCAGCAAATAGATTAAATCAAGCCGGGAATATGTCACAACAGTATTAACAAAGCTTTCCGGCGGCACATTGTGAACTATCATCAGAAAATCACGACTTTACATTCAACACAGAAAAAAATCAGGCGATTCCTAAGTAGTCAGGCAAATATGGGGAAAGAAATATCGCTGCGAGATCTATAATATATCTGGTGAATACTTCCACTTTCGAAAAAGATCTCGGTCCCCAGAAGAGATTCGCTTGCTAGAAGTACATCTCGCATCAATAAGCACGACTGGATTTTAAGCTTGAACATCTTTTTTTATAATCTTGATGATGATTATAACCTCGTTTTAATCAATCCATGTGCAACATTGTTTTTTCTTCCTCTTCTTTTCATCTTCTATGACTAATGCATTACAACTATTGTATTGTTCATTATTATATTTATAGCTGTACATGTTACGAGAAGCAACGACATCACAAAATCATGTTATGTTCAATAATAAAGAAAGTGCCATATATGATTAAATCAATAATGATGGTTCATCATAGCGTGACTAGATAAAAGTATGGTTTTTAGCTGATGAGTTAAACGGAAATTCAAACGTCTTGACAAAATAAAATTTGATAAGTATATATATATTCGAATGAATCACAGCGAAAATTTCATCAAACGAACGCATATACATCGAGAACAAAAAAAGTAAAATTTTGTTTGTTTTGGTTTTCAAATATTTTACTTGTCACCAATGTTCTAAATTATAAGAATAAGCAATATCAAGAGTAGTTTTCTGATTATCTCAACTAGTAATATTGAATATATTTCAAAGGTCTCGATAGCGTACATCCGAGAGACATGTTTTTTTGCCATGTAGAGAACTCTTAGCTATATATCCCAAAGGCGAATTGCGTTTATAGAAAAGGAATTCTCGTGATTGATACAATATGACATCTATCGAACGCTGTAGTAGCTGTTCTAGCATCGTTTACATTTTTGTGTAAAAAAAACATGGTGAACAAAACTGATGACGTAGAATTCCATGTAAAAAGAATATCGCAAAAAAATCAGCTTTAGAGAGGTCAAAATCAATTATAATCATACAATTTTAATCAATAATTTTAGCTGTAATCATCATAGCAAAATCAGTATTTAATCGATTATTTCCATTTTTATGATTATAATTGATTTTAAAAAATTGATTATAATCATAAAAATGGAAATAATCGATTAAATACTGATTTTGCTATGATGATTACAGCTAAAATTATTGATTAAAATCGTATGATTATAATCGATTCTTGAAATCACGTTTTTAACATGGGAATATGACGATGTCAATCAACCATTAATAGGAATATTTTCATAAAGAAATCATTAAATATTTTACTCTGAAAAAAAAAGAAATATTTCAAGATATAATTATACTATTGACAAATAACTACATGAACTGATCAATATATAATGCCAACTAAACAATCTCAGCATAAAATTAATAATTCTTTTAGTGTATGTATTGCTTTTGTTGTGATGTACTTATTCCATATAAATAAATATCATTTTTCTTCTATATTAAAGAATTCAATTAAATCATCAATTTTATCATGGACAACAAAAGACGTAGAGCAATGGCTTTATTCATTAGATTTAGGAAAATTTGTCCATCGATTTTGTAAACAAAATGGTATTGATGGTTTAACATTACTTCTTATGAAAGAAGATGATCTTAGACAAGCACCTTTAGCAATTGAACGTTTAGTTGATATTAAAAAATTATGGTATCATATACGTATATTACAATGTAAACATCAGGATTTTTATTCACCATTAAATATCTCTACAGCATGCATATTTAATGATAATGACGAACAAATTAATTTATTCAAATTATTCAAACAAGGAAGTTTTTATGATAATAGTATAAATCATAATCATTCATCATCATCACCAACACACTTATTGGAATCGAATGTTCACAACATAGATGGATCATGTCAAGTGCATAGTGAACAAAAACCAAATGTTAATAAATCTCAAGATGAAAACCGAAAATTATTAGTTAGTTTTATTTATGCTTTAATAAGTGGAATATGGACATCCTTTATTATGATTGTTGTACATAATCGTGTACCAAATGTTCAAAAGTATAGAAGAAAAAAATGACTAGGAATTTGTTATTTAATATTAAAGAATATTATTTTAGATATCCACCATTGCCAGATCTTTTCCTTGATAATATTCCACATATTTGTAAGTTATTAGAGAAATCAACATACAAAAACAAAAAAAGTCTCTTATTCTTTTTTTTTGTAGCTTGGGCATTTGCTGTTAGTGAATATATTGCTATTGCTATGAGTTTTATATTTTTATTAATTTTAATATTTCATAAATACTGGTAAATAATAATGAAGTTATTTTATGAATGGTTTTTTTTTACAAGTATAACTTTTCATGTTAATAGGTATATTATATTACGAAGATTTTTTGCTCTTAGTGGAACGATATTTTTTTTACGATCAATAACTATGTTGGTTACATCATTAAGCGTAAGTAAATATGCAATGAAAAAGAAAAACGTCTCAAAGTTTTCTAGCTCGAGTAGAAACAGAAAATGTAGAAGCGCAATATTGTTGACTTTTCCCCTTATGCTAACAGTTAGAACAAATGAAAGAAAAGATTTTATTAGCTGGGATAATTTCCTATCACAAACAGTACTTATTGAATCTCAATTAACAGGTTAGAATGAAAAGTCTCTAGAGAAGCAAAACTTCCTGAATTCGTTTTCCAGATTCTTTCAAAAACATTGTCCGAAAAGGTCATGTGAGCGAGAGAGAGAGAGAGAAATAAATGAGTTCTGAAGAAAAATAAAAGCCTTCAGTTTCTTCAGGGAATGACAAACTTGGTGCCATGAACTTATAATGTTATTTTTATGAAAACTTACATGAATTTACTGTTGTTCACACTTTAAGGCTTTCCATAATATCAGTGTACTTTCCTGAAGATAGGTCATAGGAGAGTTCAGAGCAGAGATGCCAGATGTGAAAGTCGAAAATCCGGAATTTGTTTTTCAGAATCCGGAAAGTTTTTCAATGATCAGTTTTAGTCGCGTAAAGAACCTCTTTCTCAGATATATTATCCATAACTTCATATATTTTCACAAAATAAAACATGTTTTTATTAGCGGGTGTCGGTGTGGGTGTGGTTGAGTTGACAATATAGTCACATCCACACCCACACTAGAAGAGAAGGGAAACTATATGCAACGCGAAAGAAATAGCAATTGGACGTGTACGGTGACCAATAAAGGAAAATATTAAATCTCTACCGAATTATTCACAATTTTGAATGTTACAACGAATGAAATAAAACTGAAATAAAAATGGCTAAAATCCGGAAATTTTCCGGAACATCTGGCATCTCTGGTTCAGAGGTGCCTTATTTCGATACGAATTTTTTGTTTTCTTCTACATCATATTGTTTGTAAAATATTTTTGATAAAATCTAGAAAACTGACGTTTAGCTAGAATTTCCATCACAGTGCATTAATTAAAACTTGACAAATGCTTTTCATAATAATAAATTCCTTTTTTTTGGATTGCCAAATATTATCTCTGATTTTGTTCTAGCTATTATTGGCAAGGGCATAAGTCAAAATATATTGCATTTCTAAAATATTTACCTCGATTGAATATTGGATAGATTTGTAGAAAAAGACAAACATTTAAGATATGACATACAATGCTACGAGATTGACGTCAGAACAAAAAATACGAGTTCAAATAGCATCGAATACTTTGTAAGTTAAAACTAAGTTATGCAACATTACTATTTTATATAATGCTAAGCAAACCGGATAGAACAAACGAATTCATAATAAGTAAATAGACGTCTGTTTTATTTGAATAGAAATATGTATATACTTTCATAGAATGGAAGTTTTTCTTTAAAATGTTTATCGACTTAATAAATTCTATACGATGACAGGTACTGTAATTTATATCTTATTGATAGTCTTAAGTCTATAAAACACATATACTTTGAATTTTGAGATGTACACTATAAAATTCTCTACGGAACCTTAATAAATATCACTTACATTCTCCTCTTTGTTTATTAATATATGTTGATTTAAATTATTTGTCTAATACCTCAAACAGCTATTCAAGTATAATTCTTTTTCTTTTCTTTTTTTCTGAATATTTGATCGTAATGAAAAGACAGTTTCAAATATTTTATCTTACAATTTTAGGTACCTGGGCATCATCTTGATTGTACACCACGGGTAAAAAATCAATCTTCGAAAATACGATAGATATTATAGTATTGATTTTTAGGCATATGGCACTTCTCGAGAAATCTTATTTCGTTGCGTAGAAATATTTCTTTTTCAAGGATTATCAATTCAAGGCGTACGCTCATGTGGTGATTATATGTTCTCCGGTCATACCGTAATGTTAACATTATTAAATCATTGTATTACAGAATGTAAGTTTATTTTATAAAAACGAAAAAACTAGACAAATAAATAACATGATTTATTGGTTTTTAGATACAACATCGGACTTCTATGTTATACATCTACTTTCATGGTTCTGTAATATATTTGGTATGATTTTAATTCTTGCAGCACATGAACATTATTCAATAGATGTATTTATCGCATTTTTCTTAACAAGTCGCTTATTTCTCTATTATCATTCATTAGCAAATAATGTTGTTTTACATTCAAGATCAGATAATCGTTTATCAATATGGTATCCAATGTTTTCATATTTTGAGAAAAACGTTCAATGTATGGTGCCGAATATATTTCGTATACCATGGCCATTGACAATTATTTTCCCACATGCTGATAGTAATGATGAAGAAAAATATTCTTCCGCTAATTTTTATAATGATGATTGTAGTAATGATAAACGTAAAAGAAAATGAGTCTCGTATTTTTGTTTTCGTTTTTTATTCTTGTCAAACAATGATGTGGTGAAGCTGCAAAAGGAAAGTTTCTTTCTCAGCAATATGTGTGTTACCTTGATTATTTTCCATCTGTTTTTTTTTCATGCAATACTGCAATTTTTCATATTAGCGCAGTTACCGAGCAAAGTTTTTCTTTTTCTCTAGAATTTAAAAAAATAATATATTCTATTTTTTAGATAATCATCAAATAACGACGTTGAAATAAAAATTTGATAAAAGACGCGTTATATGAAATAGAGAAAAGAAAAATAAGTAAATCAAGATGCATGCCTGTTTTCTCTAAAAAAGAATGCTGCATTGTCATTTGAGATAGAATCGAAAGTCGATCTGTAAATACTGTTTTCTCCGTCTCTCTCTCTCTCTCTCTCTCTCTCTCCCTTTTCATTCAGAGATAGATTGCCACATATCGACTTGCATTCTTGACTAACCATAGATATTTTCAGTGTCTCTCTTATTGTTAGGTATTAAGAATCAAAAATTTTCTACTAGATAATACATTCGCTTTTACTTCATTGTCTATTTTTTATAAGAAAATTTAGTCTTTATAGCTAAAGAACAATGATCATTTTTATCGCCATATTTTCTTTGTTTTTATCATTAATCATAGTGAACATTGAAGTTCGTGTCACCTCTTCGGACAAAGTTGATTAATATCGATAGCGCTGTCACATTTGCTATCGGACTAAAATAATCTACGTAGAAAGTATAAAAAAAATGAGAGAGCGAATTCGAGCACTGGTTTGGCAATAAAGAGAGTAGCGTGTGTCTAAGCATTAAGGCATTGCTGTTTTTTTTTGATCAAGAACGAGTGTCAACATCAATTATTCTTTCTACTCTATAATGGAGTGTCATCGTATGCGTATAGTAAATTAAAATTAAAATAATTTTCGAAAGAAGATTTATCACGATCATGCCATTTGTATATATAGATACCCATTATTTGTAAATAGTTATCTTATAACAATAAGAGACCTCGACAATATAAACGGAAAACAAATAGATCACAATAGATGAAGCATGGCTTTTTATTTATAAACTTTAGTATCATCCATCATGAATTCACGAAGTTTTTTTGTTCTCTCTACCTTTCTTTTCTATTCTGTATATCGTTTTTTTTGTGACATTTTAATCACACACTGGTATTTTTCTTTCAATTCAATATGACAGAAGATAAATGAGAACTATTGTATAGATTTTTCTTTTCTTTCATATTTAATCATACTCTTACTCTATGCCTGCGTACTTTCATGCTGTATGTAGTTTACGATTCCAATCCTTTTGACCTATACAAAAATCTATCGTTTTCTTCTAGACAAAAAAAAACAGTAATAAACATATAAAATCATGCTCGTATCAACACCATCAGTTAATCCTCATCAATTAACTAATAATTTGATACCGCCAAATAGTTTACATTCTTTATTGCCATCATCATCATATTCAACATCATCAGTGACACCATCAAATCCATGTTTATGGTCAATAAAACAAGTTGAAGAATGGCTTGTAAAGCATGATTTAAATGATTGTATTGATTTAATTTGCTGTCAACATCGTATGAATGGGCAACGTTTAATGAATTTAAACGAAGATGATGTTTTACAATTAAAAGGCACAACGAAAAATAATGAATTATGGTTACAAATTAAAATATTACAGCAATTCTATTCGAGTAATTACCATCTATGGACACAACGACAAGCCATACTGCAACAACAACAGCAATCTCTACCAACGACAGTATCACCTTATCTAGCTTCAGGATCATTACAATCACCAATACCACTTCGACCTTTGTCATCATTCACACAAATTCGGCCAGCACCAGTTCCTTTAACATTTTCAACATCATCAAGTTTACCAACACAATTACCGTCATCGTCATCATCGTTTTCACCATATACTACAATACAAATAAATCAAAGTCAGCAACAAGAACAAACACAGACAAATCCTTCTATTTCATCATCCATAAATCAAGCAGAAACAACAGAAACGCCAACAACATTAATTCTTGAACGTTCACCTGCAACAGTAACTCGTACAAAAAATGATCATCAACGAAGATCAGGTCGCAGTCTATCATCGAGTACATCTATTAATCTTCTTCCAGCATCATCGACACCTCAACGTACAACAAATACATCATCAAGTTCACATAACACACCGGCAGATCAAATCGAAGATCAACCAATTACTGATTGTTGTTTTGTTAGTTCAATACGTTCCGATAGGAAAAAGACTTTATCGGCGTTTCTTCTTGCTTTTTGTACATTGTATTTTTGTTCGTTTATGATAACCATTGTTGATGAACGCTTACCAGATCCAAGATATTTTCCACCATTACCGGATCTTGTACTTGATAATGTTAAACAAATTCCATGGGCATTCGCTGTTACGGAAAAAATTATTCTCATTGAAATGTTTACACTCATATCAATTATTATCCTTCATCGACATAGGTAATTCTATAGAATCTATTTTTAATAGTATATTTTTCATGTTTGCAAGATTTTTTTAAATTGTAATAGTGTAATTGTAATTATTGGTAAGTAATTTGAGTTTAATCATTAAAACTATCAACAAAAAAGAGTATTGATCTTAGTCTTGTTGCGGTGTGTAACAAATACTTACGTAAACATTAACGTTTGAGAATATAATTTAAATAAAGACAAAACAAGTCAATTTTCTTTCTTTTTTGTTTATCATTTAGACTAATTATAATGCGCCGATTATTTGCAATAGCGGCAGCACTTTATTTTCTTCGAAGTCTTACACTGGTGTTTACATCGTTACCTGTTGCTACGCGTATAACGGATTGTCGACCAGAGGTTTGAGATTTTTGAAATGAAAATATTTTAAATCCTATTTTCAATTATTATTTATAGAAATTCATTAGTTTTATTGCTCGTTTAAAAAAAGCAAGTTTAATATTTCTTGGCCAGGGATTATCATCATTTGGTGTTAAAACTTGCGGTGATTATTTATACAGTGGTCATACATGTACACTAGTACTTGCTACACATTTTATCAATGAATGTATGTATATCAAATAATCAAAAGATTGATTGACTATTAGAAAGTAGATGACTAGACCACTTATTTAAAATAAATCTCCTCACTAAGTAAAACAAAAGTTAATAATTAGTTTTCAATTTAGAGACATAGAATAGTTTTTTTTCATTGCTTTGTTGAAAAAGATTGCTCTAGAATCAAGAGTTTTTATTAGCGTCAACTATGTTTTTAATACTTTTTGAAGCATTTTATTTTAAGAACTTATGAGTTCATATTTTAGAGGTGCAAAAATTCATTTCAAACAAAGAAATTTGATATATATATTTCTAGTCTAGTTCTTTTAACTGTATATTCTACATTGGTAATTTATTCTCATAAAATTAAAAAAATAACGATTTTCTCTGGCGATTGCAGGATCTAGAATTTTACTAATGTTATCGTATGATGCCCCGAGCTAAGTTTAGAAATCTGCTTTTAATAGAAGCAATATCTGTTATCAAAATACTTTCTGCAAACAAGTGCTTGAGAAGGTGTGAATAAAGGTGAAGTGGTATATGTAGGGCAAAGGTTAGAATGAAGATGAGATTACAGGGGAGAGTGTTGCTAACGGCGAATTTAATCGTAATAGTGAAACATTGAAATGAAACGATTCGTTACAATCAACATAAATAGGGAACAGCTATCAAGTTTCAATGAAATAACATTTGTATTGTTATCTCTACTATTTACTTTTCTTTCTCACATATAGTATAAGTTAGTGATAACCTAGGATTTGCTGGAACTTTGAGCATTCTATCTAGCTGCTTGTCGATGAACATTTCATCTTGCAAAGTCGTCAAGAAGAATTTTATTTTCATTGAAAAACATCAACTTTCGTGATCCATAGGAAGATTATATTTTGCGTTTAATAGAAACGTTTTTTGTTTTGTTTTTAAGATTCACCACGTTCGTATCATCTGCTACACTTTCTCAGTTGGATTATGGCATTAACTGGCATGTTTTTCATCTTAGCCGGTCATCAGCATTATTCTATTGACATTCTTGTTGCATGGGTACTTAGCTCTCGTCTATTCATTTATTATCATACGTAAGATTGATTTCTTAAGAGAAACATATTGAATATTTTTCTGTAAATTTGAATAATTTAATCTAGTCTTGCTAACAATCGAACATATTTCCAACGAGATAAACAACGAATGAGGATATGGTTTCCATTTTTTTCTTATTTTGAAGAGAATGTTAAAAAAGCTTTACCCAATGAATATTGTATGCCAAGTATCATCTATGGAATACTTATTACGCTCAACAGTTGGTTTGATAAAGTTCGATATCCGACCGATTGATTTCTAAGTTTGATTTTCTTTTTGTTTTACATCTATTGATTATCCTTATTACAAGTAGTCTTTCGTTTACTGAAAACTTCATGCTTTTTTTTTAAATTACAAATCAAACTTTCTTTTTATGTAATTACTTAATTGAATGCGAAAAACGAAATGTTTCTCAAACCGGTCATATAAATCACATAGGTATATACATCTTAGAATTTTATGATTTCTTTTTTTCCTCATTTATATTGCGAACTATATGCCTTCTTTCTTTTTTTTTTGTCACAATGTTCCTCATTTTTTTTTCTTCATTATTTGTTCTCAACAGCACTGAACTAAAAATTCTAGTAAAGACTTTAAGTTTGGCTTTGATCAGTTTCATTCTGTATCTGTATAAAACTTTCATAGTAACTGATTGTTGTCAGTAACTGTCTATTGTTTGTACAGATTAATGTAGTTATCACTGTGCTCATTTAGTATTTACATGAATAATGAAAATTTAAGTTTTTACTTGGATTTTTAGTTCATGAGAACGATTGTACGACGTACATTCCTTAAGAGATTTATGTCAGATGCTACATCAGACTTCTATATGTTTGTTGCTTTATTCCATAGAAATATTGTGGCTATTTTTCTACATCTATTTCTTTGTATCTTGTATGGTTGAGCTTTTTTTTTTGTTCTCGTTTTTTGTAATCTGGCGAAGAAAAATAATGGAAACAATATCGGTAATATCTCTTAAAAGAAAACTCTATTCGCTTTTTTTTCAGATTTCGTAGGAAAAATATTTAATATGACAAAGAAGCAACTGTGCAGAATTAGAATTATTTACAACGGCATTTGATTATCGAATAAAAGATTTTTTTATACGAGTCCTACAACTTCCAATTGCAAAACATATTCATGTACACGACCATCGAATCAAGATTGCTTGAAATGAACGTAGTTAAAGTCGCATTGCACAAGAATTTCTCACGAAAAGTTTCAGTCACATGTGTAGATAGAGTTTGACTGTAGAATTCGTGTTACTGAAACAGTTTTCAGCAATGACATTTTAGATAATAAATCTCTCGATGAAAATTTTAAAGTAGGATTTATAAATTTATGTATAATTATCCACAAGTGTTCTCATCCGAACTTTCTTTGCTCATTGATAGTTGTAATACCTTGATATGCTATCGTTTTAACACAAATATGATTTATCTAAGAGTCGATGGAGATTTGAATAAAAACTTTTTTTTTCAACTCGATGCTGGACAAGTTCACAGTGAGAATACGAAATTAGATGTGAAAATATATGTTGTAGGAAAAATTAGAATTCAACCAGAGATAAATTTTTCAGTCAAAACAATCGAAATTTAATTAGAATAATTATATGTCTTGTCTGTTTTCTCTAAAGCCATTTTGGATTTCAAACTAATGATCTAAAGATAAAATCTTCTAACTGATTCATTCATACTTTTATATTGTTAAACAAAACTCGTTTTCTTGACAAAACCCTTTCTTTTAACTTGCACTTGCCCTTTGAATTATAACTACAATCAGACGTTGAATATGATTTAGACATTTCTTTTATTCATACATCGCAGTGTTCTGATAAATCCCGAGGGGGCCGTCCTTTGCAAATAATGTTTTCGCTGGAATCCTGACAAGCGCTGCGATGTATGCTTTAATTAGATCGCTGCAGTGTTATTCATTTTTATACTAGTTGTCGACATGATCATTATCAAAATATTTTTACCTATTTTTTATGTTTCATTCCAGTCTAGTTGAATGTGCGTAATTGTGTAAATTTATCTTTAATCAAATTCTTATATTACACAGGCAAAACCGGAATGTTGACTATGATTAATAGATAATTAGTCAATGTCAGAATTCCAATTTTACTCACGTAAATTCGAATTTCGCCTAAATTCTTGTAGAGTCTGATAAAGCAAATTAAAGAAGATATCAAGTCAACTTGAACTTTATATGAGGACAAATTTCTATAGTTCGGGTTCGATACGTTTCCTAAGAACTTTGATTTGAATGTTAATGTTTTCTATAACATATCTGTAATAGAAACTAACGACAACAGTCGTATCTATTCTAGTTAAAAGTATGATGACTCCTCTCATATATGAAGTAAAAATGTATATTATGTATTGATCGAAGCGAAAGTATTTCTATACGTTTGAAATATCTAGTTAGTAGGAATCCTGTACTTCAATTTTTTTTTTCTGTCGATAATGTTTTCATTTGAATTAACTTGTATGTGCGCTATGTCCACATTGATGTTTATTTCATAAGCATTTTTTATTTTATTCGAGTTTCAAGTCACGCAAATTTGATGTACTTTCAAGAGATATTTCTTTTATCTATCTTGTGATGAATCTGATAGATATTATTGTGTTATTGTTCTTGTATATACTTCTTATTATTACTGTTAGCGAATCAAAATAGAGAAAACAAGAAGAAACTATACAATCGTGCCTGTTTCTTCTAGGCGAACGAATGCTTATTAATGAGGAGGAAAAGAACAACTTCGATATGCTCGCGTGATTCTTCTTTGCTTGTACTTTTTGCTGACAAAACAAGTTTTGCTTTCCTCTTGTTTTCTTTATTTTGATCTTGTCATGTGATGCTACTCTCGTCGTCTATAAATGCGAACATCGATTGCTTCGTATAAAAGGCATTCTTCGTGAGATATTTTTAGTCAAATTTTTCATTTCTATTTGTTTGAACCCGACACGTCTTGTCTATCTCATTAAAATCGGCATATATACTCATATTTTCAGAATAGTATATTAATAGCACCACGAAGGTGCATGGCAACGCCCATTTATTATTTTTTAATTGCCAACCGAAACTCATCAAATCATTATTTTATCCATTATACATCATTACTCAAAAAAGTTAAGCGAATTTTATTTCAGGAAGTAAATTGCTGCATGATTAATTCAATATTAAAACGATTACGAACTACAATATGTTACCTGATGATCCATTGCAAACATCAACATCACCACCATTATCTAAAATATCATCGTCACCATCTTTCCAATTAGTTTCAGCCTGTACTGGCAAAAAAAAACGTCGTCAACGCCATGAATCAAATACAACTGATAGTTCATCATCTCGAACGGTTATTCGTCGTACAACATCATGGCGATGGGTAATTGTATTTGGTTCATTTGGTGTCCATTTTGTTGCCGACGGTCTTCTCTTTTCATTTGGCATGCTTATGCATGTAATAAAAGATGATCTTAAACTTGAACTACATACTGTCGGTATCATTGCATCACTATTTGCTAGTTTACCTCTTCTACTAGCACCATTATGTAGTGCAATGGTGAACAAAGTTGGATGTCGTTTTATGACAATGCTCGGTGGTTTGCTTTGCACGATTGGTTTGTTCATTGCATCATACTGTGGTAATTTCGTTGGCGCACTTGTTGGTATTGGAATTATTAGTGGTGAGAAAATACTTAAGAGATGATTATTATCGTTCTATATGCTTGTTTTATATATTGATATAGGTATCGGTTTATCGTTCGTTTATGTTCCAGCAGTGGTCATTGTAGCACATTATTTTGATGATAATCGTGCTATTGCTACAGCTGTTGCTGTTGGTGGAACTGGTGTGTATCGTGAAAAAAAAAGAAATAATCTATTTCCAACGACAAATACAACTTTTTTAATTTTTAGGTATCGGTAATGCTGTTGTTGCACAATTAATTCATGTATTAAATGACTATTACGATGATTGGCGAGATACAACATTATTTTTATCCGGTGTACTATTTACAATTGTTCTATTCGGTGCACTTTTTCGTCCTGCTCAATTTGAATTTCATGAAAAAGATAAAAATTATCATCATACGATGAATGATATACGTTTACCGCCATCATGTATGACATCGATGGAAAAATTGCAACGCTTTGTAAATGAAATGGATAAACAATGTGCACTGCGTCAGACAAATCAACAAGTTAGTATATCACTATCAAACAATGAACGATTATCGACAATAATTGATGATAATGATTCAATATCCATTGGCAATGAATCCGATCTATTCGATTCATATTCAGCCGATGACATAACAGACATTCAACATGATAATAGTTTAAAAGTTGATATGACAACATTTCGAGAGAAAATTTCTAATGACATGAGATTTATTAATGAACGATGGAAAAAAATAGCAAAAAAACAAGTAGAAACAGGAGCAAATTCAAAATTATTTCGTATGCCTAACTTTCGTTATTTAATATCGAATAAAAATAAAGAAAGAAATAATACATTGGTCGTACCAGATCAAAATACGCATGCATTAATTGAAAAAATTAATCCATTATCTCATTGCACTCATCCTCATAGTTCTACTCATCAGGTTTCTTTTGCAAACGAGCAAAAACAAAATAAGACTTTCATACAAACACCATCCGAAGATATAGGTACGAAAAAAGAAACAACTACAAAATCAGGTCAGTATATTTTATTTCAGTCTGGTTTCAGTAGCATAGTTTCTTGTCTTTTGTTTTTCATTTGTAGAAAACATCGATCTAGTACCGATATCAAATAAAGAGATCATTGTACCAGGAGGACATGCTACGGTTCGTTTTCGTTCTCTTGCACCAGCTAAGCAAGCAGAACAGTTATTACAAGTTTACTATCAACCAATTAATCAGAAAGATATATTCTATCCTGGAAATGTACCAACAAAATCATTAAATAAAAAACAAGCGTTATCAGCAACTAGTTGTCCTGATCTAATTCAGTCGCATTTTTATGAAGAATCTGCAACGTCAATATCAAGTTCATCATCAGAATCTGAGGATGAAGATAGTTCAATACTCTATCATCGACATCGCCGATTATTGTTCTATCGTAAAGGTTTATCATTTCTTCATACATTACGTCGTATGTTAGGCTTACAATTATTTCGTGATTACCGTTATGTATTAATATTTATTTCACAATTTCTATTCTATTTATTTTACGATTTAATTTATTTTTTCCCTGGTAAAAAAAGACATTAGAATTCTTTATTTGCATATTTCTAATACTAGGATTTATTTATTTTTAGTCGATTATGGAGAAACAGTCATTGGTTATACAAAAAAACAAATGACTATGCTAGTTACAATTCTAGGTGTAGGCCAATTTTTTGGGCAACTATTTTTTGGAATCTTAGCTAATTATTCATTTATTGATGAATTAATTCTTTATAATATTGGTGCGATACTTTGTAGTGTTGCAAGCTGTCTTATACCATTTGTTGCTTATTCATATGTTGCATTAATAATGACTATTCTTTTATTTGGACTTGCAGTGTCAGCAAATTATGCATTAACATCCATTATTCTTGCAAATATGTGTGGTTTAGAATTATTAACATCAGCTTATGGACTCATTTTACTTGGACAAGGTTTATCATCTTTATTTGGGCCTATTTTAGGAGGTAAGATAAAATTTAGATTAAAAATACACAAAATAATTTTCACTTCGTTTTTCTTCTTTTTTTTATTAAGGCTGGATTGCTGAACATTATGGATATAAGACATCATTGATCGTGGCTGGGGTATTTATGGGTTTATCTGGTTGTGTTACAACTATTTTGTATATACTTCAATATTTACATGGACGGAAGAAACATAAAAAAACTGACAAGACGGTGAATACAAATATGACGATTATTACGTCAGATAATCTCGAGTGAGATTACATGAAGACTAACCATTCCAATATGTATATTGATTGAAGGCATTTGAACTATTATCGATCACGGTGATCTAAATTAAGCAATTATCGCTCTATATTTTTTTCCTTTTACATTTTGAATCTCTTCAAATGATCCTCTAGCATTTAGTGTTCTTACAATATTCCTAGTATTCGGTTTCTTTTTCTACGCGCTTTATATTGTAAAATTGCAGAATAATTATAGCTTACTCAACAGTTCGTGATATCTAATACGTATCGGTGTCTATCGCTATAGTTTTATCGTCTTACATGTGTGTTAAAATAATTCTTATTTCAATATATATTTATACATACATACATATATATATATATATAGATATAGATATATATAGATATATATTTAAGTTAAAGAAAATGAAAACAAAAAAAACAGAAAAAAAACGGCAAATATAAAGCATGACAAGACATCAAATACACAAGATAGTGTTGACAAAATGAAACAGGCCGATGTCATGATCTATCTTATACACATGTACAAACACATATGAGCGACAATATCCAAGCTTTTTTTAATCAAAATTGAAAAATGAAACAAAGATTTCTCTTTTAAATAAAAATTCATTCATGGCTAGTAAATATCATCTTTCAAAATTATTTAAACGGCGACCAACCAAATATTTTTCATCACGTACATGTTCAAATAATAGACGAAGTTGTTTGATTTGAAATATAACAAATGCTAGCAGAAGCATAAGTGATATTATAGCTGAATATATATAGCGTTCTAATCGATGAACAACATGAGGATTAAATAATGTTGGTGCTACATGTGATACAGCTAAATATGGAAATGCCATGAACATTCCAATATTAAGTGTAAATGGTAATAGGAATTCATTAATTAAGAATGCAAAATCTATACGACGCAATCCATCTTGATAGAGACGTTCAAGAACTGTTTTTAGACGCCATTGTGGACCACTCATGATAAGTGCTATGAAGAAAAAAAAACATATAATTAATATTGTTCACGAAAATTCTTCTTCCGTATTAGTTTAGAATTTAATACGATATTAATTTTAAAATAAATTCAAAAGTAATATAGTCAGATATTTATTGTTCTACTAAGATTTTTCTATATTCTAACGATCATGGGTTTTTTTGTCATAAATATTTTTCAATAAAACATACTATAATATCAAGGTCAAAAAGCATTTGATAGAGATCACTGATTTACAATATAAGTATTTCTATCGTTTTAATTTCTTATGTCGATAAGAATTAATATTATTTACCTATCGTAATTTTTGTATTGAGTAAACCAATAATCCAAACACGTAATGGTGTAAGTACAGCTGTTTGTTCAATGGATGTACTCAATGGTATAATTAAAACTAGAGGAAAAAAGGATGATGTTTAACTAATATTTTTGAGAAATCAGAAACGAAAAAATAATTTACCTAATTCACTAGCAAGTCCAATCATAAATGGAACATAACCAATAACACAAAAAGTACAAAGTAAAACACGCATACACAAAATGCTGTAAGATTTTAGACGTGTTAGGATATTATTGACATCAAATGGTAGAAGTGATCGAATGAAAAATATAATACGTGTTATAAGCCAAAGAATATATAAACCAGTAAGTATTGTATATAATTCATGTAATCTTGCTGAACCTGTTATAAAACCAAGAAGAAAACGACCAATAGTTGCCGGTATAGTTAAACCAAGGACTGAAAGGAATGCCAATGATAAACAAGTAAATAAACAAAGACCTGCTAGGCGAAGACGAAAAAATGATGGTTCAATAAATGGTTGAGATAATGCTAATTGTGCTGGTGCTGGTGCTGGTGCTGGTAATATTTGTACAGGTGGTGCTTGTTCCACTGGGTCATTTTGAGGTTGATCAGGAATAGCAACTATTGGCATTGGTAAAACGTTATCATTTTGATCAACTTGTGGTGCATTCGTTATAGTCAGTGATGGTGTATCACCCAAAAGAAAAGACCGCAAGCCTAATATCCATGATGCCAATTCAACCCACAATTGAAGCTAAAAAAATATTGGTACAATATAAATTTAAATAAAATTTTCTTAATTTACCAAATATTTAAGCATAGTACGTGTATGTCCTTGTTCAAGTAATGTTGGTAATATTCCTTGTAATAAAATAAATTCTATCATTAATTCGCTAACAACTGTTTCAAGACTTCCTTTAACATTAAATGGTAAAAATTTCGGTATACAACGTATTAATAATTCACCAGGAACATAGAACATTAAAATAATTACACAACCGAATATTATTATTGATGATATAAAACGTCTTAAATGCAGTGCAAGTGGTAATTGAATCATTTCTTGTATAGGATTAAAATCGAGATCATTGATAGATTTTAAAAACCACAAGGCGCCAGGCCGTAAAACTTCACGTAGTAGAAATATAAATGTTGCAAAATAGAAAACAAATACCATTCCACATAGCCAATGTAAAAATGTACTTGTTCCTGGGCTTGTTTGAAATTGTGTTAGACGATCATTCAGTGTTATTGTACGTTCATTTAATATTCTTAATGAGCATACATCAAGCCATATTCCGCATATGAATGGAAAGAGAAGAATTTCTAGGACAATAAGTAATGCGACTTTTAATACGATATAAGCAAGACCAACGAGACGACGTATACGTGTTAAATAATTAACAAAACTCAATATTGTAAATGATATTAAAAGAAAAAATGATATGAAAATATAACCAATTAAAGCATTTACGCAACCTGAAATAAAAATCACTCGTATTTAAATCAGACTACAAACAAAAATTTTACCATAAGTTGTTAAAGTATTGATTGCAGTTTCAAAACGTGTATCGGTAACAGCTTGTTGAAAATTTTTACTTGCTGTTATGATTTTACCAATATGAAAAGGTGCATATGCAAATATAAGAATAAATAGTGTGTTAAGTGTGACAACCCAAAATACATGTTCTAGAAATTGTAACGAACCATCAAGGCCTAATAATCGTTCCCATGTTAAATCATCAGCAGCTCGATCCCAATCCATCCAGTTATGGTTATTTTCTTGATTTTGTGCATTTTCGACGATACCAGCTGGTTGAGCAACTAAATTTGCCTGTTCGTCTTCATCATCGTCATCATTTTCATCGTCTTCATCATTGACAGCATCAACGAAAGCACCTTCTTCGTGCTCAGGTTGATTTTCTATTACAAAACAAAACAAATCAACAGAACAAATTCAAATGAAATGACTTACGAGCTACTGGTGGTTCAACATTGTTAGGAGCAAGGGGTTGAGGTAGCAGGACAGGAAGTGCCGGCGCAGGATTCAGAAGAGGCAAGTCTTCGATTGGTGCTATCGGTAGAACAAAATTAACAGGTGGTACTACTGCTAACTGTCGAGCTGGCTCCGGTTCTGCTGGTTGAAGCCAAGCTGGTCCACCACCACTAAGAATTTGTTCTCTCAGCCAAAGTAAACAGATAAAAGCACCAAGTGAACAAAAAACAACTAAACCACCTTGCAGCACATCAGTAAATAAATTATCTGTCGAAACAATATCATATGGTAGTGTAAGAATCGAGGATATTGATCCAGCAAAAAGACATCGATATATACGACTGGCTGATATAGGCACAACACCAAGCCAACAAAAAGCAACAATAAGATAATGTAGCCAATATCTTAATGCTTTAAAGAAAGTACGCAATAAACCATTGATCAAATCTTTCAATGGTAAGCGACCGGGTGGCATGGATGGATGATAAATAGGGGTAAATCGAAATTTTGTTCCACATAATTCACACTCCTCTTTTCGTGATACTTTTAACCATTGAATTAAACTATTACAATTAAAAGTAAAAACAATTCATAATTATCGTATGCATTTAATTGTATCGAACAAAATCTTACCAATCATCATGAACGTATCGGATACTTCCGTGACATAAACATGGATAGAAGAGTGGTCGATCGACTGCGCCTTCACATCGGCATACACGGCAAATGTCAACATCTAAAATGTAAGATCCATGTTAAAAACAAAATCATAGATGTCAATACTGATTTTTGTGGTATACCTGCCGCGTCGTTTTCAGCATTAACTTCATTTGCCATTATAAATTTGCCGTTTCAATAAAATAAGCATCTAAAAAATAAACAGAAAATTCCAATGAAAAATTCTGACTAGACTAATTCAACAAGACAAGAAAAAAGATGAAGATTCAATTAACAACTAATAAAAAAAATCACTACATTAGATATAAAACTAATGTTTTTCCTTATAAGTTTGACGTAAATTTTCAAGCCAAACTAATCGATCTTTAGGTTTAGTTTGAAAATATGACTGTTGTAACGATGAATATGTTTCAGTAGCAGGTATTACGTTGCGATACGAATTATCTTCCCAACAATCATTGAAACGTTTTAAAACATCAACTACTAACGATTCATCACCATTTAAAACGTCAATAGGTGAAATACGAGGTAATAATGGATATTTCAGTGTTTTAAATACAAGAACTGATCTTAATGCAAACCAACCACCATATTTTGGATGAAGACATATACCCATCATGTTCTGTACACACAAACAAAACAAAACGAATTTAAGACACGCAACTTCAGTAAAAAAACGAAAAGATTTACTCGATCTTTAGGAAATGGATCATTTGCGAGTTGTTGACGACTATAAAAACGAGCTGCACCTGCGACATGACTCACTGTTTGCATGACTATTTTAGGTCTTCGAGTTGGCCATAGCTCGTAGTCAAACATAACATCAATATCACAATCAGGAATATTCTATTAAACAAATACGATTAAACTTGAGTGTTAAGAATATCGATCGAAAAAAACCCTAATACTTCTATGACAGATTGAATTTTTTCTTTGACACAACAATCAATTGGATCACGTGAAAGGTCTTTGCTGCTGTCAAGTGCATAAGGTAAAAATGTTTTTTCAAACATACTTGGTGTACTAACAACAAGAAAAGCAACTGTATCATCATCGTATGTCGATAGACGAAATAATGGATCGACAATAGAATTATACCATGAAATCTAAACAGGATGTTTTTCTTCTATAAACGATAAAAATCCAAATGCGAAATTATTTACTAGAAAAGGATAAACTTCAAAACCAGGTTCTGTAAGATTATTTTGTAAAAGTGCATAGATTGTATCAAACTCTATCATTCTTTGAAGAACCAAATATGGCGATTATAAACCACTAATGTAGAATTTTTGGAAGAAATCTAAAACAAAATGCAAATAGCATGTTTCTTTTTATTGAGATATTGTTCCTTGGTACTTTGTTCGAAATGATAAAAGTACCTAAGAAATATTATAGCAACCCACGTAAAAAAAAGTGAACCGAAAGTCACTTTTAATAGTAATAAAGTAATTTTTCTTACTATATGTCACTTTTTAGAGTACTTTCTGATAATCTTTTCACTTCCTGTAGTACTTTATCATACTTTTCTTCCTTTCAAAAGTACTTATCAGTAATTTTTAGTCAAAAAATATGAAAAGCGCTTAAAAAAGTTCACTTATAATTACTTTACCCTGCCTAAAACCTAATATTGAAAGTACTTAATAGTCACTTTTTTGGGTAAAACTCTTTACATGGGAAGATACTGATGCAGAAAATCAAAACACATCTATGTCTTTTGTCATTCTTCGAGGAAAAATATATTCTTCCGATAGAAAACAATCTGGAACACCATGAAATCAATTCAATACACATTCTTATATCGAACTGGTTCGAAAAAGTAAATGAAGAAATTTCGTGCCAAGACAAATGATTAGAAATTCAAAAATTTCCAAAATAAACTTGATAAGAACACAATAAGAAGAACTTCGTAGATATATCCACGATCAGAAAATACTAACAGGAGTAACGCAAGCAAATGCGCAATAATGGCGTAAAATATAGGCTAAATATTTTCTATTTCACTAAGCATCAATGTTATACTTTGAGATAAACTAAAAGATTCAGACCGTTTTTAGAATAGTGAATAGCTCAGAAACTTGGCTTTTCTTGAGGTACTTATTATTGGAAACATTGGCCGAAGACGGCGAACAACATTTGAGAGCGTATCTGATTGGATTTGCATAATGTAACTGGATAAGTAATGAGAGTCATCTATGATATAGATGCCGTATCAGTCAGTGAATTTCACTTCATTTCCTATATGCTCTATCAATTAAGATACCGCGGAGAGAACAGTTGTTGATGTTGCAAATATTCAACAGCATAAAATTATGAAACCTATCTACTACATATAGCCTGCAATAGAATTAAATTTAAGTGTTTGTGGTTTAGGCATAGTGCAAAAACGAAAAGTCAAATCAGGAGGAATATTTTCGAAAGTACGACTAAAATATTAATAATCTCTGTACAATTTCTAACGGAACGCAGTTAAAATGTTAAAAAAAACGTAGTTAACAACAAAGAGAAAATAAATGAATTGAAGAAGAGTAAAACAAACACGCAGATATTACTAGTTCGAGGAAAAAACATAAATTAAGATGCATGAAATTACAACCTATGAATGAACTTGTTTTTTTTCACGTGTACGAAATACATGAGGCGAGATTATTAACATTTTGAAAGTTATACGATTGTCTTTTCGTTTCAATACACTTTGAATAACGAATTATTAGAGCATTTATGAAATTGAACTCATAGACAAAAAAGTTTCAGGGTGCACTTGATGGAATTGCACTTCTTCAGTTTCGTTGCACGGGACCGTAGCAAGTCACTGGACGACTTTCTCTAAGATCGAAATGGAATCAAAGAATCTCTTAGAACGTCATAGACCTTTCACAGAAAACTCATCATGGACCGAGAGTCGTTTGCTCATATATTGAATAGTAATTTCTTATCTTTTTCGTTAGTATCGGAAAGATTTTTCGACAACAGTTCAGTTATCTACATCCAAATCATCATGATCAGACTCAATGTTTAATACAGAAGTTATATGATTATTGTTACCAGTATTCGTGAATGTATTTTTCATTATAAAAAATGATCAAAATTGCAAAAACTTTTCGTTAACATTACTTCCTCACATCGAAGCTTTTAAACTGGCGTCCTCTATATATATGCCGTATAGTTTTTTATGCTTAAATTTCTCGTTACCCAACATCTCAATTAATATTGTTGATTCGAACAAGGTCTGCCATTCACACTCACTACGCTGTCAATATATTGGTTGGCATGTATTGCCATTAGAAGTAACCCACTTTGAGTACTGCCATTCTGATGATTGTTCTTTTACTTACTATCAGAAATGCAAAAGTTTTTCGCAGATTTTCTAACAATTTTTTTTAACTGACAGAATAAACCTATAATAAATTGTAAATTTAATTTTCAGAACAAGTCATACACACATTTACTAGGAAGTATTCTAAAGGTTGAGTATTTCATTTAGCATAAAAAAAACAATTTTGCAATTAATACTTAAATACATCGGTGTCTCCTCTGTAAATTAATAAATCAATTAAACGGATTCTTCACTAGACGAGTCTGAATAGTTTGAAAGAAGCTACATTTAAACATCGATTATTTACTATTATTTTAAGTTTTTGTAAACAAAGTTAAATTTTTAGTTATAATAACTAATAGAGTGAGTTTATGAATATTTCAGACACGAGTAAATTGTGCTCATGTATCAACGATGTCTTGTTAATGGAAATTTTACAGAACATCTTTCTTATGTGTACTGAATCATTCGATGATGCGCTACAAAAATTTCGACAACATGTCGACTATGGCGACAGTTGATTTTTAACTCATGAACAATCGAACATTATTGGAAATTCGACAATGAACATCGTAGAAAAGGTCTAGTTCTATGGTGGAATTTAAATTCAATTGATAGCAATCAGAGCAATCCTTTTGCAAGCTTTCCAACTGTTGACTGTTTCCTTGGAAAATGTACTTCTGTAATATCCGGTAGTGAAAATTCTGAACCAATTTAGATCAACGATTCTCAATACATTATTAATAGAGACTCTGATTATAGTTTAGCTTTTTGGCTGCTAACCACTGAAACGGGTGGTTATTATTTACCTTTTTAGGGCTAGTTTAGAAAAAATATATTGTCATCAAGAGTTAATTCACTCGCGTAAGTATAGCATTGTTGATATCTGATCGAAACATAAATTGATGAATTTCAAGGGAATATAATTAGTATCTTGGTAGCATATGAATTTTGATGATGAATTCGATTTTTGTTTTGCAGAAGTATAATAGAAATCTACTTTTATATTTATTATGATGTAGCAAATGAACCTCTTTGTAAATTTATGGGGAGTGATGACAATTGGAACTATGCGCGTCCAGCTGGGGTATGTATAGACGATAAAAACTCTCTGTCGATAGCATTTACATCATCAGCCAAAAGCTATGGATTAAGGGTCAAATGGCGTTAGCTGCTTCAGTACCCATAGCTGCCTATAGTACCACAGCCACTGTTTCATCTTACTTATGGAGTAAATGGAATCGCTCTTTAGCAGATGTATCAGTGTGGTCACGATGTTTGTCACACAATAGAAATTAAAACATTCTATGAACAGAAAACATCGATCGACAAAATCAAAATTGGCAAGTATATTTTAGATCATACAACGAATTGAATATTACTTTTCACAGATTTCTATTTTTCTTCTACTGTCGATTTTAAATAAACTGATTATTCTTTAATTACATTTCATTTACTGATCTGTTTAATCGCACTACTAATATGTAGATTTTATACTCAAAAATAAGAAGTATTTCATGCACATCGAAACAGAAAAAAAGCATAAAGAATAGATATATATATCTGAAAACAAAGTAAAATGTGCATGATATGTGTTTTCTCCTAAGTTGATATCTATGAGAGTCACGGAGAATGATTCTGAAAAATTCTAGATTCATGACAAATCAAGGTACGAGACAAATTCTAGATAGCAATGCATGCTACTGTCACATGTTTACGGCTGACAATAGAACGTACTATTCGATTTCACTTGTTTTACTTCGTCAAACTTGAGAAACTCGATTACTTTATCAAATTTATAATAAAATTTCATCGATGCGAAGAATATCGATCATCTATCATCAGATATCAAAGAATTTAAAATAATTCAAAGTCAAAAACAAAATTGAAGTACTACGAAAGGAAAACTAAACAAATTTAAATAAGCTTCTGCACTGGCAAGCCAATAAACTCTTAGAAACGTTTTAGACCTTTCACAGACGTTTTTCCATTCTTAAAATAAAATAGAGGCATTGCTCTATCGAGCATTATCGTCAAATACAAGTACCATTTTTTTCTCAGTTGTAAAATTTGAATTGAGAGATGTACTTCAAAGAGCTTATAAGCAGCTATTTTATAGTTGCTATATGATTACGAGTTGAATCTTTGTTTTAATTTTAAACGGATACATACTAGTAAGAATAACGAATTGTTCGAGAGTGCTCAACGTTCTCCTGAAATATTGTGTGGCATTATTTTAGGAGAAGAAATTATTTTATTTCTGCCTTAAAATAATGGCAAACTGATGCTTAAGTTAATACCTTGGATGCAAACAATATCTTTTAATAAATTGATTTGAATATAAGATAAATTTATTATTTTATGACCTCATTTATTTTTTAGAAAAAGCTAGAGTTGATTTTTATCTAACTAATGCATGTCTGCTAGTTTTCTTTAAGTTACACGTAAAATGAAAAGAAAAGATTTTCCATAGAAGCGTTTTCAATGAAAGGAATATCATGCATGTGTCTTAATTTACTTTTGCATGCTGCAGTTTATGCGCACGTTTCGTTTTGAGAACGTACTCGTGTATATCTCTGGATTGATTAGCTGACTGTTTATGAACTTCACAATAAGTTCTTTTGATATGGCTCACAGACTTCCACAACCAATAATAGAGTATAGAAAGATTATGCTCCACAATGATAACTAAAGACTACATAGAAGAACCAACAAATAAGACGAATAAACATAAACTGTAAGCATATGTTGATTCTATTACTTAACACCAATCAGCTCCAAAGAATAATTGACGATAATAACATAATTTATATATTTTTTCTTGTATTATCCGATTCATTGAAGAACTAATCAACCCATATTTATTCTTGTATATGAATTGCTTAGTGAAAAATAACATTGGTATTGACAAAAGACACGCGAAAAAAACGAATATAAATTATTTATTATTCAGGTGAGAATCAACAGAAGAGAAAGAAGAAAGAATTTTTATAAAAATAGAATATCAATGATAAAATTGGTACAATAAACATAACCAGAGAGAGAGAGAGAGAGAACAAAGAATAACATATGATTAGTAGGTTCATTTATGATTGTAAAACAAAGATACATTAACAAAAGAAAATTTTTTTTGTTTTCTGGAATATGCAAAAAACATGGCGGATAGCACTCATCAATTGGATTTTATTGCACATATCCATTATTTCTTGGGTTTGTTCTATTTTTAAGTTGAGGCAGTTGTGTTCGGTGAGACGACACTTCATTTGATTTTTATACCAATGAGTAAATAGATTAAATCAAGATTATTCAACAGGATGATTCAAAGGAGCGTCTTCTCCATTATTATCATCTTCGTCTAATAAATCACTGGTGAGTTCGTTGTCCATACTTGTTTTCGCTGCTAATTGTGCACAACAATGTTTAAGGCCTTTAAATACCCAAAATGTGAATAATATATTACAAATAACGATTCGTACACTTACCTGAACAATATAGAATAGTTAGTGCTCCTGAAAATAAATAGATAGTTTAAATTTCTAGAGATGAATTTTAAAAATCTATGAAATAAAATCAGTGAGAACTGTTTCGATTTATGAAGATAAGGTGAAAATTACTGAGTTCTCTTTACTCGAAAGGTTCTCAAAGACATAAATAGTGTCGAGCAAAGCTTTTTCCAAGCGAGTCATCCCATAAATAATGAGTTACCTTTATCTATTGGTAGGGAACATATTCTCGATGCAAGCTAAATTCAAATTTTGCTATCTTATTTTCTATGTGAAAAACTCATTTAGTTGAATTGAAATATGACGATTCACCGAGTTAACAATATGAAATATGCATAATTTTTAAAACCTTCTCCATATAATCACATACCTAATGCTTGAACTTTTTCATCAATATTAGCAATTTTAACTTGAAGCTTTCGTTTTTCATTTTCATCAGTTAGACGATTCTCGTATTCATGAGTCATTTCTTCACGAATTTGACATTGTAAATCCATTTCTTGTTGCAAACGAGAAATCTAAACAAATATGCGTGATGTAAAAAGCTTTGAATCATTTTAGTTACTAACTTCACCATCAAGTTTTTGTTTACGATCATCGGGTGCTAATTCAGGAAATAATTCTTGTCCAAATTCACGTGCTCTAGCATAAAGTGCTGTATCATCAACAGCTCGTTCGTGTAGTAAATGCTCGAGATTTTTAATATCATTACTTTCATCTGACAAGCATTGCTAAAACACACAAGAGTTAAAATTTAGCTTTTTTTTTAAGCTCTTTTTCTTACAGTAATGATATCTCGTAGATCAGCTTCAGCAATATTTTCATTCGGTACTAAAAACAAACTCAATGAAATTATCATTTACGAAAACTATCAAAAGATATTACTTGAACCTGTTGTTGACGGAGCTTTTTTCATAGGATTAATTTCAGAAGCTGAGGGTAATCGTTTAGATTTAAACTCTCGAAATCTACTATACGCTGATGACGCAGCATTTGCTAATTTTGAAGATGCATGAATCGGAGAATTTACTATTGATACTTTCGCTGTTGGAATATTTGAGGGATCATTTATTGATTCATCACTTTTTGATAATTCTGATGTTGTTCCAATATTCGGACCGAAACTGGCTGTTGTTGAATTGAGATTTCTATTGCCAAAGGCACGAAATGAACGACGTGCTGTTGAATCTAGCACTGAAAATGCAGCAGCCGCTTTCGTTGAAAGGCGATGTGCTGTTGTTGGTAATACTATTGCTGATGTAGTTGTTGTTGTTGCTGCTGGTGCTGGTGCTGCTGCTGTTATTGTTGCTGGGATTGTTGTTGCTGCTGCAGCTGCTATTGCTGTTGTTGTGGTGATGGCAACGGTGGCAGTAGTGGTAGGAGTACTGGTGGCAGATGTCATAGTAGTAGTTCGATTTACATTTGGACTTGGTATTAATTCATAATTATTTTTTATTGTAATTGAATCAGTATCATCTACTGCTAGAACCGGACCAATATCTGATTCTACTATAATTGAACTTCTCATATCTTCATCGGGTGCTGTAGTAGTTTGGTTAGTTTTTAAACCAATGGGCTCACGTGTACACTTTATTTCCGCATTAATTTTATCTTCGCATTTTTTATGTATTGCTATTTGACAGTCACGACATTGACGGCCAATTTTCATCCAAATTTTCCGTTTACAATAATCGCATACAGTCGCAGTTGTAAATACTTTATCATCAAAAGAATGATCGGTCAATCTAAATAGAATAATCATTTCATTAAATTTAGAAATTAGTTTTTATTTGAATTAAATTTGCCTGCGTGCAGGCGATTCTTGTTGTTCATTGATAGTATTTATATATTTCAGTTGATCTCGTTTAGTTTCTTCTTCTTTTAATTTTCTATACAGATCATTGAAAACAGGTACATTAGCTGTGAATTGCTCGTTTTTTTCTTGTGAATTTAATCTTGCTTCGATTGCTGGTCTATGTTTGACGTTTACTGTAACAAAACCATGAGCCAAATTATCATCGTAACCTTTATGAGTACTTAGTTCAACTCGTTTTTTACTAAAATAAAATTCGATCACTATGAATTGAAATAAAAACTAGAATCAGTATTGAATTAAATTTTCTCATGCATAATGTTACTCTAATAAGTATGTATATATAGTTTTTTGAATGTTTACCTGTCAGACTCTGTAAGTGAAATATCTCTAAATAGGGAAAATACTCTGATTGCTATATATCTATGTATGGATTGAAAACAGCTGTATGAAGCAATACTTACAAATTAGGTTTTACCGAATAAGCCGAACGAAAATTGAGTGTCATTTGAGTTTCACGTTTATAACTTAGATGAGCATCGAGTACTATTTCTGAGAGAGCAACTGTAGCCTAAATCAAATATAACAAATAAGTGTCATATCGAGTTTCATTACTTGTTTAGTGCAAAGAATTTTAACTTACATGACCTAGTAAAATTAGTTTTTTACCAGCATTTGGTACATCACAATCAAGTGGTGGTTTACACCATAAACAAATGTTAAGATATCGTTCATTGGGACCCACTTGAAACTCGAATTTATTGTTAAATACAATATGCTATAATAATAAAAAATGAATATTTAAAAAATTTTTTCTGAATGAAAAACAAACGAACCGGCTCCGGCTTTTGAGTAGGAGTTGGTTGAGCTTGAAATTCTTGTAATACATCGGCATTCATCATAATTAAAGTGATATAATTTACAAGATTTTTCTATAGCAAAAACGAAAATAGTTTTGGATAAAGAAATTTATAATCGATTTTGTTTACTAATGGTTTTGGTTTTTTTGTTGCATTGACAGTTGATACTTTATTATTAGCATCTTCTGTATTCGTAGTTTGTATTGATTCATCATCACCATCTGATGGTCTACTAGATAAACCAATTGAATCAGCATTTTTTTCAGATTTTACTAAAGACAATGGAAATTAAAACTATTGAAATTTAAGAAAAACTAAAACAATCATACTTGTTGATGGAGTAGTTCTTTGCCGTAGATTGGGTGATGGCGTCAATGTATCACTACGTATCGACAATGTTGGTGAATGTCCACCCTGAAAAGAATCATTTTGGAACTAAAAAACAATGTTTATGGCAACTATTTTACCTTTTTTTCTATTTCCGATACACTTAAAGATTCAGCAGCACGTTGTACACGAACACTATGTAATAAAGGCATACCAATAACAATTTTTACTCCATCTTCATTTCCATTTGCTGTTGTTGTTGTTGCTGGCAATGTTCCATCGCCAGGTGAAACAGATGGTTTATATTTTAATAAGCGATTCATTTGTTTAACTGTTTTAACGTCTTGTCCTCGCATTTTAAGTAAAAATACATTCTTATCTTCTAATGCTGTTTTAAATGCTGTAGCATCTTCAATTCCATTTGGTATTGGATCAATTTGTTCAATTAATAATTCTATTCGGTCCATATAAAGAACTTCTTTAACAAGAATTTTATGTATGTTACGTGTTAATTCAAGTTCTTTTGTTGGCCATATACTACGATCAATATATAAATAATCAGCACACGTTTTCTCGTTGATATTCACCGTTAAAAATACTGCTACAGATGGCATCTTTTGTTTATCAAATATGGTCAATGGTATTGAAAGACGATCGCAATGTTTAATTAATACATCGAAACTACCCGGTATAAGATTATTCCCATTGGCAGATAAAACATCAGCTGGTAGAGAATGTTTTGATGCAGAAAAAAATGGTTGAAAACGAATTTTATAACTTGGCCATGTTTGTTTACGTTTTATAGCACGACGTAATTGTTGTGTGATAATATTTGCTAATTGTGGACTTTCAACTGTAGCAAAATATGATTTAACTTCAAAATCAATGAATGGTTCATCTTGAAAAACTAACAGCCAATGGCTGAATGGTTCACGACGAAATTCTAAATGTAAACGTCCTTGAATACGTTTTACTTTAATAGATAATTGACACTTATGGCCAAATAGTAACGTTATATCAAGTGTAACAAAAAAGCCATCTTCATAATCAGCATCAAGCTTAGCAACGAATTCCTGAACAGAAAAAAAAAATTTTAATTACATCTATCAAAAGTTTGATATATGATACTATGAAATTTGATACTACAGGATGAAAGAAAGAATAAAGAGAAAGCAAATTTTCATCGATGAATGAATGAATGAATGAAGCTTTTATAATCCAAATAAAGATTCATGTATCAAATAACACTTCCTTTCTCTGTTCAAAATTATGAAAGAAACAGAAAGATTTCATACCTTAATCAAATTACGCTCATCACGTTCTTGTCGTTCAAGTTGAATATCGCTGAATATTGGACATTTCTTTCCAACTGAAAAACTTTGTATCTAAATATATTATGATTAGAATTTCAATCAAAATTTATGGAATTATAAAACCTACGATAATATTTTGAACAAATATTTTTCCTGTTCGACTATTCTTCAATTCTTTAAATTCTGTATCCAATTTATGCATTAGATAACGTCGTAATCTTGAACTATCTTTAAGTTCTTGAAATAAAAATTGAAATAGATAATTAACAGCATCGACTGCCAAATTTTTTGCTCGTTCATTCTATAATAGAAATATGTAGAGATCTAAACTATGTTAAGTCGTAAATTAACTTACTTCAGGCAATGGATGGAATGCTTCAAACTGTTCGTCTTCTTGTTCATTAATTACGACTGGTGGGCTAAATGCATAGCTTGTATATAAATATAGCAATACGGCAATTGTCGATGCACAACCCAAAACATAACTTAGCAGTATAATTAGTAACAACATAATTTTAAATGAAAGAACCAACTCCTATCACATCTTGAAAGAACAGAAAAAAAAACAATTTTTTATCGATTTCTCTTATTTTTTTCAGTTCTTGTTGTTCGTTTGCTTGTATTCAAAATTCTTTGTTTACACACACACACACGCACACACACTTCGAAGGCGTCATACAAAACTATACAAACACGTGAGTGAGACAAAAGGAGAGAAGAAAAAAACAACGAAAAAAAAACCAATTAAAAGCGCACACAATCGATCATCGTCTGTCTTCAATGTTGTAGCCCTTTCGACTCTAAACTAATAATAAACACATCCGTCAGCACTCTTTTTTTTTTGTGCATGTATAATATATGGAAGAAGCTTGCATCGATCAATTTAATATTGTTTGAATATCCCTTGTATAGTTTTTCTTAGAATACATATGTATATATATTCAAATGAAAAACGTTTTACATCAGTAATAATCCCTATTTACAATGAAATACAAAAAAAAAATGAAAGAGAGCTAAGAATCATCGCTATGTTCCTCATTTTCTCACATGTTGTAGCGCGATAGATATGAATGCGCATGAACAAAAAAAAAAAGAAAAACTGTTGTCTATCGTGAGAAATGAAGATCACTGCGAGCATATAACGCAATAGAGAAAAGAAAACCAACAGTTTGATAATAAATTAAAAGAAAACAAAAACAAAATTCAGTCGATCAACACAATCATTTAGCGATAGTATAGGATTGTGTATGTTTCTCTATCCCTCTCGCTCTCTATCCTTTTTGACTGACACAAAACAAAAGAAGAAAAAAAAACGAAACGAAATGTGCATGTGTATAAATATGAACGATCAAGTCAAACTAGGATTTTGAATGAGCAAAGAAGCATCGTCAACATTCGATGATAAATGATGGTGATGATGATTAAAACTAGGTGGAACATAACCAAAGTATTGTGGAAATGATGCTGTTGCGGACGGTGATGTATGAATTCGCTGAGTAGGATAATAGCTGTTCGTTGAATTATTTGTTGTTTGAAATTGTGTTGATACACCAAGATCAATTGCTGGTATATTAGCATCAATATTTGAAAAATGACGATTTAAATTTGTTGGATCGTCAATAAATGTTGTATGTGTTGTTTGATTAATATTTGGATAGTTAGTTAAATAAGATGATGACGATGTTGGAATACTGCCTATTTGATTAACATTTGTTATTTGTGTTATAGAAGGATTTGCTGATTGCTGTTGAACAGGAGGAGCTAAACCAGGAAATGGTCTTTGAATTCCGGACATAAATATTTGTTGTTGAGATGTCGAATCAGTTGGTTGCCACAGATTAGGTGGTGGATACTGCTGATTGGCACGTGATGGTTGATTTGTTGATGGGACTGTTTCAATTATATGTCGATACGAATCTTGACGATAACGAAGAGCTAAAAAAACATGAAAAAAAAAGATGAAATGAAAAAGAAAAAAAGTAAAAAATACATTGTTAATACCAGAAAATAAACAGGATATATGATGATGAGAAAATAAATGAGGCAGTTTTACTACTCACGTAGCCTCATAAATGAACGAAAAACAAGCTGAATTAATTTAGGATAACAAAAGCATTATAAACTCCTTCGCTAGCGAAAAAGAGTTTTTAACTTTTTATTCAATTGATTGATAAGAACAAATGAATATTTATGTTATGCAAAGCAACGTGCATTGAATTCTTCGATATTTTTTTTTATTTGCTATGTAACAAGACGTACATAAAAACGAACGAAGAACTCGACTTATTCACGCCCATTTATATGTAAATGGTTAGTTTTATTCGTCACTTTTCATGCTTCGGATTTTGCTGGATATAATTTATTATGTTCTACAAACAAAACAAAATACTTCTCAGTATTTTATCTACATTCTCTTAAAACTCAAATCTTAAGAAATTCATCATGTTGACTTTTCACTTCTTTTTTTAATTTCACTTACTCGGATCAAGGTTAGGCGAACCATTCGAATTGAGATTCGATGATAAAGGAATATTTGAATGATTTGTCATAAGAGAATTGTTCTGTTGTAATAAACTATTAACATTATTTGTACCATTATTATTGGTATTTGTTAATAAAATATTTGTTGCTATTGCTGCCGTGGTTGTTGCTGATGATGAATGATTAATCATTGATGTTTCATCATAGGTTCGTTTGAAAAAACTTGCTTGTAATGCATTAAATGGTAATATACGTCGTTTTGGGTCATATTCCAGCATTTGTTGAACAAGTTCTTTGAATTTAACATAATCTGATACGGAATGATTTGGTTCGCCAGCACGACGGCCGCCAGGACCACCAACATCAACTCCTAGTATATCATGCAATTTACGTGTACCCGGTGCTCGATACTATTCAAATAAAAGAAACAAAAAATATACGTATATATAGTATTTAATTAGGATGAAATGTATTTTTGTTTTGTTTCTTACCCTTCTCTCTTTACTCTTTTTTGGTATCCATGTATTATCTGGTAAATGATCAAAGAATCGCTTAGTTTTGGTACCTTGTTCAAGTATATGAGTAGGTGGCATACCAAGTACTTCAACAATTTTCATCATTTGATCATACTAAATAGATATTTATTTATTTTTCTCTTCTTTTCTACATACAATCAAAATAACTAACTTCATTGGTACCACTGAATAATGGTTCGCCGGTATGCATTTCAACAAGAATACAACCAAGACTCCACATGTCAATAGCCATATCATATGGAATACCAAGTAATACTTCTGGTGAACGATAGAATCGACTTTGAATATATTGATAAAGCTAGAAGAAAAAAAAACAGATTATACATTTAGTTGAAAATAAAATTTAGAAATAGCAGACTCGTTGACCAATTTGACATGAACTACCAAAGTCAACAATTTTTATTGCTGATCGTTTTGGATTAACCAAAAGAATATTTTCAGGTTTCAGATCTAGTTATTGAAAAGATAATGTTTCTTTTCTAGTCTTTTTTGAAAGAACATACCGCAATGAAGTACATTAAGTTCTGGCTGAGATAGAAAGAGTAATGCCGACAATAGTTGCAAAGCAAATTTTCGTGTTAAATTTAGTGATACACCACGAAAATTTGTATTACGTAATAAATCATATAAGTTATATGATAATAATTCGAATACAAGGCATAGATGATTACGAAATGTAAAATGGCGTTTCAATTTAACTTAAACAAAAAGAGATATTTAGTTCTATGCTAGATATTATATAGATGCATACCTATATAACCATTATTATCAATATCATGCTGATTCATTAATTCAAGAAGACGTACTTCTATTTGAGCTTGAGAAAGAAATGGTCGCTTGTTTTTAATTATCTTTATAGCAACATATTCACCATCGATATGGTCAAATGCTTTAACGACCTATAAAAAACAATAGGTTTTTGAATATTAGCTATTTTTATTCTTTCATTGTTTCTATTTACCTGTCCGAAACTTCCTTTTCCAATAAGACAATCAATAGTGTATCGTTCAAGCCATATTTCACCTGGTCTTACAATATAATCATGATTTTCATCATCATAACCATCATTTAAATTTCGTTTCTCTTTTTTATATAAACCATTAGTATCTTCAATTACTTGATTATTACTACGTTTCTTCTTTTTTGCATAATAAACCTAAATGAAAATCTTTTATTGATAGCAATTCAAAAATTGGAATAAAACTGAAAAAATAATAAAAAGAACTATTAAGTTAATACTTCATAATTATTTTGTAATTCAGCTGATATTTTGCCCGTAGCTGGTGGTACAATATCATACAGATAACTAGTTGAACTACCATATGCTGAACTTCCATCTGTAAGACTACTTGCGTTTGATGATAGATGATGATGACGATTAGTACTGTTAGGATAGTATTGTTCATAACTGGTTGGTGCTGTCCATTCTGTATAAGGTCCTTGTACGTATTGCATCGCTTTAGGTCTCTTTTTTTATGCCTCACAGATTCGTAAGTATAGTATAAAAAAAAAGAAGTGAAAAAGTGAAGAAAAATCTACGCCAAAAATTGTCGTTAAAACAGCCAGACCATATCGCGATAAAAAAATATCAACAACAAGCCTCGAATGTCAAGGCTAGTTAATTATAATTTAAAGGATATAGTATATGTAAGCGAACAAGATTTCAAGAATAAAATATGCACATCAGCTGATGTTCCCTTCTTATAGATTAATACACTTCAACGATACTCACGGTCATTGAATTGCATCATACTCGCTCAGTCATATCTTTTCTTAATATATATTTAGATGACCCGAAAGACGCATTCGACCATCACAATCAAATATTCGGTGTTATACATAGAGAACGAGAAAAAAAAGTAAGCGTATGCATACAGATATCATCGTTATAATCATTTTTGTTTTGTCCTCTAATTTTTTTTTGCGCATCTCGAATACGCTTTACTTGTACATCATCATCATCAGTACGCAGAACGAAGAAAAAGGCACAAAGAGCATACATATATATATATATATATATATACATTTGTATATACCTATATATAGGATATCGAATATTTATATAACATGTAATTTATGTATACGCTAATATATATATATATATAAAATTGAATAAGAAAAAGATTTTACCTCATTGATATGTTTGTATGTTTTGATGAGATCAACACTTAATTTACGAAGAGGCGCCTCGACTGGATCGCGATAAGCGTTCATTGCTGGCATCATCATGTATATTATAGATATATTGATAATATTCCATAATTATAATAGAATTTCATTTTCATTTAATATAACATATTCTATTAAAATGACAGAAAATAATTACACATTTTATTGGTAAAAATTAAATTCTACATACCAAAAGCACAGATTTAAATTGTTAGTACTGTTTATATTAAATACACTAGTTTGAAGGACAAATTTTATAAGTAAAACAGAAAGCAGGATAATATTGCAGAATTCGATGAAGATGATTAATAAAAATCAGTCAGCAAAAGCACAGATAAAAGAATGTCAAATCGATTGCGAATAAATTTATACGTATATGACAATATGGATTTATAAGTGTTGCTGATACGATCGATCGTGTGACGATCTAAACTAAAATGAATAAATGTGATACATATAGACATTGGGAGCTTATTATTGTTTGACTCATTCACAATTGTTTATCACTGACTCACGAGATCTTGAGTCGTAGGAGAGAAAAAAAGAAGGAAAGAAATCATGGTAGCAGCAATAAACAAAGAACTTCAATTTGACTGGATCATGCGTTCTTCTAATGATCGCCATTCAACCGGATCATTTAATAGCCTCATTGATGGTATGCATAAAAGACGTGAAAGATTATATTCAGATTTTTCAGCTATTATTATAGAAACTTAAGTTAGCTTAATATTTATAATCTTTCTTATAATCCAACAAGCGATATTATTAATATAAATTTATCAAATAAATATATGCCGACAGTTGATTAGTGACATCTACTGAAAATATTATGTATACGAGGGAAGGGATGCTGCTAATTGAATTTTAAATTTGAATTTATTGAAGTTGTCGAGCATTATTATTGTATTCATTTGAGTTTAAGCATTTGGCGATACTCAATTACAATTTTTTACATATCATCCAGTTGGTTTATGTGTAGACGAAAATAAGTATTTGGTATGAAGTCTATGAATGGGATTTTAAATAACTAATACATTTTTCCCATCAAAACCTGTATACTTAAAGTAGTGTTCGTGCCGATGATAATAGTACTGATGTATTCGATTATGTTATTTGTACATGAAAAAGAAAGAATGTTATTGGCAATGTAGTTTTTTTTCCAATGTTGTTATTATTATAGTAACGAAAATAAAGTGAGCTAAAAACAAGATGTAAAAAAAAATTGGAAAAATTTTGCCTTTAGAATATAGATCGTCGATCAGTACTAGTATGCATCATATTTTTTAAAAGTTTTAGGATCAAATCTTTGCTTCAATCCGAAAAAAATCTAATAACTAAAAGGTGGTTATAAAGTAAATATCAGTTACGAAAAAGAAAAAAAATGAAATTTGAGCAAATTCCATCAAAACAAGAAAATAACTAAAGTGATTCAGTATATACGTAAAGACTGGCATTCTTAATATGGAAAGATAGAGAAAATTTTCATATCATTTACTTATTTCATCAAAATTTCTTCACGCAAAATTATGTTTGCTTATATCAATGGCATGATATTCTTGAAGCTTGCAGTTATTCTTTTATATCAAAGTTTTTATTTACACTATTTTCGATGAAATACATGAAAAAAAAGCAGTTCATCGTTAAATAAAAGCTGTTCATAAAAGAAAAAATAAACAATATAAGTGCTATCTGACAATCTATCGAAGATTATACACACATGTAGGTCATGCATGATCCTATGACAATAGGGACAAACAAAAATATAACGTAAAATCTTTTAGACGTGTGTACACAAAAAAAAACGACTATGTTACCAACAAAACTAGTTAACGAAAGCAAATAGTAAACAAAAATGTTTTAAATTAAGATGGATGGTGTTCATAGTTATCGGTTAATAATGACGTTGAAACTAATGGTGTTGATGTAGTAGGTGGATCCATTTTTTTAATTTGAGCAGTTGTTGGTAACTATTTTGAAAAGGAATAAACGATGCATGTTTAAACACTTTGGCTAACGTAGTAGTAAGGTAGGTAGGAAGAATACTACTACTGAAAAATTGTGAAAACAAAATACTTAAGCAATTTTCAAGGTGATATTATTATTTTATCGAATTAATTTGGTGTGATTGAGACTATACAATGCTTAAATCTTGTGTTTATTCATCTGTGCTCGCTAGAATGAACTATTGAAGTGAATCGTTTCAAAGGAAGATTCATTATTGAAAACTTAACTGAATGAAAATTTCAATTCTCGATTCAAAAAAGGAATTTTCAAGTTGATCTAACGTAAGGACACAGAAGTATGCTAAGAAATTACTAAAGTATCTATAATTCAAGATGAAAGAGCTGCTGTCCTCAATCTTCTTACGTTTTTTTTCTTCTATACAAGGTCTAATTAATACAGTAAAAATTATACTAAAAAGGAATTTTATATTTGTTAAGATACCTTCATGTGTCAATGCCGATAGTGAGTTTCACATGTTATGAATTGATATAAATAATGTGCTTATTAATTCGTATATATTTATTTGCATGAGATAGTACTGAATGCAAGGCTTTTTCAAAAACAAACTGACCAATATTCCTGCTCGATATTTTTATTTTTAGGCGAGTGTTCAAATAGGAAACATTTTTCTATGTGAAGTAAAATGTAGACTTGAAATATTCCATCGAGGAAGTTTAATCGTTGGCACTCAGCTGAAAAACATCAAAGACTGAGGTTACTTATGAGGGAACATATCTAACTGATAAATCGTTTTTCGAATCGGACTTCATGCATTTGGTAGACCCTATTGAGCTATGAAAAACCCCAAAAGAACAAATACCCATAGATCTTCAGTCCCGAATTAATGGGCATTTTACTGGAATTTTAGTCTTTACCGTGGTATACACCAAAAAATTGAATGATGAGATTTCGCCCCTAGGCAAGTCCATTTATGAGTAGGATGTTCTGAAAATTTCGGCTCAAGCATATGTTTCTTTTCCGAGATATTTAACTTCCAAAAATCACTGATATTTGACGAAGGATTCTAGAACTTTCTTTTTTTTGGAAGTTAAATATCTCGGAAAGGAAACATTTGTTTGAGCTGAAATTTTCAGGACATCCTATTCATAAATAGATTTGTCTATGGGCGAAATATCATCATTCAATTTTTTGGTGCATACCACGGTAAAGATTAAAATGCCTATAATTCGGGACAGAAGACGTATGGGTATTTGTTTTTTTAGGGCTTTTCATAGCTCAATAGGGTCTACCAAATGCATGAAGTCCGATTCGAAAAACGATTTATCAGTTAGATATGTACGCTCGTTAGAAGGAATTCTATCCAAGTTGATTTTCTAGTCTCAGTTCTAAATTTTTGAAGATTTCTTTAAATTTTAGATAGTTGTTTGAAAAAGTAGTTTCATTGAAAAATAAATCATTATGAAAATAATCAAAATGCTTCAAAAAAATAAAATTTAGAATTGTTGTAATCATACTCGAGGAATTTTTCGACCACCAAATAAATTAGCATAAAAATTTGATTGTTGATTAACTTGTTTTCTCTTTTCTTCTTGAATAACTGGATCCAATGAGTTTAATAATTGTGCTGTTGCTATTACCATTGAAATATTTTGTTGATTGTTTCGTTCATTCTGATTTACTTCTTGTATCTTTTTTCTTTTAGCTACCACCGGAAAAGTACGTGTGCATATTATATCAATCATATTTCCATCTGATTTATCAAGTTTTTCTTTATAATTCATGAAGCGACCATTTGGCCATATTTTTGTTGAATGTTTGAATTTTATTTTATATAAATCAGATGATAAGCCATTTGTTGAATGATCCATAAAACTTTCAGCTAGATCATAATTGATCGTTCGTTTGGGTAATGATAGCGATGATGAATGCCAATGATGGCCATTATGCCTGCTACCACCACGACGTGCTCGTTGTGGACCTGGATTAAACTAAATATTGCATTATTATAAATAGATAAAAATAGAAAAAAAAACTAAAATCAATACTGGTCGAGAGAGTTTCGTTTTGTTATTAGCAGAAAGCGTGAAATTTTGAATTGATTCACGAATAATTTCCTCATTTGGGATTCGTGAACGATGATCAAGTGAATCTTTATGTTGCTTAGTTGAATGTGGAGCATGCTGATTATATGAAGATGAATGTAAATCAGGATTCACATCATGTTGTAATCTTTTTAGATGATGATGATGATGATGATGATGATGAGACATCTAAGAAATTCGACGTCTGTAGTAAGTAATTGTACTATCTATCTAGTTGTGAATTAGCGCAAGACCGAAAAGAAATTCGTTTTTGTTTAAATGATTAAGGTATAAACTGTTAGCCATACAAAAAAAAGCATTTTTCCATTAAAATAACTTATTTGTTCAATTTTATCGATAGTAAAACGAACGAAAAACCGATCTATATATAAATTAATCATTGTCATCCATAGACATCTGGAGGAAAATCATTCAAACATATTTTTGAGATATTAGCTAATGTGATACATTGATAGGAATGCTTTCTTGATATAAATACAATAGTCGATATGAAAAACAGACGGAAAATATTCATAGGGTAGCTATGCGCAAAATAAAGATCACAAAAGAATCATCGAATTTCTAACTAAAATACAATTCAATAAAAAAAACAAATCGAATGATATGTTCTATTTTCTGTTTAGATACAGATGGCAATATGATATTATCTAAAGGACTGTATTTTTTTAAATATGATGTAGTCGATATTTGACATTCATAGTATGCCTTATTCGAAAGAAGCATCAATAGCATTAGTTTTGAGAGTGCCATATTGACATTTTGTATTTTACATATAAAAAGCCTAGGATATTAATCCTTTCATCAGTATGTACAGCTTTTGTATGAAAAGAACAGATACAGAATGAGTCCATGCGTTAGTCCTAAAAGACAATACTTAGAACTGCTATCTATTGTTTTTAGCTGTGCACATCTGTCTTTTTCGCATGAGAAAATAAGAAAATCAACAAGAAAAAGGACAAGATGATAATTAGCGTTGACTATTTTCCGAGTTGAATATCTGAAAATACACGCTACAACCATTTATAATGAAAATTGTTCAATAAAGCAACATGATCAAAAATCTATTTTGTTTAACTATTTTTCATTTATTATCATTTCAATTGACAATAATCACGTGCGAAAGTATGAATATTACTTTTATAAGTTTCTCAAGTAAATCTAAGTTTTTCTTGTGTTTTTTTACATATTATTATAAAGATAATGAAGTCGTCCCGGAAGTTATTCGTGGTTTTTTAAATAAAAACGGAAATCAACGATCTCAATCAGCCCCAAAAAAAATTGAAGATCGATGTGGCTTTAACGGTAAAAATTTTGACAGAATATGTGGGTCATTCGAACAAGAGTTATTTATATTATCAAGTCATCCTCAAAGTAAATGACACTGTACCTATATTCAAGAAAACAAAACGAAAATTCTGTTTATTTTATTTAGATAAAAAATATTCATTGAGAGAAGTACTCGAACGAAAAGAGAGTGCCACTCAATTTCTTCATACTATATATAGAAGAAAACGATTGATTTATCCACTGGTATAAAGTCTGAATCACATTTATAAAGACAGATGTACACACCAACTACATTGTAAAAAATTATTTTTCGATAATCCTTTCTCTTAATTACTGAACAGATAACCACGATCCTGTCAACCAATTGATCGATGCAAATTTGATGAAAATCTTTCATACAACACAGAACTTTGATTGCATGCAATATCTATTATTTTAATTAAATATTTTTCAGAGATTAATTAATATCTAATAAATGTTTATGATTAGTAGAAAAGCAAAGTGTCCTAATAATTGTCTTTTTAATACAATGGATTGAATAGAAGTAGTTTTAATAGCACATTTTGACTTATTTCTAGTTAATGATCAATAACTCGAAATACGGAATTCCGATCTGCAAGTTGACGCAATAAAACAGTATTGATTTATCCAGTTGTATAGATTCTAGAGGTGTAGGCGTTTTGCCATAGATATGTGACAAAAATGGAGTTTTCTTTAAAAACTGAAGAAAGTGATAAACAAAACTTCTTGTCTATTGATACTTTGCAACAATAATGCAACAAAATAATCATAAAATGAATTTAAAGGCTATCAGGCACGAAATTTTGCTACACTTACCAAGATCTTCATGTTGATCCAATGAGAACGCAAAAGATAGATTATAGTTAGCGTTGTTCCCTCTTTGATAACTGATGTTTGTCTTGCTATCGGAATCGTATTTTGAATGGTATACGAGAAGAATTTAATGTTTAAATAATCGCATTTTTTTCTATTTGCTAAAATTTCTTTTAAAGATTCGCGAAAAAACTACAACAGTCGATATATCAAAGAATCAATCGATAATATATACGAAAAACTCTTTTTCAAATGTACACTATACAAACAAGAGAGAAAAAAAGATACTCATTGTTATCCGTTGGTTTAGAAACTCGCAGTACAAAAACTTGAACGATCACAAAATCAAATAATTAAAAAACACTGTGTACGATTGAAAATTCAACTAGCACCTAATGAATGAGAAAATTTAAAACAAAATCAGCAAAAAGAAAATCATAAAATCAGCGACAGATGCGAGACAATGTTGCTGATATTGACATAAAAACAAAAGGTATAGTTTTTCTTTTTACAATATGCATTGAAAAGAAAGCAAATTACTGACACAAAAATAGAGTTAATTAAGAACACCTAATATGGAAGTTTCCTGTGTGGTTTCACTTCCATTTGATTCGGACAGTGAATTTAATGCATCACGTATTGTATAAAAGAGAATATTTTTGGCCTATAAACATCCGAAATGATTTTTTACTTTTAATTTGTGGAAAGAAGAAGAACGAAGAAATTTTACCTGCAAAATATCAGCATGATTTGTATGAGTTTTTGATAATGATCGAAATTCGTTTGTTGTTATTAAGCATCGATCAAGATTTTCCGGTGAAACAAAATCTTCAGCAATTTTTATGCATGAATGTAAATTTTTTACCTAAAGTATAGAATTAATTTAATTGAGACGATAATTAGCAAAGATTTCAAAAAAAAACATTTTTCTATCTCGTAATTTTCAGGAGCTATAGAAAATTGAAAATTTACATAAATTAGTTTAAAACAAACGGTATCAAAATTCATTTAATTACTTGATGTGGCGCACCACTTGGAATGAAAACTGCATCACCAAAAAATTGCAATACTGGATATGCTTCGACGTTGCTTAAATCTCGTAATTTTTCTAAATCTTCTTGTTCTAAATATGCTGTTTGATCATGTATAGAATCAGAACCAGAAATTTTACGTTGATTCTAAGAAGAGAGAAAAGATAAATATTAGGTTAGACTAAACTTAGATCAAGGCCTACTCGGCTAATATATTCACGAATTTTGTTCGCATCATCAGAACGAAATAAATGCCAAAGTGCACCAGGTCTTTCTCCATTTCTTAATCGTTGTAATTGAGCTTCATCAATATTCGAACCAAGTATTTCTACCTCTACTTCTGCAATAAACAAAATAAAACAAATAAGTTATGTTTCTTAATTCTTTTAGCATGCTTTTTGTTTCTATTTACGTCGGATTTCTTCTTCTTTATCGGATCCGTCATTTCCACGGCCGCCTATACCAACATAGACAAGAACATTCACAGCATCGGATACATCAATATGAAGGTTAGTTGTTCCTGCTTTTTTCGATTCTTTACTTTTAAGTTGACCTAGACAATATTGACACATAAATATTCAGTTGATAATTTATGACACGAAAGCCTTAATATGAAATATTAACTCATCTTTTTTGGCCCCCTTCAAAACAGTTGATTATAGTTTGAAACAGTTACTTGATACCAAATTTTTATTGTGTTCTTTTTGAATACATGCTCTGAATTTCTTTCTAGAATCAGATTGTGTGACTATCACTGGGTTGTTTCAAAAAGTCTCAAATACTACTTTCACAGAATACTCTATTTTAATCAAATTTTTAATTCAATCGAAACCTATCAAAATCTATTTTTATAGCCTTAATTTTTGAAAATACTCCTTTAAGTTATGCTTTTATTTCTCATCAATCAGTGCATCATAGACACTGGTTCTTTACCAATAACCCGTAGATGATACATAATGAATTGTATTATCTTATTTGATACAGAATTCAATGTTTTAGCATTTTATGGTAACACTTTCGTACTATTGATTGCCATACAAACAATCAGTACTAACAACTTACTATAAGCAATATAAAGTTTTGGTCCAAGATCAGGTTTAACTACACTTGTGGGTAAGCGTTCAACAATATTAAGAACACCAGCATTATATGTAACACCCTCATGTATATACGATCGTCGTGTATAATCACCTGAATAACACACGTATATAAATAGTTAAAAACAAAAATCATTCTATTCACTTACTAAAGGGAATATTACTCATCAGATCATGCAAGCGTTCTGGAAAAACAGATGCAAAATCCTTTTTTGTTGGCCAATCTTTTAATTTAAGTATACGTGATCGTCCACCATGTTCATCATCTTTCAAACGAACTGTATCATAATTTAACTAATTATTCAAGTGATTTCAAGCAAGCAAACTCACTATCTAAACGTTCGAATCCCTCCCAAAAATTCTTCAAAATTTCTTCATTAGTTTGAATGGGTGCCAATGTTTCACAATCCCATAATAATGGTGTTTCATGATGATCAGTCATATGTAATTTAAATGAATTAGGATGCCATAGCGTTTTAGATAAATTATGATGAACTCGTTTGACTAGTACTGGACAACTTGCTGACCAAACTTTTCGAAAAAACTTCAAAAAAGCGAAAACAAAAACAAATTTTATATGAAAATACAAAGAGATAGTCATTTGTTTTGATCTACATACACACTTCGCATTTTCGCTTGTCCATTCGTTAAAAACTGGTAGACGACCATCACAATAAAATTGAATATTTGAATCATAATTACAATCAATCGATGACCAATTTGGTTTTACATGACGCATATCGGCGGATCTTTTTACTTTTAAACTTTTTATAAATACTGAAAGATTTTCATTTTTCAATGATGGATATAATTGTATTGAACAATCCATTTTTAATTTAGATAAATAATCACTGCAATCCTTGCGTAATTTAATCAAAGCTAAATACATAATGGAAGAACAAGAGAAATTTTGTTAAACCAGTAGTATGTTTTACGACTTTCTATTCATAGAAATGGGATATAAACGTTCATATCGGTCAGCTAGGTTTCTAAGTTTATTGAGATGAATAATAATGTCTGGATATCTACTCAAGATATAATTTACATCGATATCAGACTTTCCGTGTCAGTTAAACTAAGAAAAATGTCATAAAAAAATGAAAAGCAAGAAAGCAAACCAGGGATAAATAACAGTTTTTTTCTCTCTATCAATCCATCATCCTCCGAAAACAGCTTTTCATGAGTATAATAAGACTAAACTACACATGCAAATTTCTATCTCTCATGCGCTGCATTCAAAAGTTTTTTTTTCACTTACATTCCCATGGAAAAAATTCTGATAATGAATATGTATTGTCATGAGTGCAAAGTCGTTTAATTTCTAAATAAAAAACAAAAATAATTGAAAAATTCTTGTGTAGATATCAGAGACTGAAACCGATGACAAAAGTGCCATTCGATTCGATTCGGCTTTTTTTCAATTATTTTTTTATTCATTCGATTCGATTCGGTAGTTTCGAAGTGCCATTCGGAATCGATTCGATTCGCCCCAGACGAATCGAATCGAATCGAATTATTCGGCAATTCGATTCGATTTCGGTCTCTGGTAGATATTTAGCATACTTTTTCTTTTTTCACCGCTTATTTGAGATAATTCATTTGAACACTCAATACAAAGCATATATCCACATTCTTTACACATATAATGATAATTAAAAAGTGTCGTTGAACATTCATCGCAAACTTCTCTCCAACCAGCCATATATTGTTTCCAAACAATTGATTCTTTTATTAATAAGAAAAATCATCCATACATGTTCTATTACGAGAATACAAAAAGATTTAATTCTACTTTGGTTTTGTGTTGATCGAACATTTTCTTCATGTAGAAATATTAAACAAAAAATTTTTGCTAATTGTATAAATATATAATTTGCGTTCGTAAAGTTTAATGGTGGTTGATCGCCTAGTTATTTATATTGAAAAGAATTTTTTTATTTTTTATTTACTGAGCTAATATTATATTTTACCTGAATTTGGTATCAGTAAATATTGGATATCTTTAGATTTCGCCTTATCTATTGTTGTAAATCCTTCAATTTCGTATTTGTCATCACCAACATATTTTAATCTAAATCAATACAATAATCCATTTTGTAAACATTCTTTGATATTCTTAGAAAAATAGCTGAAAGTCAAGGCAGTCTCGTTTTTTGATAGTGAAAACACTCTCTATTATTAAAGAGATACTAGTAACTAGGGGTAGCACTGTAACTTAAAATTGATCGTAAAGTGCAAAGTTTAAAGTTGTTTAAAGTCACGTTTAAGTGATTCTTGTTGGCGTTTTATCTGTTGCAGAGTCTCATAAGCATGACTAAATCGTCAGTACATTACCGTAAAAAGTATTAAAAAGAAACGGTTAAAGGCGGCTTTAAACAACTTTAAACTTTACGGTTAAAGTAAAGTTAAAGTGTCACCCCTACTAGTAACTATAACTAATCTGTTATTTCTAAAAATTAATTTCGACGAATAATTCTCGAAAGTAAAATACTAATATCATAGACTTCTGATCGTCAACTACATAAAGTATTTTCCTTAGCTTTCTATGCGAAAATATACCAGCAGATTTTATTCTATGTAAAAGGGATTTCTCTATCTCGCCGACTTAATTATCTTATTCAACGATTAGAACTTTAAGTAACATCTTTATATTGACAGATGAATATCTTTCATTTTCATATCCCCAAGATTGTAGAAAACTCTGCTTTTTGTTTAGAAATCACAAAACTAGATGAAGCAAAATAACAGTCGATGCAGGCGACGTTAATGCTATATATTTAGTGAATGCAATATTACCGATGAAAATATTTTATTTCGTGTAAGTCTTATAATTAATTGATTTGTTAAAATGTCGAAAATTATTAGAAATAATCGAACATCAAAGAGAAAAAAGAATACTTACGTTCGACAATGCTGAAATCGACAACTAGCTAGTTGCGTAGATACAGCTGATGCAGTGTTTGTGCGACAATCAACACATCTTGGAATATCTTTTGGATATGATATGCAAAGATATTTTTGAGTAATAATAGCTGTGAGAAAGAAAAAGAATATATTGAAAGTGTGTCAATGAGCCAAATCACTAAAAAATTGATTTACTTGGTATTGTTTTGTGATAACGTCGTTTTACAAAAATTTGTTCACATGATGAAGATTCAAACGAACGTTTATTGTTCTTTTTCACTGTTGATGAAGATAAAGATTTTATCGTTTGATTTTCATTAAATGGTTGATTTTTCTCCTGATCACTCATTGAGACAATACTTTCATTTGTATCCAATGCAATTGTTGACATTGGTAGTATTGTTAAATGTGTTGTGTCAATATCAAAATCAAAATCTGTTATTCTTTCTATTTGTAGTTGTGGACGCCGAGAAAGTATTGGTGAACGACGTGATTGTTCTGACATTGTCAATGTTCTAGCAAATATCAAATAAGAAGGCACTTCCATTTTATTAGACGTACTGCCTAATGTAGCTACGTTTTCTTTTTCTTTCCTTCTTTCTTTCTCATTCATTTGACATTGAAATTAATGATAGATTACAAATAAAATATTTACATATTATATTTTATCTATATCGTTCATTTTAATACATTCTCATATCAGATGCTCAAATATCTAGGGTCATTTTTTTCTTGCAATATTTTTTTCCTTTCATATACAATTGTTGTTTAAATTGACGTTATACTATCTTAACTATTCTTGGTCGCAATCTCACGCTCTACGGTCAGTTACGAATTGGTTGACCTTCAAGCTTTACTATACATTCGTTGTACTATGATCTTAGGTTATTCAATACTGATCGTACTTCAACACGGCGCTACCACCAAAGGGAAAAGGTAGGGTACTGAATTCTATTCATCCATGTGAACGAGAAAGAATAAAGAGAAATAATCTAATGATTTAGGAGAAGAAAAAATGATCAGCTTTATTTTCAGATATTATTAAAATAGATAACAAAATATTTTTCTTTTCGTAATAACTTATAGGAAAATGGTAGCAATAAATATATACATATTTGGGTTTTTGATCAACTGTTAACTCGTAATATTCTAACGTAATTTATTGTCGCTGTAAGGAAATATAGTAGTTATTCAATCGTTTACACCCAGGTCGAGCAATCATACTGTAAGATCTGATAAGATCTTGCATCTGATCTGATATGATCTTGCACGATCATACGAAAATCATACAAAAAATCGTAGTTCCTGAGATCTTAGATCAGGTCGAACAATCAGATTCTTCAAAGATCGTATTAATGTGTAAGATCTTTGAAGAATCTGATTGTGCGAATTGATCCAAGATCTCAGGAACTACGATTTTTTGTCAGATTCTTGTAAGATTTCGCCCGTATTCCAAGGTCTTGTATGTGTTTGATAAGGTTTTATGTCAGATTTTTCGACCTGGGTATCGATATAATTTCGTGTAAAACGGTTATAAAAATTTTCATTTTTAATGTTTCTTTTAAAAAATTCATATCAGTATAATTATTTTAGTCGGAAAAGGTTTCTCTACATATGTCATATCATATACAATTAAGCTCCCATCATTTTGACGTTGAAGAAAGAGTAACTATGTGTTTACTTGTTTCGCTCAGTTTTTGAAGTTATTTTTGTTTTTAATGAATAAGAATAAGATTGTCTTGGTCGATATTGAGGACTTTTTTTATTGCGATTATCATTGATATCAGTTTGATTTGATTTTGTATTAGATAATAGATTGGTTCCAGCTTGCTTTCTTGAAGATTTTAGGAAACTACGAAGAACAGGCGATGCACGTGCTTTTCTATTGATGATTGCTACAGACTACAGACAAAAATGAATTTTAACACAAACAAGGCTTGGATTATGAAAATAAATAATTCTCATACTTTTTTATTAGTATCATTATCTTTGATACATTTGTCATTCTTACTATCCATCATCCATACCTTTGGAATTTGTTCGATTCTTATAAAAAAATCTAATATAACACAGAAAATAATACACAAATATATATATATATGTGCCGAGATATTAGCTTTTTTTTCTTATATACTTGAAAGTTTATAATTCGTTGTATAATCATCATTATTTTCATGAGTTGTTGAAAAATGATGTCGCTTATTTAGTATCACTTCTGAGTCTGGAATGGATGTTGAAATCACTCGTGAAGTATTTGGAAGATGTTCATTTGTTGAATTCATTAATGTTATTCTTGGAATTTTTATTGTTGCAGCAAGATCTATTTTTCTATTATTATTTTTATAATCAATTTCTGTAGAATTCGATGATGAAGTAAATATTTTATTTGAATGATTACTTTCCGATATAGCTGGCATTTGCATATGTAAATTTGATGAGGTAATAAATTGCATAGATGAAGATGTGTTCGATGGTGATGATGAGGATGATGATGAGTTTTCAATGAGTTGTTGATATAAAGGATCACATGAGCAAAAGTCAACTAAGCAAGAATTTTGTTCTGATAAGATTGATGTATTTGATATTGGTGCTTTTTTAGATGCAGATTTTAATGTAGTCAGTGAATTACTTGAGCTTTGTTGAAAATAATTCGCGAATTTATTTCGTTTAATACATTGGTTCATCTAAAGGTAGACAGTGTAAAATTGATAACTTCAAGGTTGTTACCTATTTACCGTATGTACCAATTGTGTTCTAATTCACCTGCCATTGAACTTCTGAGTATATATGATCAGTCAATATAAAATCAAAATGAGAAAAATAAAAGCCCCATCTACCTTTACCTGTTCTGTTTGCTTTTGTAAAATTCGATTGATTGATAACCATTTATACTGACTAGAGTGACACTCAATAGCGTTGTGATACTCATGACATCTATCAAAATCGACAGGTCGTGTTGTATTTTCTCACTTTTTTCATTCGGGCAGCTTTTAATATCTAATCAAAATCTTATAGAGAGATAAGATGTAGAACAAGATTACGACATACGTCTATCAATGCTGTTGTTAATATATATTTACAGGTAAATATAAAGATACATTTAACTCTATTTTTATAATTGAGCAGGAAGTTTTCAAGGTATCAGGTGAAAATAAGATGATGTTTGGTAGATATCTTTCAAATAGCATTTAAATTTAAAAATAAAATTATGAAAATCTTACTATTATATTTAGGATTGACTATTCTTCTTCTACTAATCGCAGTGTGCTCTTCAGCACCTTTATCAACACCACAAAAACATGATCCAGATTGTGATTTAAATATTACTCAACTGATTCAAAGTAAAGGTTATCCTTGCGAAGAACATAAAGTATTAACAAAAGATGGTTACATTTTGGGCGTTTTTCGTATTTCACATGGGCGAAACTCATCATCATCATCGACAGCAGTAACACGTCGACCAGTACTACTTCAGCATGGTCTTCTTGATACAGCTACAACATGGGTAATGAATTTGCCTAATCAAAGTCTAGGTTATATTCTTTCTGACGCCGGCTATGATGTATGGCTTGGTAATATGCGTGGAAATCATTTTTCACGTGCTCATACGAAATATGATCCTGATCATGATGACGAATTCTGGGACTTCAGTTGGGATGATATGGCACGTGATGATCTACCATCGATGATAAGTTATATTTTGAATGTAACAAAATATACACAGATTGCTTACGTTGGACATTCACAAGGAACAATGATTGCATTTGCTCAATTCGGTCATATAGATAGTAATCTGCAAAATAATATTAGTTTTTGGGCAGCTTTAGCACCTGTGGCACATATAGGACATATAAAATCGCCAATAAAATATTTGGCATCAGCAGCTGTTGTAAAAGATATTGAACGTTATTGGCATTTATTATTTGGTAGCGATGAATTTCTACCATCATCTTATATGCTTACTTGGCTTGGAACATATGCATGTGGAGAAATTATTGTAGAGCATGCAGTTTGTAAAAATATTTTATTTATTTTATGTGGACCAGAAATAAAAAATATGAATGATTCAAGAATTCCTGTTTATTTAGCGCATGAACCTGGTGGTACATCTGTAAAAAATATGGTTCACTATGCTCAAAGTATTCGATCAAATCTATTTCAATCCTATGATTATGGTTCACCAGAAGATAATGAATTACATTATAATCAAACAACGCCACCAATGTATTCTATTAGTCCGATAAAAATACCGACAGCCATATTTTGGTCAGGTGACGATTGGCTTGCTGATCCAGTTGATGTATCCTATATTTTTGATAATTTACGAAGTCTAGTTTACGAGAAATACATTCCAGATTACAATCATTTAGATTTTGTTTGGTCTATTTCAGCAAATAAAATCATTTATACAGATCTAATTGATCAAATGCAAAAATATCATCCACCAAATTGATAACAATTCATTGATTTTGTTTTTCTTTTAATTTTCTCTTTCTTCAAGCGTACCACCATGTAAAAATTCTAAATAAATGACAATATTCTATACTCGCTTGGCCATTATATTACTAATATCAATAGCGACTGAGTTAAAAATAGTTCCATTCCTATCAGAGATAAGATTCATCAACGTATGCATTTTTAAAGTTATTTTGTTGATGCATGATAAGAACAATAAACGTAATTTATTTTTATTGTTTACATATTTGATAATAGTTATTTCGATAAACTTAAAAATAATAATAATATTTGAATAAAAAAACAGACTATAATATAGCAATTTAATCATTCGGTCCCTCTATTCTGCAATTCCATTGTTAGAAGTCTTAACGATACGTTGTGTGTAAAATCTATTCTAGATAATAATTTATTTTGTCATTATTGCATTTGCTATGGTAGTAGATAAAACTTTGCTTAATTCTATTCTTGTTTATTTTTCATTTTCAATTAAAGAAAAATTTACATACAAAAAAAAGCAAAGAAAAACTATGCTGGTGGGCTACTGTGACGACGTCGACGATGTTCACTAGAACTTCCATTTCGTTTACCATCATCTGGAGATTTTTCACGATGATGTCGGCGGCCATTTTCAATTGTTACTGTAGCTAAACTAGTATCCATTTCTTCTCCAAGTTGTGCATCTTCATCGGTAATGGGTGTTGCGGAAAATGTTAACTTGAAAAAAAATGGCCAATTAGATGCTAAAAAAAGAATACGATAAGAAAATAGATTGTATTCTTATCTTTTTGTTAAATCAAAAAGTACATACATTGATGAGGTATTGGATAATTATTTGCTAAAATTAAGCATTCGCAAGCATCCGTAATTGTTCGAAATTCAGCTAGACCAGTAACACCTTTTGGTTGATTATTTCCTCGACGATTGCGATCATCTATGATTAAAATAATTATGAATTTATTAACTATGGAAGGAAATAAAGCATACGATGTGACTCCTTTCTTGGTGGAAAATTCTTCACTTTAACTGGTCGTTTTGCACCAAGATCTTCAAAAAATCGTACGATATCAACTTCAAGCATATTCGGTGGTGTATTAAAATAATATAAAACATGCGATGGTGCAACGGGTCGATTTTTAATTGCTTGATCACTTGTTAAATATCGATTATTACGATTAGTATCAAATTCCATATAAGATGGTTCACCATTTTCTAATGGAAATGGCCGAGTCATGTGTTGAATTTCAAGTTGTCGTGAAGGGCTAAAACATTTTTAAGGAAAATAATTTCGCTTTTTAATCACATGAAAAATAAATAATTTAGCATACACAATAATAAATGTTTGTCCAAAAATAAATGTTGAATTGAGACTTTTTAAATGTTGTCGAAGATTTTCACAATGATTCATTTGTATCATAGCACCACCTTCTTTCGATTTTAAAAATTTAACCTATGAAAACGAAATCATAATTGCATTGATGAATTCATTTCTTCTATTACATACACGTAAAACATTGCCATAGAGACAAAGTAAATTAAATAATCTCTCACAATTCCAACTAGGTGAAGATAAACCTTCAACATTGAATACACAACAATCCGATTTTTCTATTGGGTTTGACGATGATGGTGGTGATGCTTCACGAAAACGATTGGATCCAACTGAATATGGTAGTAGACGTTGTGGATGATCAAATGTGTCCAATTGTTGAGCAATCAAATGTGGATTATTACTAAATAGTTGTTGTGGTTGTTGTTGTTGTTGTTGTTGTTGTTGATGAAAACTTCCGGGTTCATCGCGTGATGATGGTCGATCATGAGTTGATGCAAACGATGATGAACTTCGACTTAAAAATCGATCCAATTCTGGTTGTAATGCTGCTGATGGAAATCTTGTATTCGACTATGAAAAGAATCACAATATGAAAACATTGTTCCCGATAACGAAAGTCATCCTATAGTGAAGTTCTAATATTTTTTATGATATTGAACTAATATGCTGAATAAATTCACGTGACAATGCATCCTGATTGTTTGTAATAACCCGCCCTTGCTTATAGCACATGATATTGTCTTGTCATTGAGAATTCATATTGACAAACAAACTTGGTCTTAAGGTTTGGAATTATCATAAACTAGAGTGTAGTGTCTTTGAAGTATGTTTTTAACGAAAGAAAGAATACAATTGAACCAATGAAGTGTTTACGATCTGAGCTTACCGGCGCATTTAGATAGTCAAAAGTATCAATTCAATATCATCAAGAATAGTAATCATTCATGGTGAGCAGCTAATTTTATCTAAGACTAAAGATGTACAACATGAAGAAACTTACTGCAAAAGATTCATTGCCAAGTATAGGTGGTTCTAAAAGTTGGAAAAAGTGGTAAAATTAATTTTATTTTTGTAGTTTCTCTTATACCGAAACGGTCAACTCGTGGTGGAGACGATAATAAAGTTTTACGACGAGCATATCCTAAAAATGTGAATTGTATCAAATAATTTTCCTTAAGATCAATATTAAACGAAGAAGAAAAATAGTAAAATCGAGACTAGAAAAACTAGTTATACATTGATAATAAATTGTTTAACCAGCACGACGATCACAATCTAAATAGAATACGAACAAGCATTAAAAACAAATATGTTAATCATGATAAATTTTAATCATTTCAAGTCTTAATTAAACTCAACGCAATGTTATTCTACATGAAAATAGAATCTTTATCGAATGTTGAATGTTAAAAATCTAATTGATGAATTGCGAAAGAAAACTAATCGTATTATTAGTATTGATCAGAAAATTTATATTCGAGAAAGCGGAAAAAACTTCCCATCCAATATAATAATATGCCAATCAAATTTTCAATCAAAATAAAATCTCGATTAGCCAATGAATTTATAAATGTGAAGTTATTCAGATGTATTTTATATATTAAAACAAATAGAGATGGTTTATTGATGTATTGAAAAATTTTCTTTAAACAATTGTTGATATTTATTAAAACTAAATTAACACTCGATATGTGATTTGAAATGTAAACTATCATTGATAAATTAAAATAAGTAGAAATTTTATTTTTGTTCTTTCATTTAAGTGATTAATGATCTTTGCTTTTTATAATAACTAAATGTATTGTTGCGTTTTCAAAAGAAACTTTGTCTCAATTAAAACATTCAAGCTAATTACTTATCCTATTAATATATTTTATTAATTTTTGTTAACTAACAAAACTATTTTCATTGTTTTACAAGATAATAATTAGATAGAGAGTATTAACTAACAATTTAAACATAAGAATATGGAATAATATGCTATCAGTTTATTTTTATAGTTATAATAAGACGATTTTTTTTATTTTGTGTTGATACGATTCATCATTTGTCGAACAAATAATGTATAGATTAGTACTACTATTGAGTATGAAGGAGAAATTTGCAGCAATTATTGGAAATATATCGAAGTGAAAACTATGATAACGAAAGTAAGACTACGATTTTACAAAACAAATAGACGAATGAAGAAATTTCTTCATCCGACTGATGCCATTTTCATTGATATTTTTTCGTACATATGAAAGATTTCTTTTTCTAAGAGAAAATCTAAAATGTGAGTATTTTCTTATTATTCACTTGCATCAACGTGCGACTAGATTGCTTCCAATTATATCAATCGATATGATATTAATTGATAAGTCTGATAAAATTCTATCTGACTCAATTCTTCAAACAAATGTTTTTGCTAAAATAGCACTTTCTGTCGAAATGAACGTTCTTCAAATTCGTCAAGATCTTCCGCTAGACGGTATATTTGAATCAACTGATAATTTTACCAGCATATTCTTTCTATTGGAAGGTTTTTTTTTCAAAAAGGAATATAAATTGAAGAAAATTAATAAAAGCTTCTAAGCAAATTTAACTCTCTGTCTTTTAGTATATCTTGAAAATGTCAATCAAAGAAGCTCTATCAGTTCAAATAATTTGAAACTTTTTCTTCCAATAAATTTCCTTCATGTGTTCAAAATATAATAAATATTCTAGATGAATTACAAGCCATGCGTCATCAGAAGAAGACCTGTCTAGTTGAAATTAATTGTATAGCAAAAAAAAGAAACAATTGCACGTTGATAAAAAAATGATTTTAAATCAGGAAACTTGAAATGTAATTTCAGAAAAAAAAATCAATCGTTATTAGTTTTGATATAAAATTTAAACGCTAAATCTATCCTATAATATGATTTATTATGTTAATATGTGTTATTCTTTTAATTGTTCATCATATTTAGTTTTATGCTTAATATTTATTGCGATGATTACTTACATTTCCTTTTTTTATTTGTGTACATAATTAGTTATGAATAATGATAATAATTTTAACAATCAATTGTCACAATTTTTAAGGTATAGATAATTATTTAATGTGATATATATATATATACACCCAGACGTCTAATTATATAAATTTTTCATCAATATGTTTTATATACGAGTATTTAGTTATGTGTAGTATTATGAATTGATTGTTGTTGCTTTCATGCATAATAAAAAATGTCTTGATTTATGGTATTTTGCAGTTTGTTGTGAGAAATAAGATACGTAGGAATATTTTCGTATGAATTATATGAGATTGTAAATAGATTTTAACTTCCATCAACCATTTATACTTACTGTTTTCATCAACTGTTAAATCGAGATTGTCTTGATCATTACCACGTACGACAAGATGTTTAAGCTAAATGAGAAAAGAAAGCGAAGTGTTTCTATATTTCATACAACAAAATATGTGTTTTTTTACATTGGCAAATTCAATTTTCAGTGTACAACAACCAGAATAAATATCAGCCTGAAAAAAGATTATTTAAAATGATAAATGAGCACATGACCGAAAGGAAATACATACACCATCAAGCTCATCTTTTACTTTTCTTGCTGTGTCCATAGAATCAAATTCAATCAAAACTTGAAGAATACGTTTACGTAATATACAGATACGTAATACTTGTCCAGTGATCGCACAAATCTTCCGCATAACATCCTGAAATGAAGACAATTTTTGTTTGATTTTGAAAATCTATCAAAAATATTTATTAAAAACTTACAAGAGTGATTGGATATTTAGCATTTTGAACTGTAAAACAGAGTACGGCTGTTTCGTTCAATGTTATATTTGTGAATTGACCATGAGCTCTACAATAAGATAAAAACATGTAATTCAAGGTTTATAAATATAACCACATTTTATACTCGGATCGTTGATCAATATCATTTCTTTCTAAAAATTTCACATTATGATCCTCTTCAAGTGAATCCCACTTCATACGATGAGGTGCACTCAAACTATCGCTACGCGAATCATCACCACGCATTCGTTTCACACCTTGTCCACTACTATAACCTCCCATATTATTTGTATTACTGTTATTACGATTGTTCATCGACATATAATTATTATTATTATTACTTCCTCGCTGTTGATGCATACTATGATAAATAATAAACAGAAGTAGTTAAATGGTAACAATAAAAATAAAAATATACTTTTGACGAGGACCTGACATGTGGTGTGATGAATTTGAATACAAACGCTTATCCATTGGTAAAAAAGATTGATTGGATTTGTTTTGGAATTTATTTAAGTAATAGAATTGCTTTTTTTTCTTCCGTTCTTTTACCGGTAATAATGATGAACTGTTGAAATTCTAAAAATGAAGAAAACATTTCATTGGATGTTATTTATACCAATATAAAAGTTGCTTGATCAAAGTGCATCGGCACGGAGATGAAAGTCAACAAAAATGGTTACCTAGAAGCTTGTAGTATGAAATTCTTATTTATGATGAACTTCTTAAAACGTTGATTGTTACCAAGTATTACAATAATTTGTTGTCATGCCGTAAAAATTTATTTTGCTTATCTGTTTCTTTTTCTTAATTTTCAATAGAAAAAAGTCTCTAATAAATCATCCATATCAAGATTATCTAAATTGAATAAAATCAAGATAATCCTTCACTAAAATCAACTGCATAGTCTTACAGAGAAATTTAGACTCTTGTTGAGTGTTTGTATTTAAATATTAGTTTCGATATAACTTCTTTAGAATACTGATTAAAAGTATTGTATTGAGAAAAGTAAGCTGTATGATTCATAAGCGCTGTGAGAAAAGACAATAACTTCATGAACGGACCGGCCATGAGCAATGGGAGTGTTTAACAGAATAGAAAATGCCATCAATCATTCATCAATCTGATATTATGATATGAGTTTTTTTCTTCCATTGTTCTCGCAGACGGAAATGTGCATCATACAGAGATATATAAAACGAAATGAATAAACGATATCTAAATATTAGAATGAATACTTGGGATATCAATCATCCCAATATAATTGATTTACCTAATGAAATATTCCTCATATTTTTCAATAAATTAAATACAGTTGATCTTCTATATTCGCTTGTGGATATTAATGAGCGATTAGTTTCTGATTTACTTCTCCATATTCGAAATCTTGATTCGACGAGTCTGGTTATGAAGTCATATTATGATCGTACTTCTTCAAAAGACAACCATGTTCTTAATAGCATATGTGAAAAAATGTTACCTCGAATTCATCATCAACTAAATAAACTTGCTGTTGAGCAAGATTCAATGGAACATATTCTTCGTACTGTTAATTATCCTCAGCTTCACTCGTTATCACTTGTTAATTTTCAAGAAGAAATACTTTTTCAATATTTAACAAGTAGATTATTTAGAGTTAATCTAGAAAATGATGAAATTGTATGACGTAAATTAATAATTAATTTTACTCGTTTTTCGAATTCAAGATGATTCAATTCTTCATAGGCTTCGCATTAAAAATATTGATGTTTCATACGAGCCAGAATCTCAAGTGTCTAAAATTTTATCAAGTATATTTGTATTGATTTTATCTGTATGTCAACGATTGATACATTTGAGTTTTTGTTAATTCTTCCCTGATCGTCACACATCGATTTCTATTTGCAAACTACCATTAAGAAGTTGCATGTCTTCAACTTTAACTAAATTGAAAATTAATGTCGAAACTTTTAATGATTATCTTTATCTTCTTGGAAATCTCAAGTCTTTATCAACATTAATTATTGATGTGAAATTAATATTATTCAGCTCATCACGCATAAATAATACGGTATACAATTTCGATTCTCGTATTTTGAAAAGAAACAAATTCTTAATTCTATATTTATTGTAGAATAAACTTCCCGAATTGAAATGCTTCTCATTGGCATCGATTCATTTCACAAGTCATTATGAGAATTAAATTATTCCATTACTTCGCCGAATGATAAATCTTGAAGAATTGACTGTATTCTTGCTAATAATGAGAACACATTCTACTACTTATCTTGATGGTATTCAATTACATGATCAAATTCTTATTTATATACCACGACTGAACAAATTTACTTTCAGTATAAACACAGGTGTTATCAATGAAAATGTTGAAAATGATCTTCCATCGAGCGAAGGTATTCAACATAGTCTTATTGGAAAAGAATATAAACAAGTTGGTTCGTGGATTCACCGTAGATCGGAGGACAATGTAGGTATACCGCATATCTATACAATTCCATATCAATTTGAATATTTCGCTTATATTAGCAGCTCTTTTCAAGGTGGTATATGTTTGATACAGTTCGAAATTTAACAATGGCTGATATGTATCCTTTTGAACATGATTTATTCAAACTTGTGTCTCAAAGTTTTCCTCTTCTCAAAGAGTTGCGCATTAATAATTATCAACCACAAAAAAATAAGCAAAATTCCTCGATAATAATTACATTTCATCATCGTATTCTTGTGGATGTCACTGATGCTCATGTGGATTATGCTAAACAATTTATTTACGATAAAAACATTCATCTTCCTTGTTTGTTAGATTTATGCATCAAATACGAATCACTTGCTGTGGCAACAAACAATTTTACCAATAGTACAAAACTTCACAATTGTGATAAATTAAAAAGACTTCATATAGATCTATTTGTACGACCAAAAACTTTTCATCAATATTTTCCTTGATTATACATATTAATTTTGTTAGAAATTCTTTCAATAAAAGAAAATAGGTTTTGAAAGTGAAATATACTTGAATCAGATAAAATGAAATCATAATAACAAGAGATGGATACATTTTTTCATATAGATGTAGGTCTTCAACAAAAACAAAAATTGTACTAGCATTCTATTATTTATACAGTTATTTTTTGCCCGAATTTTAAAATTCATAGAGACGTAAATAATACAGTTTTTACTAATAGCAGTATTTTTTTTAATATTACAATTAAAGCCAATACAATACATTCTCACAAGAAAGAAATAAAAACATGAATTGAAAAAACAAGTATGTAATTGAAATTAATTAAATCTAAAAAACATAAGAAAAACAAGAGTCTGAAGTAAATGATATGAATAAATGTCTCAAAACAAGTAAATATGATGATGTGATCACACTCATTTGACATCGACACAGAATCTTCCTAACATCAAATAACAACACTTATTTTATTTTAGTCGTCCATTAAAATCTTTTCTTTTTCTTGCATCATCATATAAAGAGAATTCGCCTATCATATTAACAATCATAATTTAAGAGACAGTCCATGAAACAATCGAGCATTTAATATCAATAAATAATATTGATCCGATTCAAACTTATGTTCAATTAGATGCTGCTGGAAATGGTATGAAATCGCTTGGAATTATTTTTCTAAATTACTAACTAGAAGAAAATCTGCACAAGAAATGTTTGTTCTTATTTATAGTTTATACAAATTTTGATGATAAGATAGTATTGACATCTATTATATCATGTATAAAATATTATTCTGAAGGTAACCAATTTTCTGTTTCAGTTTCTGAGCGCTTAGGACATATCAATACTCATTAAATACATATTTAGCTTTTAAAAAGTGAACTTTTATTTTAGAAATGTTTTTTCTTCTTTCTCTTAGGTTGTTATTATAACAAGATTTGCAACTCTAAAGATCCATACTTGAAATTTATTGTTGTTAGTTCAAATATAATCATCATCGGTAATTTGTTTTATTATTCATTAATCATTATTTAAAGTAAAAGATAAAATAAGAACATCACAAGAATTGGGTACTGTAAGAATCTATAAAATAGCAAAAACAATGAGCGAAATTAGTGACTTTGAATATTTTTCAGGCATAAGATTTGTCGTTTTGAATTAATTAATTAATTAATTAATATATAGTTACCGATGAAGTTAATATAATTGAGAATTTATTGAATATAAATTAGCTAGAAAACGATTATTGAAGGCAAATCATTACACAATCTATTACTGATCACTTATTCAACGAGAGAAATATGATCGTATTATTTACTTGGAGCAGTGTTTTCTCTAATTATTTATTGCATTCTTTTGGCATAGACACTTTTGAATAGAACATATTGACAAACTTGATGTAACAAAACGAATGAATTATTATCAACTTTTATCTTGTTTTTCTGCAAGTGTTCTTTTTTTCGTATCTGATTTAATTAATGAATGGCAAAACTATGCATTTACTTTTTCTTGTCACTTGCATAATATTTAAGCCAACCATGTAACATTTTCCTTTCAATAACAAAACAGTATTGATCTCCGTCATATCTCATGACGAATTTGTTTTTATATTTTATTTCTGATAAGAAATTTTTATTGATAGTTTTTCTTGGAACGAATAGAAACTAATCTATGACACTAAAAACAAGCTATGAAGTACAACGCTTAAAATATTTGTCTTTTTCCAATGTGATCAAACACTTGTAAACTAACTTAGTCTTGGATGCTGATTCCAGATATGTTATTATTTTTTTGTTATAATAGTAACTTTCTCTCGAAGTAGCTCTCAAAAAGTAACCAAAAATGCAGAAAATTCTACCATTTGAATACTATCCATGCGATTTCTCAGTTGGCCAAGCTCTGTCGAAAATGGAAAGTATATGATTTTGTAGTCCGTGAAAATTGCTATCAATGAGTAAACAAAGATCTACTTCAACGCTCCTCGACAAATTTTTATGAGACTAAAAGTGAAACGCTTCAGCTAAAAATCCTCCAACAGTCAGGAATCGGTTCAATAGAATATAGCGAAAAGTTTATTGAATAAACTTGTTCTTATAGGAGTCGATGGAGAATTAAAGGCTCTATCTAATGAGACTAATCTAATCTAGAAGCGGCATTGTTGTAGAAATTTATCACCATGACGTTACACCATGTGAATATCAATGCTGAAGAGAGTAATACTCGCAGTACTCACCGCACTAAACATCATCAAATCGATGTGAAATAGCTATAAAAGAACTCGGCGTACAATTCTACATCGGAATATACCAAATTTTAAACAATTTAAAAAATAGACCGATTTAGTTTGTTATGCGCCTCACCCCCTTTCAGAAGCTCATCTAAATAATTTTCAAAAACGCTTTCACAAGGATATTAAGTCTGATTCACAACGTTGTTCAATTTGAATATATCGATTACTATGTCTCATAGCATGAAAACTATATTTCCTTCTGCTCAAAACTACAGCTAGTCATAGTTTTAGAAAAGACATCGAAATATTCAGTCAGTTACTAAGCTAGTACTCTATACTAGCTGCAAGACAAGAGTATTGCTCTTTGCTTCCTTCTAATTCATCATCAAAATATCTTCGTAATAGTTCAATTTATATATATTTGTTTAAGGTAATATCAAGAGATAGATACACAAGATAAATATCATAGGAATTGGTTATTTTTTTTGTTTTTCCAAATTAATTTAAGTATGTGAAATTTTCGATTGCATAAAATAAAAATTAAGGTAGCCAATAATTGAATACCACCAAGAATATAGAAATAAAAATACAATATTTGTTTACTATTTGGGCACTAAACAAAGAAAGTTACATATATATGTGTGTGTGTGCAAATTTACTCATTATTGTATACTTACGTCGAAGTCAAACTTTTTAAGAGTTACTGTCATCAATTTTACATATGCATCACTTATGAATGATGATAATCCTAATGAACAAAAGCGTAGACTCATGATGAATGACTGAGCTGAACGTGGTGCAGCCAAATAGGCAAATTCAAAGCTAGCTACCATACCAAATACTTCAGATAAACCCATAAACATATATTGTGGTAATTGAGTAAGTATAGATAAATCAGAACTGTTCATGCCTAAAATAAGATAGTAAAAAAAGCAATGTACAATAATTACGGCTAACAAATAGATCAATCTCATGAAATACCAGGATGGCATTGTTGCTGTCGAACGTTTTCAATGATGCCAGCAATAAACATAGTAACCGACGCTAAAATCATACCGATAACAAATTTTATCAGTATTACAGTTGATTGATCGTAAGCTGCCAAATATTTATAGACAAATGCATTGAGAAATAAGATGCCAACTAATTTATATTATCGAGATGTGTTAAAAATAATACAAGCCTTTTATGTGATATAAACTTACTAATGATCGAGAGTTGATCACCAACTGACATCCATGTTACTAACATTTCTGTATGTGTTACATTTGAAATTTTTGGTATATACATACTTTCGCCTTGTAAAAAAAATGTTGTTTGAATCTAACAAATGATTACAATATAACATAAATTAAGTTATGATTCGTAAATCAAATAATTCCTACTTGGTAATAAACAAGCCAATATGGTATCAATAGAATAAATACAATGATAACATTTCCTAGTGATTTAACATCATTAACAATTCGATCCGTAAATTTGCCACTATTAGATAATCTAGCAAAGTTCAAAATTGAATGTGAACTTCCTTTGATGGGACGCAACGGATCTTCTGATTCACTAATAGAATCTTCTAAGAGATTTCCTGAAGCTGAACTTTTGCGAACGCTAGCTTCTAGACGTTGGTCCTTTGCATATTTTCGTCGTGTCTGAAATGCGTTTATAATTACAGGAACAACTTTTGTGATAATCGTATCATAAGGTGGAATATGAATATAGAATCGATAACCAAAAATAAACAATAACGTGGAAACTATAAGAAGTACACCTGCAAAAAGGTACCCATAAAAAAATCGATTGGGATGACTTTGGCCGACTTGAATATATGGAACGACTAAGGTTGAAAAAATACCACCCATATTTACTGCTATAATATATTTATCAAAATAGCGTATTTTCCCATTTTTTTCTTGAGCTTGTTCAGCTCCAAATACAGCCATATTAGCTTGAACGGCACCAACACCGATAGCACTGAAAACAAAAAACAAAGGCGACTACAACACATGAAAAGTAACATCACGATATAGAAATGCTTACGTAAACATAAGGGTGCCTATGACTGGACCAACACAATGTTCGTTAACTATTGAAGCTATATTCGTTGAATTAATGGCAGGTTGGTTACCACAGATAAATGAATGAGTAGATGTATTTGCGATTAAGGAAACAAATAGATAACCGATTAAATATAAAATGAATCCTACGGACAAATATTCAATTAACTTATAGAAGTTTTTCTTGAACTATATTATTGTCCACTTACCAACAATTATTGTTTTACCTCGACCTAATTTAGCGTCACTCAAAACAGCGAAGATCAATGTCGATATATAGCTTGTTCCTATATTTCAAAACGAAAAATTAAATTAAAAATACGATTCACTTGTATACGTTGTCTCTTCATTCGAGAAGATAGATGAAACCGGATCGTACAAATAGGAATCTTTCATATTCTCACTTTACGAATATGAAATGAGAAACGACCCATTTCTGTGAATATAGACGAAAACGCGTAGGCCTCAATTAATCGGGTGATCCAATTCTACTAAGTCTATGGTTACAGGAAAGATAATAATAAATCTATGGAAGTTTCATTAACATTATTTCTGTAAGAATTCATAGGACAATGAAAATGAAGAAATTAAGTTGATTTTCATATATTCTATTTTTGTTAATTAATATTTACCGAAGAAAATAAACGACGCAGTTACACCATTTGTAGTATCCCAATGAACTTCACTCAAATGTAAAGTAGTAGCAAGATTTATTATTAATGAATAGAATGCAAGACGTTCCAACGCAGTACTGGTAAGAATGATGAGTATTGCTAATTTTCGTTCATGTGATTGTCGATTATCAGATTGATCAAGAGGAACACCAGGTCTGGGTATTAGTAAAGATGTTTCATTGGAAGTTGGATCATTCATCTACTCAAATTTTAGATCGATTATTCTTAATAAAATTCTAAAATATCAATTACACAAACGGATATCTAATATAATACAAAGGAAATTGTAAGGACAGCTATTGTTTCTAGCAATGACTAGAAATGATGAGAAGGAATAATATTTACTCAACTCACGTATGATTAAAGATAAGGAATAGGAATGATAAGTTTTCTAAACACAAACATTAGCTTTCTTAATTCGTCATACTACGAACTACTTCCATTTGAAGTATTTGTCACAATTTTATCGAAATGTTGGATCATATGAGATTAACTGTGAAAACAAAATGCATTGGCTTTGAACTGTAAAGTATTATCAAACGTTGAGTAAAATTTCATGGAATTCCACTAGACAGATATCATCCGTACTATGTGCCTCAATGATCATTACAATAAACGATTGCTATTTTTTACTTTTTCCTTGATTATTATTATTATTTGAATTCATAGTTCAACGGATGCATTAATAGTATTACTATTAGAAATAAGTATTCCTCAAAAGCGTGGATAAACTATAACATACACGAACATAGTTGGATATAATTGATTTCAAGAATGCCTCAGAAATTCATTAATTTCAATTGGATTAACTGCAGTATTGATCAAAGAAAATTTTTTCTATCACTTTGAGTTAAAACATTCTGTTTTTTTAAATTTATTATTGAATTCAGTACATACTGACAAAGTTTTAGTCAAGAACTGCTACAATATTCGCAATTGTTCCAACTTTAGTAAATAAATTTATTCAACTTAGACAAAGAATGAAACTATAAAACCCATAGATGAATTTTAAGAAGATGATTTCTTCCTTATAGAATTCGTTTAGATTCAATAATTATTTTGAATGAGAAAGGAAAATCCAAAAATGATTGTCTTTAATCTGAAAAAGTTTCAATAGACAACCTAGAAATTATAAAACTTAAAGATATATTGTATAGTGACCATTCTTTTTCTTCTCATTCATTATCATTAAAATACTTTGATACTTTTTTTTACATGATTAGACTATGCAAGATTTTTCTAGAGAAAATTTTCGGTCCGAACTTCATTGCATGAGTCAACAAATTTTCTTGTACCGAAACCTGTGTAAATGAATAAGATTTTTAAAGAACGAAATAATTTTGTGGCGCCATTGTCGTTCGACGTTTGATTGCGCATCTTAATTTTTAAAAGAAAATGAGCAAAAAATTCTATTTCATATGATGAATTGACGTTGTACAACGCAATAACATCATACAACGATGGATTTAGAACGAATGAAACAGAAAGAAAGAGAAAAAAATATATGAGTCATAACCAACTAGAAACCGGCGAACGCTGCGTCCACGTCACCATATGAAGACGTGGCTTGTTTTACTCCCACTGAACTTAATTTTTTACTATAAATAATCTGCGCACAATTGGTTCACATAGATATTCTTAATATTCTTTTTTTATTGACATGGACAATATTCAAGCAGCAATCGGTCAAATGTTAAATGAGGATAAACGACGAGATACATTTAAGTTTCTAACTTCCTTAACTGGTCTTAAACTTAATCGAGAACAAGTAATAACATATATAAATGTCTTTTTATGTATCGATATTTTTTATGATTTCATTTTTACTTAGATTTTTGTTATTGGTGGTGGTCAACAATTTACTCATCGTCATTCCACAACAGTTAATTCGGCTGAACAACAAATTTCTGACGACACAAATAATTCTGGTGTATCAATGCTCGATTTACCGGATGAAGTTTATCTTCATCTTTTTTCATTTCTTAGTCCAATAGATCTTTGTCAAATATCAAATGTTTGTAAAAAATGGTATCGTCTTGCTACAGATGATAATCTTTGGCGTCAACGTCTTATACGTGATATGAAATCTTGGTCATCCATTAGTTCTCGTTCTAATCCATTGAGTTATATCCTTGTTCAATCAGATCGTTCACAAAAAGAAATATATTTAACATGTTCCCCAAACATACGTCGTTCACCAAATAGTGCAGATGAAAGTTTCGTTCCGTTTACTCGATTGACAAATTATGTGCTAAGTTGGTTTCCTAATTCAAAAGACTTGACTATGTTTGGACCGGGATTAGAAAGTTATACATCTCCATTAGTAAAAAATCTTCTATGGGATGAATCGAAACGTTTTCAAACCATGGGCATGATACCGGGCCATGCTGGATTTGGATCTGGTATCAAAATGAAATTACATAGTTATTTATTTAATTTAATAACACTCTACACAAACTGTATGCAAGAACGTGAGAATCGTACAAATACCGATCGATTAATAAAAAATAATCATCTTGTTCAAACAAATGATATTGATCATTTTGAAATTAGTTCACAAGTGCGTGATGTTTGCCGGGAAGCAAGTGGTCTTATTTATGTCATTGATTCTAGTCGAGACAATCAATTAAGTGAATTTTGTACAGAATTACAAGTGATGACAAGAGAATTTAGTTATCTACCATTATTGATATTGTCATGTGTTAGAAACAATGAAATTACTAGGTGGTCAGGAATTGATGTTGTGCGAGATTTACAATTAAGTTCACTTGGTAATCAATGGCTAGTACAAGACTGCTGTGTTGATGACATGAGTGGTGTGGAAGAAGGTTTTACCTGGTTACTTACACTAAAAAGTAATAATAATCTCTTTTTTGGTCCAACGAGTCCAGCAGAATTGACAACGAACTAATTATGTTTTTTTTAAATGTTTGTAAAAAGAACTGATTTTTGTACACAAAAAATAGAAAAGTGTAGAGCTTTATCATTCCTATTTTTATAGAAATTTAATTTTAATTTGCCAAAATATTAAAAACAGGTCGTAATCTCAAGTGAATTATTTTTTAAATGATCAAAATATTGTATTATAATTAAACAAACGAAAATCTATTGCATTCAGAGAAGTCAATGTTGCTTATAAAAAATGCAATGACAAAACTACTCAAGACTTGATCAATAAATTAAAAAGAATAATTTCAATACTTGTTTTATTCATATAGTTTCAAAAGAAATTAAACAGTCTAAATATGAACTTGTAACAAATTTGAAATAAACGATCTTATCGAAAGATTTTATTCTATAGAAAAGTACGCAGTCAACTGACGCTGGTGTAGCTAGAATGTGTATGTATTTTTCAGAAAGTTTATTACAAGATCAATATGCAATTTTTTTAAACTCATTTTTGTGTTTTAATCTTGTTTTTTTTCAATTTAAAATATTTTCTTGAACAAGAAAAATACAAAATGCAAAGCAGAATAAAAATATCCTTTTCATCTTCTATTTCTTATTATTTATACGTTCCTATTACATTAATATATTATTACTTCTACTTTAAGGTTATTTTATCATTGATTCTTCATGTCTCAAAAAACAAAAGTTGAACGTACACCCGTTCATGCGGGATGACAATCCATCAAAATTGAACTTTTGTTCTTTTGACACAAAAACAATTTCATTAAATTAATGTTGCAAAATTAAATCTTCTTTCAATGTTTTCCAGAGGAAAATATATATATTGTACTTATCGAATGCTTTATACACAAAACACTTCTTCCAATTGATCAAGATTTTATTACTTTTCTCGACTCTGAGCATTCACATCTGTCGTGCATAAATGATTTTTTTGCCACTGAATTTTAACCTAGTTCCTATATTAACTATCTAAAGATTGAACCACACTGAGACATTTCTCCACTAAACACGAGAGTTCTTTCATAAAATGACGACATGTAAATATACAACAATTAATAGATGTTATTTTACGAGTATTTCATTTAGCAACCGCTAAATAAACTAAATCTTTTCCAGGTCTTTCTTTTTCTTCACCGGAAGTCACAATTGTTCCTTACAAACAAGCAATCATGAGTTGCTACAAGATTCACCTAAATCAGTTGTGGCTTGATCAGGCGAATATAGTTCGTTCGAGGAAGATTCTTACAATTTCAAATACCATCTTGATTATTGTTATTTAGATGTAATCGATAGTTTATACCTATGTCAAAAGCAGAATATTTTATTTTCATTTCCAATCGAAAACAATCGAGCAAGAAATACTAACAAGAATAAAAATGCATTAGTTTCATAGACGTCTAGATGAAGTATAACGGCATTGAATGAAAAAAATCATTGATAATCGTGAAAAACAATCAACACGATAATTTCATACTCATGCTGTAAATCTGATACTGTTGCAACAAATCAATAGATAAAAGTATCCTCTTTAGATTTAAACCAGATCCTATCGCATTTCATCTTTGTCTTCGCGTTTATCAAATGGAATTGATGTTTTCTGTTTGGATAATTGCATTGTTTTGTTTCGGAAAATTTTTCAAAATCAACTCACTGCTAATCAACAGATTCACTTACTTGACAGTAGCACGCACCTCATAAACACACTATCTGAATAAAACCTACTTTATTTATGCATATTTGCCATCTCTCAACGATAGATCGTGTATCAGATCCATTAGTATCATAACAGGTGTTTAGATGAAGAGAGGCTGGTTCTTTACTAAGTTACAACATGTTCAAGTTATATTTAACCAAGAAAAGTATGAGAAACAAGCTTATTCTACAAAATAGAACTCTCCAAGGATCGGCATTCTCTAGAGTTGTAAAGATATTTTTTGATTGAAACAACATGTCACATGGAACTATCTGGCGATTGTCGGTTTTTTTAGGTTTTTACACTTTAAGGGAAAAATTAGAAATGCAAATTGAAGATGTTCTCAAAAACTAGCATCTTAATTAAAAAATTATTCATCCATGTAATAGCAACACAATGGGAAGAAAAGAAAACAGAGCTCTGTCATGCTGTGCATCTTGACATGCATTTTTGCACAAGTAAAAGCAACGCAATTGTTCACAAATAAAGTTCCTTCGAAAATTCTAAATTGCACGATCAAAAGTATAAAAATGTAGGAAAAACTAAGAAAGATTTCTTGTTATTTTTTCTGACATCAATATATTTCTCAAGTAGATAATAATAGAAGCCATTAAATATGCTCGCAAATAACTCAAATTGCGAATTATAAAAGAAGCGTGCCATTTATGGCAAAACATGCCTCAAGCTGTTGTTCCGTGGGTTTATCTTAATTTCGCTACTTCTGGCAAATATTCACTTCATTTTTACGAATGATAGCTTAGATTGTGTACAACACCTGTCATATACCGCTATATAGAAATTAATAAATGATGGGCACAAATATTTATCTCGAAAAAAAATGTAGAATTCTATTCACCTGAGTAGCTTATTAAGACAGCTAATCCAGCTTAGATTATCTTACTCAATTTTGACATATGAAGAGGTTCATCATGGACGTTAAGCTTGATGGTTGAAGAAGATTCTTTATAATGACAACAGCAATAAGAGCCTTGTTTGAATTTGCAAGGTACCAGAGATTTAATTAATTAATAAAAGGCAACAACCACAAAAGAAAATTTCAAGAACTCTCATTAATATGAATGCATATTTGCCAATGATAGAAAAAATTACTGAAAGCTTTAAAAATTTTCTTAACTTTTAAGATTTAATATCTAATCTATGGCAATACAGAATAAAAGCTGTAGCCTTTTTTTCTAGAATAAAACTATTAGAACAGGATAACCATGAATACTGATAATGTTCGGAGTAAATGAAGGTAATCTATCAGGCTTTAAGCCTTGATTCAAACACAAACGATATGAATACAGGATAAAAGTTATGACTCATTGTCCGAACATCAAAGCTATAAAGGCTTTATTTTCTGAGAAAAAAAATTTCATCAATATTTTAATTATTCATTACAAACGAAAGAACATCAGATAATAAAAAAAAGAGAAGAACACATATGGTTTCGGTCAAATTTTTCTCTGAATATTACTTTATACATATTAAAGATTATACACAAGGTCGAAATAGATAAATAGATAAGTGAATAAAAAGATTCTAATTGCTATTTTAAATCAATAAATTCTTCATCGTGTTCATTCTGATTAGCAATGGATTCCATTTCTGTTGCTATTGATAATCCATTTTGTTCTTTTTTTAATGTTCGTAAAGCATGTTTTAATACATAAGAAACAATTTCAGCTGATAAATCTTGATACACTATATCTTCCATATGATTGGCTGAAAAACATAGTGGTTTTATTGTTCGACGAAATTCTTCTTCGAAATTATCATCATTTGTGTTGGATATGTTATTTGCAAGTAGTGATTTTGATGCTGTGACATCGATACTTTCGCTTAAGATTTGATCAGCAAGCGTGTGAGCATTACAAATAATTTCGTTTCGATCATCAACTGAATATTGATGATAACTGTCACTATCATCGTCCGTATAAGCTGCTTCAGCAAATGAAACACTTTTCTGATGTAAATGATTTTTTATTGATTTTTTATTTGTTGAACCATTTGACGATGAATTAAAATTTTCTTTTGATGAATTTTTCGTTTCATCATTATTTGGATTTTCAGATGTTCGTCGTTTTGTTGATGGCGATAATGAATTTCTTACTCTCTCGAATATAGTTTTAAATGAATTACTTGCATCAATATCGATTATTTCAAGTGGTGATGATGATGCTGAAGATTCTTGACGTATACGATATGATGAAGATCTGGGGTTTTGATCAGCTAAAACACGAGTTTCAGATGTTGGGCGACTTAAATCACGTTTAAAAGCAAGTAACGGACGTGCTAGCAACAAAGAAAAAAACAATTTCTTTTAAAATAATTGTGTTTATTATATAATTCAATTAATGCCACTATTTTCATTTAACCAAAGCAATCCGTTAGATACGTTCAGATTTTTTTTTTCGTTCTACTAGTGCTTAATGAAATGTCACTAGAGCAGTTTGAAATGACACACACTCTATTATTTCTTACAAAAATATTTTTGAATCGAATGATGAACAATAGGCAAGAAAGAAAATTAATAGCCTGATGTAGTTCTTAGTACTAGTAGAAACGATGTATCTGACTCTTTTTGTTTAGCGGCAAGATTAGGATTGAGATTATGTAACTTCATTTTGATAATTTCGTTATTTTTCGGAGTAGATATAATCTAAAGCACTTAGTATAAACATCGAAATCAAATTTTCCACAAATACATATATTCAGAAAAAAAAAGAAGAAGAAGAAATAGTTTATTATTTACTCACCGATACGATGTTCGAAAGCATCGTGAAAAGCATTGCTATATGATTTAAGTTGACCAAATAGACTACTTTTAAATGTGTCACTGGGTGTTGCCATTGAGGTTTACAGTAAATATATGAGACTACACTAGAATATGAAAAAAAAGAAGCGTGCAATACAAAGACGATAGAGAGAACGAGAGGAAACATCAGAAAGCAGGAAAATCCATATCATGAGTATTCATTGCTTATCTTTCTTTTCTTCTTTTTTTGCCTTTTCGTCGCTCCGAGTCTCACGACTTAATAGCAACATCTTATCGTTGTGAGTCTCTTATTTCTATTGTTTTTCTTTTTCCTTAGTGTACCCTTTCTTCTCTTTCATCATGTGCTCAATTCTCTATTGAAGCAAGTCACAGAAAAACAGCAGCACTGGGATCTATAGCTATTCACAATAAACATGGGCGGTTCTTATTTTATGCTTCGAGGTTTTTTTCATTCTCATGTCAATATGACAAGGTTGCTCTTCTAATAAAATTAATGTAGATAGAATATGAACATGAACACGAACACACAACTTCCGTTTGTTATTTTGATCAAAATAGCTGTATAAACATATGTGTATATGAATTTTAAAAACATGTGTTGAAAAGACTTAATGAATAAACAGTCTACATGTAGTAATTTAGTTGATTGGTCTACAGATAATTCATCAAGCTTAGTTTTCTAGTTCATTAATGGTAGAACATGCTGTATTTTCTCAATTTATATCTATATTTACTAGTGAGCGAACGAACGACAACATTCTTTTTTTTCCGAACGATGTTGATGCCTTGCCGGAAATTCTCACCAGCATCATATTTATAAGGAAAGAAAACCGAGAGCGTTCGCAGAAGCGTTTTGGCGAGGGTAACGAGAAAAACCGACGAATTCAAGTAAATTAAATCGTTTTTCTTAATTTTATTCTCAATGTTATTTTGAGGGTAAGACAAAAATATCGATCAAAATAGTTTTACATACGTTGCTCATCTTCTCTTACTTGAAAATATCGAAGGCACAACAGAAGTAAGAAAGAGCTCATTCTCTTTTTTATTCTCCCTCTCCCTCTCCCTCTCCCTCTCCCTCTCCCTCTCTCTCTTTCTCTCTTTGCTACGACCCTCATGTTGAGTCTGACTAATAAATGGAAACGATAATAAGAAGGAAAAAGAGACGTGATGTCGCAATTCTCAACTACGATTACTCCCACTAATACGATCACGAATGTCATTTGCCAATTGAAAAGCTCTCGTGAGCCCTTCGAGCTATTGGCAACATATAGGTATGCATGCTCTAGTCATTTTACCGAAAAAATATTATTTAGAATAGAACTCAAGTGATACATCTTTACTTATTTATTAATATGATGGAAACAAGAAATATTGATTTATGAATTCGTGGATTGGCTGACTGAGATAAAATCTAATTGACGAGTCTAGCTCTAGTCGATCTTCATCTATTCAGCTTTGACGAATTGAATAAACAAGAATAGCAGTGCCCACAAGCATTCCGATGAGATGATATAAATATTAAAAGATGTTTTCTGCTAGCTGAAATGATTACTCCATACATATTTAAATATGGTTGTATGCTTCATCCAAGAAAATATTCATTCATTCAAAAAGCTCAATAAGCAAAAAGATAATAAATATTTTAATTTTACGGCGAAATAAAAAATACATCCCATAACAATATATGTCGATTATTAATAACATCAACATGTAATTCTGTTGATTTTTATTGACAAAAACAAAACGAAATGTTAACGCATCACCTTTCGATGGCGTAGTTCACCAGCCATTTGTAATGCCGCACAGCACGGACAACATTCAGCAACACAAAAATCAGCAACATAGGAGCCCTGAAGAAAAAACAAATTAATAATTTTTTACAATTTTTCGCATGATTACTACATCTATACGGAATGCTGTTCTTATTTTTGTTCTTAAAATAGCTAAAGAACCAGGCACACAACACGTTACCCAACAAGATTCATTCATGCGCCATGCGAGTTGACAAGTAAAACAAGGATAACACCATACAGCATAACATGTCTCATCGCAGTGTGTTTTACAAGTACATAAATTTTGTGACCAAGGATATTCAAACTCCCATGGATTATGTTTGACATCTGAAGTTGGTTGTTTTTTTTGTATGTGAGTAGGGGAGATTTCTCTATGAACATCTGCTGATGATGGAGATAGAAATTTTACGCTTGTACTAGGCATATAGAATCAGCAAAACAGCACGAAAAACAAATCAGAACGAATTGAAATCGACTGTTAGAATGTGCGTGTTGGATGATGATTAAACTGTTGTACTGATTTCAATTCAAATGCTTGTTTCTTTCTATTGACATATGATGACAAGTGTTTCATTATGTATAATTTGTTTTGCTTTTTGTTGTATTTTTTCGCGAAAAAAAAGTGTGCTGCTCTGTTTTCTTGTCATTTACGCTCGTTTCGTGCAAGTTTTAAATATTTCGAAAATGGAAATGATTGATTTTTTAAAATGAATACGTGTTGATATTAATTCTTTTTATAAACTACTTCACCATTCTAACGTACATTTTTTACGTGGGTTGTGTAACGCTTTCATACAATTCAACTGATCGAAATTTTGATTAATAGAAATTTAATAACTGCTATTCATACTATAATCAGATTACACGATAGTTGAAGTGTAAATAAGCAAATTAATAATTTTATGTGTTTTCCTGTAAGCAGCTATTTTATAGGTTCAAATAAAAATTAGTACGAACGAACAAAAACAAAGCTGCTTGGTAACAATGCGAAAAATGCATCAACCGATGATGATGATGACTAGATTGATGTTCTTGCCCGAGACAATAAGGTGAATCTGAATAATAATAAAAATAGTAATCACAGTGAAAAACACTTGAAGCTAAGTACTTACAGTTGGTGATTTGATTTTGATTAAGAAACGAACGTATTTATATTCGATCAACATGATTTTGATCTGCTAGTGCCAAAATCTTGTATCATACTTCTTCGATAGATATCAAGATTTAGTGCTGCGAGACATATATTGTATGTAGATAGAGATGTGTTTAATAAAATCCCTGCTGACTTACTAGTTATGTATGCAAATTCACTTAAACCAACATGTTCGTCATAATTACGATTATCATTTTGGAAATCAGCAAAATTTCGAAACTCGTTTCTTTCAGCTTGAAAATAGATATACTATGTAGGATAGAAGTATTACGAACCATTGATACTTGCATAATGGTGCTTTATCATTTTCAATATTATCGTATGTTTATCGAACATGAAGTTAATGAATACTAGCCTGTTGAGCGCTATGTTTTTAACTAGCCCAGAGACTGCATCAGCACAGAGCATTATTTATTCAATGATTTATATCAATTCCTTCATGGAATTAGTCAATTTTAACTAATTATGTGTGATTGACGCGCATGATAGGTCGTTTGTGACGGCACAAACGCCACTGATGTTATCTGAGCACCTGTTTGTTCCTTTTTTCTAGCTTCCCTCTCTTTGTCTCTTGTTTGTTTTTGCACCTAATGTTGTCAATTCATTATTCTTATTCTTCTCTTTTTTCTTCAAGCTTCTTCATATATATCTCTTCACTGAGATATACCTATACTCATTCTTTCAATACCTTTTGCTCATCATTCGAGCGTACCTTTTCTGACTACTATTTTTCTTCTCTATCAAAAAGAATCATGATTAATTACATATTACCTTTCTTTCAACTAGATTGTTCCTTACAATCAATCTAACTCGATTATCCCTTACACTCGTTCCAACTCGTGTCGGCTACTTGCTTGTGGAGTTCTTTTTATTCTCAACTATCTCCGTTCATTGAATAAATTATTGAATTTTCATTCAATATGCAATACTATTGAATTTTCATTGCTGCCATTCTGCCATAACCAATACTGTGACACCTGGCATTTTTATTAGTTGCGTTTCTGATCCTCATCAAGGCGTTACACCCCTCTCCAACCCCCTTATATGATGCATAGCCAGCGTATACAACCCTTTCCGGTCGGTTATTTCCCTAAAACACCATACCCTTATAGAAAAAAACGTAGTTCTATGGTAACATCCTGTTGGAAAGAAATAATTTGATTTTAAAAGTCTAAATATATTTGTACAAAAGCCTTATTTGGCCAATTAATTTACCCATGTGTTAACAATTTTCAAAGAAAAATTTACTATTCATCGATTCAAATAGTTATCAAATAATAGAAAGTGTTTATTTAATTTTGTAGATCTGACAAAGGCAGAAGATAACGCAATTTCTGTTAGTGTTAAAATGCAAACAATACAGCACATAAATGTATACATGTAAATCTCTAGAGAGAAAGTAAAAGAAAAAATCTTCCCAATTCTAGTTTGTTATTCATAGCAATATTGAAGAAAGTAGCTGTGTGAGAAAAATTTTAATAAAAAAGCCTTTTGTACTTGAGCCATTATTTCAGACCATAAAACAATGATGATTGATCATTGAGATGCAATTCGCTTCTTTGTTAAGAAATTCACCACACGATCGTATAGAACTGAATTTATAGGAGTAAAGAAAAAAAATAGAAAGTACTTCCTTGCTTGATTTCTTATATAAGTGAATGGAGATTTCATTGAGATATTAGTGTAACAACAGTCGCTTCGAAAGACGATTCTTTTTATTACAAGATATATTTACCGTCGCTAAATTCGAAATGAATTTGGATGTTCAATTGAGAGTCTCTAAATAAGAATCGTATTTATTCTTCCACATAAATCTTCGAGTATGATTGTGTCACTGTTTAAATTAAATCTCTTGGCAAAACAAGAACATCAAATATAACTGCATCATTGATGACTTTCTAATTTCCTCTTCCTGCTTATAATTGTTTCTTTTCTACTATAACTTTCTTTTTCTCTATTGGTAGCGATGTCTTTTGTTTTCTAAAGCATGATATAGGCGATTTTCAACAGCAAATAATGATTATTTTCAATAGCTATGGAAATCGCGCATATTCGTTATTTTATTAATGCTGTTAACAGTTTCTTCTTCTCGAATTGACTTCACAAATGAAGATAAGAGACATGTAGAAAAAGACTACGCTATTTTTTAAAATCATTGTTTGACTGCGAATGTTTTTTCATCTTTCAAAAAAAAAAGAAAAATACGTCGACGATTCTTGTTTGTTTTACTTGTGATACAGATAGTAATAGGGAAAAAGAAAAGTGAAAGAGAAAAGAAAAGAAAGAAATTTAACAACAACAACAAAGATAAATGAAGAAACCATCGATGGACTTTTTCGCACGCGTTAAATTTCATCATCGAATCGTTTCAACTACATTCACACGTCGAAATCAAAAGAATGACAGAGACAAAAAAAAGGAAAAGAACTTGAGAAAAATAATAACATTTTTTTTGAGTGTCTTTCTCGAAAGAATTGCGCAATTTCACTTTTCACAAGTCATCATCATCGTCGGGTAATGCTGCATTTTGAGCATCTACAATTTCGGCTTCATATTTTTTTATTGTTTCATTATCCATTTGAACTTCAGCTGGCTAAAATACAAAATAAAATAAAAGTTTTCTTTTGAAAATAAGAATTTCGTTGAAGTAAAAGAAATTTACCATAAGAGCAGGCATAGCAGTAAATTCGAGGTTTGGATCACCAGCTAATTTACGTGCTAACCAAAGAAATGGTTTTTCGAAATTATAATTTGATCGTGCACTAATATCATAATATTGCATATTATTTTTGCGATGAAATGTAATAGCTTTAGCCTTGACTTTACGATCTTTAACGTCAACTTTATTACCACAGAGTACAATTGGAATATTCTCACAGACACGAATTAAATCCTTATGCCAATTTGGTACATTTTTGTATGTGATACGTGACGTTACATCAAACATAATGATAGCACATTGACCGCCAATATAATAACCATCTCGGAGACCTTAAAAAATATACATTGAATGTGATATCAATATTTTGATATCGACTTACCACCAAACTTTTCTTGACCAGCGGTGTCCCAAACATTATAAATAATTAAACCACGATTTGTTTGAAACTGAAGTGGATGGACTTCGACACCGACTGTAGCATTATATTTTTTTTCGAATTCACCTGTTAAATGTCGTTTAACGAATGTTGTTTTTCCTACATAATAAACATGAATCATTAGTTCGTGTATAATATTTTTCGAATACATACCGACACCACCGTCACCTACTAATACAAGTTTGAATTCGGGTGCTTGTTGAGCCATAACTTTGTTCTAATTTATTATTGAATATGATTAATGAAGAGAACTAATGTGTGAGTGGCTTGTGATGATCTACAAAAACAAGAAGATAGTATTGAATAATTGCATGGCAATACTGAAAAACTTTTTAATGTTTTCTTGCGTAATACTATGATTAATAAATAAGAAACTGTCAGAGAGTAAATAAAAAGATTTCTGTCACATACATAGAATCCGTACAGGTCTGTGGGAGATCATCATACAGTCTCTTTTATTCATAAAGAAAAAACTCTAACCGTTTCTCGCTGACGCTTGGGCTATGAATGAATGCACTTAGACTACGAAAAAGACAACAAAGTACAAAGACATCCATGTTTTCCCATTCCGGCTATGATTCATAGATATCCTTTCTTCTTTACGTGCTTATTGTGCTCTACTACCTCAGTCGCGGTGGTTGTGCCAGCAACAAACAACAAAAGATGTCGCCAGTTTGACATCAAACTTCTTTGGCCAGCAAAGTTTAAAAAAAAAAAAAAAAAAAAACGAAAAGAAGAAACAGAGAAAGCGCACACAAACGCCGAGAATGTCTGCCTAATATATACAAAAAAAATAATAATGAGTTCGTTGATACAAACAAAGAGTAGAAGAGGCACACACACACACACACACACACATCAAAGATAGTATTTTCAGGCAAACACACAACTTACACAAAAAAAATAAAGTCTGTTTTTTTTCTGCCTCTCTCTCTCTCTCTCTCTAAGAATTAATGTGAACAAGAAAAAGCAAAAAAGTTATGTTTAATCTTCTGAAACTAAAACACAAAAAAGAAAAAGTCGAAGTAAAGAAGTTCTATTTACAATAAAAACTGGAGAAAAAAAGGAACCAAAGTGCTTATCAGCCGCGTAGTAAGAGATATTTTGTTATGTTCACTGGTGAGAAAGAAAGAAAGAGAGAGAGAGAGAGAGAGAGAATTAGAAAAGCGAAACGATTCACACGGGTTGTTGAAAAAAAGCGTAAAAGATGAAAGAAAAATATATTTAAATAATTATGCAACACACTCGATTTTTGTCTGATGCATGTGGTTGTTGTTTTCGTGTACTTTCACTATCGATTGTACTATCCATATTTGTTTTTTGTTGTTGATGTTGTTGATGTTTAAGTAATGAATGTTTAAGTGTTGATAATACTGAATGTTGAGAGGACGTAGGGGATGAAACTGGATTAATATGACCATTCGTTTGATTAATATTATCTGTTGTTGGTACAATAACATTTGATTTTGTTAAGCCATTGCTAGATTTTTTTCCAAGAGGCGTTTTTATATATACATTTGATGAGGATAATAATGGTGGTGAAATATCTTCTTCGACAATAATAGGCGTTTGAATATGTTCCTGATGAGATGGTGTTTGTTGTAAACGTTGATGTTCAATTATTGTTTTAATTGCATCTGTTGTATCATGATGTGGAGTTTGTTGTAATAAACGTACAACTGGTGGTGCATCCGTCTTAGTAAATACAGTTGATTCGCGTGGTGTTGAATAACGTATAGACGTTCGAGATGCTATAGACATTTGTGATGGATTAGCAAGACGATGTTCAGTTGATAAACTACGTGCACGATCATTCATTAAATTTAAACTAGTGGCAGTTGATGTTTCATTGGTTAGTTCTTCGTTTGTACCATTTAATATTAAACGATTATTTGATGCTATTGAACTAGCACGAGAAAAACTTCGACGTTTAGCATTATCACTAGTACTATTTGAAACCATTTGTTGTTGCTGCTGTTGTTGACTCGTTCCATCTCCTATAGAAAAATTTATAATATAGATATAGTTGAACGATATACATTAAATAAATAAATTTATACCATATCCGATCTCAATAGCTTCTTGAAATGAATTAGGTCGTGTTGGTGAGCGTGTTTGTTGTTTTCGATTGGTTGAACGATTCATATCATTAGTATTTTCTTCACTATCTGAATTTGAACGACTACGTGAAAAATTCCGACGTTTAGTTTCGACAACAGAACGTAAATCTTTTGAGCGAAGTACACCACTTGTTGTTGTTGAACTATCTACAGTGGCTGTACCGCTATGACTAATAAATATAGTTGTATTTGGTGTTGAAGGATTATCATCATCTTCAATATCATCATCATCATCGTCTTCTTCTTCTTCTAGAATAAGAAATTAAGAAAAAAAGAATTTGAAAAATTTTGCTTTTAAAATAATCGAAAAAGAAAATAGTTTTTGTATTTACCACTTTCTACAATTTTATTGAGTTTTGGTAGATTCCCTGATTGTTGAATTGCAGCAGCAGTTTGACTATAGATAATAATATTATTTACGATTTTTATTATTGAAAGAAACAAAATTCTTACTCAATAGGTGGGGATGACTCAGAATTTTCATCTTCTTCAAGGATAATTCTCATAGCTTGAGTTTGTGTTGGTGTATTGGTATTTGTTGAGCGTTGTTGTAATGATGGTCGTTCTTCTTCATCTTCAAGTAAAGCTGCAGAGAGAAAAATCATTTTTTTAAAATAATTATATCATTAAAAGCAGTGCTTTTTAAAATGTGTATTTGCTTTTTTAAATATAATCCCCAATTTATTTGTGATGTGAATTCCCACCAAACTATGTAAGTTCATACGCAACCAAATTCACTACTTATCCGTTATTGACAAGATATACTCTTCATAAAATAAAATTCAAAGATATTGAGGTTTAGCAGTGTAAGCAGAAGAAAAGTTAGTAAATGAAGTAATTTCAGTTCTTTGAACATGTCTACTTAGGAAGCTGTGAATCTTCTAGAAAAGAAATAACCCAAATGGTTCTCAATAAACCTCTATGAGAATTTGAACTAACTCAAGTGTATAAAAAGCATTCAAGGGACATTTATAGTACTTTATTTTCAATTTAGAAACTTGTTAATCGGTACGAATAGAACAATAGCAGCAAAATCTCATTAGAACTATTCATTCATAAATAGTTAGTAAAGTACCAATAATGACAAAGTGCCATGCTTAGCTGTTGTCTGAAGTGTAGCGTTTTACTCTTTCTCTTTTCACCTATATAACGCAAATAGATATCGCCTACACTATTCAAACATTAGAATTTCTCAAGATAGATACACGTTAAGAAGATCACGAACAGGATCACGTGTACTATTTAAATCATTTATCTGATTGTGTTCTATTCATAATTGCTACACTAATGACTTCTCTGAACTATAACTATGTCATCATGGTCAACTGCCCAATATTTAATTAAACACATTGAAATCGATTGAATTCATTATAATTGTTTTTCATTTCGATTTCTGTATTTTAATTGCAAATGGATGACCGATAAAAATGCTTCTTTTCGCGTTTATAAAACGCAATTAAAATAGTATATAAATCATTTATGTGCATGAGATTGTTGTGACGATCAAAATATAAATCGCAATGTTAGAAACAAAAGCATTTATAACTACTTATCAATCACGTCCTACCATTATCAAAATAAAGTTGAAACTGAACAGTTCTATGTTCATTTGATTCTGAATCACACTGTACAACTAAGAAAACAATTTTCTTTTTTCTTTTTTTCGTTTCAAGTAAATGTACTTTCATTAAATGAAACTGATGCTTTTTATATATTTTCTAATTCAATGCAAGAGCAGGCTTACTAGTTTTTGTCTTTTACCTGGCAAAGTTTGTTCACTTGAAGAATCAATTGAATGTCTTGATGTGGTTAATACTGGCGGTATGTTTTCTTTCCCCGAGCTAGAAAACAAAACAAAACAAATGTTAACACAAAAAATAAATAAAATTTAATTGCAAAAGCATTTAAAACAAGAAAATTAAATAAATATTCCTCATATCCCCACAGCAAATAAAAAGCAATAATCCTTATCATCATCTTACAAACTTAAATTCTCTAAATCATTATTATCCATATTCTCATCAACAAATGAACTTTGTCTTGTAAGTGGCAAAGATACATCAGCAAAATGAAAGCTAAAATAAAAGAATCACAAGTCTAACTACAGTTTGTAAGAAATTCTCTCATTGATTCTTCATTCTATATGTAAACATGTTTTTCTATGTCAAATAAAATTTTGAAATTCAAAACAAAATTTACTTTGATGACGATGATGCGGACATAAAAACTCCGATTTGTTCCGTAAATGGATCAGTAGCTGGTTGTAAACGTCGTTGTCGTTTTACATTACGTTCATTATCATTGAGTTTTTCGTATAAACGATCGTTTAAAATTTTTTCAGCAAGAAGATAATATGTTGCTGTTATATGATTATATTGATCTTCATTCAAAGCTCTAAAAAACAACAATAATAATAAATCAACATACACTATGATGATATTTACTGTAGGATTGCATCACGTTCAGCTATATTTCCATCGGTCATTTGCTGAAGAATTGACTCATGATCATCGAGTGATATGGTTTTATGTGAAATTAATGGTAACGAATCAACATAATGTTGATCCTCTACATCCTCATTATCGTCATCACATTGGCGATACCATATATCAGACATAACTTCATCTAATGTTGAACGTTTTTCTGGTTCACGTACAATCATATGATGAATTAAACTAAAAATAATACGATAAAAAAATAATGATATTTTTAATATCCTACTTTTGGCATTCGGATGAAATATTCGGTGGAAGTTTATAACAACAATCTAAAATCATCATTACTGTTTCGGAATCATTTGCTTCTTGGAATGGTGCTCGCCCAGTAACAAGCATAAATAATATGACACCTAAACTCCATATATCTATAAAAATAAAAATAAACTTTGTTTTTCATTCAGGTCTTTCTTATTTCAACTATTATTACCAACGGCTGGGGCATCATATGGGTCACCAAGTAGAATTTCTGGTGCTGAATAAGCCAGAGATCCACAGCTAGTGAGTAATTTTTTACCAGGTGAAAATTGATTGGAAAACCCTTTGAGAAAGAAAACAAGAAGGAATTCTATTGATCTTCTAATCAAAAAAATCTTCTTACCAAAATCGGTTAGTTTAACAATGCCTTGTTTTTCAAAAAAGACCAAATTTTCCGGCTAAAAAATATCGATAAAGTACATGTTTAATAATTCTTTTTGTTTTGTTTGAATTGATAAAATTAAAATTAATTAGAATTATGAATAATGCATTAGTGAAAAATCATCCTTTATATTTTTCTAGCTTGTCAATTTTTTCTGCCTTGATTGATGATGCAACACATTCAAGGACTGAGAAAGGAGATCATTCAAGTGATTAATTACTTTTGTGTAAGAAGAATGTGCATGGCTTACAGCCTTAAGAGTTATGAATACCCTAAGAAGAATTCAGCCTAGCCAACTTATTAGAATGTAGATAATGCATTTTTTTCTTTTTAATCAATACTAGAATCTCTCGATTGAGAACATCAAATTGTCAGATTTCTGTCAGAAATATGTTTTTAACATTATCATATCTTCAGATACTAATTGATGATGAGTGAATAACAATAACTGTTCGCATCAACATCTTTATAAAATTTGAAATTGAAAATCATTTTTCCCACGCTTTGGTTTAGAATAAAGCAAAAAGAAAACATGGAATAATCGAAAATTCTTCCAAGATAATCATAAGAACCTAAATAATGTCGATGATTCCGACGCTCAAGTTATTCATCATTTCTAGGATTTCTCTCATTAGTGAAAACGACTTTTCCTTCTGTCAGCTGTTACGAATTAATAAAAATGAATAGCTCTGCACTTTTACAATGGTAAGTATAAATATATTGCTTTCATTTCCATCATTAATAATGTAATTTATAGCTGAAAACGTTGCCTGAAAAAAGTTATGCATTACTGAATAATTTTAATTATAATTAATTGAAGTGAATATATACAGGAATATTCATAGTAGGCTTTTATTTTTCATTTTTCATTAAAACATTTTTTGTTTTGTTTTGTTTTAAATAAGAATCATTCTATTCGAAACAATTATATATCTTTTTTTGATGTCTTCATGTCTAGATCCTAATGAAATTTGTTTTTTGTCGGATGGCACTCTTATAATGATTTCTTTCATTTTCTTGATTATCAAAGCAAAACTTCTGTATGATCTGCACTCATATTTGTTTTTGAAAATATAATCTCATTTATTTTGTTTTTTATTTTTACGAACTATTTTTTATTTTTCTCTTACTTTAAGATCACGATGGCACACATGCATTTCATGGCAATATTTAAGTGCTCGGCATATCTGTCGAAAATATCGTCGAGCTGTAGATTCATTAAGACCATTCGCATGTCTCATAATATAATCATACATATCACCGCCATCACCGAATTCTAATATAAGATAAAGTTTATTTGGTGTATCAATAACTTCATATAGACGGACAACATTGGGATGTTGAACTAATTTCATGCACATAACTTCTTGAAATAAATGAGCTTTTGATATATCATCAAGTTTTGTTTTATCAATAACTTTAACTGCAACTTCTTTCTGTGTAAAAACATGACGAGCAAGTTTTACAACAGCAAAATGGCCTGTACCAATTGTTGCTCCTTTGTGAATGAAAATAAAAGCGTAATCAAATAAGAATAATAGATTTCTATGACTTACCTAAGGTATAAAGACCGCTGACTAAATTTCGTAAATCTGAGAGTCGACGTTCGCTAGACATATTTGGTTGATACATAACTACATTTTCTTGATATTTATTTACTTTTACATAATTATGAATAATGGTAAGAAATGAGATTCCATTGATCGAGTCTAAACGACAGAAACAATAGAAGAACAAAAAAAAAACGATGCCATGATTGATTAGGCAAAAGTTGCATTAGAATGAAGAAGAAAAAAAAAGAAAAAAAAGTATGAGTCTGTCAACATCTAATTAAGATATATGACAAACATTGTCAAGTAAAACATGTCAAATATTTATGGAAAAAAGAGTTCGTATAGCTAAAGGCAATCATGTTATTAAAGATTATTTCTCGTTGTCATATGATTTAAGACAGGCCGATAGGGATCAATGGCACTTTTTTCTTGTAGCAATTGAAAATTCAACGAAACATCAACATGAATGGTTATCTATCAACGAGTAGTCTCAGCTTCAAAAAATTTGAAAAAAGAGCACAACCAAAGTTTGCTTTTTTTTCAATAAATTATCTCTTTTACTGTATACAAAAACAACATTATTAAACATTAATTTTCTTACCAATGACTCTGTAATCTCAAATATAAGTGAGTTTATTCTATGTGAAGTGAACGGATTATTACTTTTTTTTAATCTTGTCTATCATCGTAACCTGTTCGTCTATTTTGTGTGTGAAGACAGCCGTCAATAAACTAACGATAGATAGAAGAAAAAAGAAAGAGGGAATACTAACGAATTGGTCTTGTTTTTCTCTTCTTTTATTTTACATGCAGACACGCACATAATAGATATATATATTTTTTTCTTTTTCACTGTACTGCGGAGGTTATTAACTTTATCTATAAAATATGGATGCATATCATTCATGGTATATCTCCCATTAGACAGAAAACATCCACATCTGCTCCTTTTGTATTATTTTATTTGCCAATAAATCAAACAGCGAAAACAATTATCGAAACAAAAAATATCTATGCTATGTTCGACTATGGATCCATTTAATTTAATACTGTTCTTATGTTTTGTTTTTCTTCTTTCATCATTGAGGATATTAACCAGCTCAGAGATCATGCCGATCATCAATAACAGGCAGGTTTATTTTCAAACGAAACCGTACTCATCAATTTCATCATTGCTACTGAATGTATTGATGGAAAAAAAAAATATTAATGCTTTTTTTATGAGATGATTGTGTGGGAGATGGACAGTTTGATTCATTCATTCGATAATGTTCTTGCGTATTCATATAATCTCAGTCAGTTTCTTCATTGGATATGTTCTATCAGAAGATATTTTACTTCCATCATTTATTATGGACACCCAGCCATTATCTGCGCAATCATCATTTTATCTTTGTCATCTACATCAATTAAAAAATTCAAACGATCTTTTTCTTCAAGGTTATAATATAATTAATGGCGCGCACACAGGTCATGTTCACCATTTACTTCTTTACGAATGCTCGATCAAGGATAATCTAATATATTCAGGATTGTGTGGAATATATAATGCACGTTTAATGCCTTCATCTGTTTATCGTTATTGTCAAACGCGTATTATAATAGCATGGGCTCGAGGTGGCCAACTCAACTATGATTATCCGATAAAGACAGGATTAAAAATGATTTCATCTACACAACTTCTTCTTGAAGTTCATTTTGAACCATCTATTCCACACAATCATTCCATTGGTATTCAATTACGATTCTATCCATTAAATGAAAAACCTCAATATGAAGTAGGTGTTTTAACATTAGGTACATTAGCTAATTCACCGCTATTTCTTCCTCCAAGTCTTAATACAATAAGTTTTCCAACATATTGTTTTAATGATTGTTTAAAAGGTTTTCTTAAAAATAACTTAGTTATCAACATGTTTTCTATTCTTGTTCATGCACATCAACGTGCAACTCGCATAATTCTCGAGAAGAATAATAATTTCGATCGATTAATTGATCAAAACCCATTTAAATTTCATCAACAAGAAATGATTTATTTTCATAAACCTTATCCACAAATCAATTCAACCAATGAACTTTCCTTAATATGTTATTATTCAACGCAAAATGATCATTTGAAAGGTATTTATGGTGGTTATGATTCAAATAATGAAATGTGTCAAGCATTTATTTATTATTATCCAAAAGTGGAATCATTTCCATTATGTCTTTCATTACCTGTTTATAAAAATAAACATTTAATGAATAATAAACGAAATTGGACTAATAAATTAAGTTTATTTATCAAAGATGAATTAGAATCAAATATAAATCATCTTAGTCTGTGTGGCGATAATATCTATTTTAATCAAAGCAATAAAACTATGCTTCAAACAAAATTATATCAACGTTCCATGAAAAATTTTAAACAATATTCATACGTTTATTTACGCTTTTCTTCTATTTTTTATACAACTATCACTAGTATTCTTCTAATTTCTATTATTTATTGTTATTTAATTATAAACAAATGCTTACATTCTTTTTCTAATGGTGGCACTTTGTAGAATTCTAGAAAATAATTCTTATATTATTAGAAATAAAAGAAAAGAAACAGCAATAAGACTTACGATTAAATGGGTATTTCAATGATTCTAGTTATAATACAAACATGCAAATTTGCTTTTTAAGCAAAACGTAAACATGTACAAGAAAGTTTTGCTTTTTTTCTAAAATAGAATAAAAAATTCCATATATAGACGAGAAAAATAAATCAAGTTTTACATCAGCTCAGACAGCCAAGACAAACAACATAACATACATTCAGTATTATTAAGCGTAATCGTGTCTTTTTTTTTTATCACTGCTGATATACGAAACTAATTGGTCGTGTAAACATAAATATATCTGATACGTTAATCAACAATTTTATGAAATGAGCCGTGAGTAAAACCAAAAACAAAAGAGATGAAGAAAACAAAAATTCAAAATATATCCTGATAACCAAAAATTAAAGTAAAAATATTAAAATTTCACTAAAAAAATACTGAGAAAACAAAACAGATTGAATCTATCTATTATTCGATTCATTACTTTTTTTTTCTATTAACTATTCAATCTCAACTCTCCCTCGATTGAATTAAAAATGAGCCATTAAAATATCACAAAAAGTTATTATATAAATATTGCATAATAAGAAAGAAGCAGTCCTTTTTTTATGTGTTGCAAAGGTTTACTAAATGACTTTTTGAATACGTTTAAACTCTTTTAACACCGGTAAATTAAGCATAGTTTCACTATCAATATCATTCCAATTAATTGCATGTGGACGTGTAAATGTATTATTTGTATAAATTATACGTTTAGGTGTAATAATAACGTTCACAGGTCTAAAAATATCATAGGAGAGAGTTTAAAAACACGAAACAATGATTGAATAACATACAAATCATGTTCGGTCATGACCGATGCTGGTAGATCATTAAGTAATTGACTTTCATGTACAGTTGTAACAACCAGTGTTTTATTATTGCATGCACCTAATTGATACATCATGGCATATTCAATGTCACCATAGCCTTTGCCTTTGCCTAGAAAAATGAGAATGGTGTTATTTTTTATTTATAAACAATAAAATCTATCTGAGTACGATATTTAAAAGCGGGTGTTTTATGGGTGGATGTTTTTCTTCCTAGCTTTTGTGATGCACTTTAGTCTTTGCATTATATACAAAATCTATTTAGTGAATGATAAGCATCAAAATACTGCGAAAGGGCATGTAGTACGTCTGAGTCTTGTTTGAAATGAACAAATACAAGGACATTTTATACTTGTTGATGTTTAATTTGTTATCGAGAAAGCACTTAATAGAGAAGCTCATAAGAATTCTCAAGTCAATAATCAATTTAGATGCTTGACTAATGAAATAAGTTTGGGTAAAATTTATTGCTGTTGTCGAAAATGACAGACATTTTTGCATCTACTGTGGATTCATTGAATAGACACATTCCAAAGAAATATTATCGATCACAATAGAATCATGTCCAACTGTGATCGGTTGCTTGAGTCCACATTGAATCTCCTCAGTAAGAGGCCCTAGTTAGCCTGGAAAGATTCTTATTCATGTGTTTTCGAACCCTTGCAGTCATGATCATTAGACTGAATTCAAGACCTAGAATTCTATCTAAATATAGATCAAATAGACTTGAAAAAAATGTGTGCATGACTAAAGAATATTGTCGTCGAAATTCAGTATATTGACCAAGGAGAATCATTGTCAACTGAAATTATCAAGAAATGCTACTGATATTTATGTGAAAATACCTATGAAAAATGCAATAAAACATACATGAATCGACTGCAATGATCTCTAACGACACATAGAGCTTTGGTTTTCGTTTTCGTGAGTGATTTGAACATTTTTCAATTAATAATACAAACTATACGCAGATGTTAGAACTCAACTAATTGACTTTCCCAGAATAAAAATTAAAATTCTGACTTGATTTTCATAGGCAAGACTAAGCAATTTTGACCTTAGAAATAATAATGAATGTTTTTTCTCTGAATTAAAGATAAAAGAAATCGAATTGGCGATAACACGCACAAAAAGAAATATTTTTATTGACATTCTAACAATAGTGAAAGTTTTCTCATAAAAGAAATTTGTTTTTGCTTCTTCTTACCTAAACGAGCCCCACTTATTGGATTAACAATCACGGAAGCAACAACAAAAATATCGACATGTAAATTTCCAATAGCCGTTAAATTAACTATTGTACCTAGAGCAGCGGCGCCTATAAAGCAAGTATTTATTATTAATATTCATGCTTTTCTTTTATTAAAAAATAAATTTTACCAGATTTTGTGGCTGCTCTTGCTAAATCGTGATTGCGTAAAAATGTTGGATCGAGTTTGTAGCAAATTGCATCATCAATAGATGGTGCTGGAGTAAGAACTACTTTTCCTAAAATAGAAAAAAATTTAATATTCTAAATGAAAAAAATAAGAGTTAATTTTACAATCGAATTACCTTGGCATAATGAAAATAAACGTAAGTGTTCTTGTGCAAGACTTGGACAAATCTCAATAACGCGTGCTCGTTGAAATTCTTCAAGTTGTGCTAAATTCGTTGAACAATTCGGATTGTTTCGAAAATTTGGAATACGTCCATGAACTAAAAGAAAACAACTAAATAAAACTTTGGGTTTTTTTCCATACTTGAACGTACCAGGATGTGGATATAAGATTTCATTTTTCATTTCCATTATATCCCAAACAAGTGTACGCGCACGTGCTTTGATCAGTTGAAGTGTTGTATCAATATTTGTCGTTGTCATTGATTGATGTGTATTTTCATGATACGATTGGATCCAACTGCCAATTTGAGATAGTTTCGATAGAATTCCTGATTGCTTCAGTATATGGTCAATATGAATTGATTTATGACATAAATCATTTAGAGATATCCATAAATGAACAGTATCACGTTCGACAGACATTTTCTCTTTATTTGCTGAAGGCGATTGTGAATGAGCATAGTTAATTTTCGAATTTTGACGAGAAATAGGTGGATCAATTTGATTGATATAGTTTAATTCAAGTGAAGATATATGCGGTATTAGTAAAGCACATATGCAGATATCAGTTTCAGGGCCAAAAGCAATAAATCGACCGTGCTCTTTGAAATCAATCTAAATAATAATAATAAACGTATAGTAAATGATGCACATATCAATTTCGATGAAAACAGATATTTAGATTGTTGTGTGATATCGTCTGCCATTTTATTTTATATCTACAAGTGTATGTGCTCGTTCTACTTTTTGAATTACTATTAAATATTTGAAATCGGTCACACATAACCATAAACGTTAGAAACTAAACACTAGTATCAGTCTGATTGAGACTGATGAATATATAGATGTTTGCTTTATAATTCCCTTACAAAACTGAATTTTCAAACACTGTTACACCATTTATTGTCTGGCTCATACCTGGATTCTACTTCAGATTCAATTTCTAATAAGTTTTGCAACTGAAGCTAGTGAATAATACGTTCTTTTCTCGAAGCTTCTTTTCAATTGAAGTTTTATTTTATGCATTTGAAATGGTTATTATTTTTTCGTTACTAGTTAACACGCAATCGAAGCCTTCATTATTCATCTATATATTCGTGTACATAGAATATGTTATGCAAGGGTAAAAAAATAATCAACTCTGATTTCGACTATGGTGAGCGTAAAAGTACTGCAACGGTTGAAGATAAAAGTTTATTTTAAATAGAAAAATGACTTTGTAATCAAGATAAGAATCTTTAATTGTAGGAAATTTGGTCTAACTAAAGACTTTTGTAAAAAAATGTATCTGCGTCATACCAAAATTTGATGCTTATCTATACAGATCGGGGGTATTCTAGCTACATTTGCATCATACAAGTTGATTGTTAAAAGTTTATTGGAAAACTGCTTTTAATAAGGATACTCCCGAGAAATATTATTATCAAGTTCTACTCTTGACGTCACCAGGGAAATTCTATCTTATGCCAAGTAACAAAGGCAGATGTGAGGCCTTCCCATGGATATTTATTACTTGTCACGTAATAGAATAACATCAAGAAATAAAAATAACTCGATTAAGATAAATACTGTAAAATTGCCTCTAGAAAAAACAACAACAATGAGAACTGGCTGATTTAAATATTAATTCTCCTTTTCGATAGCTACGAGACATACTTGAAATCTTTTAAGCATCAAATTTCAATAAAGTATACTTGAAAAAAAATGCAAATGCTACTATTTTTGACTTTCAAATCATTTTGTCACAAAATTTGCTCTTCGCAAACCAATGTATTATTATTATTGTACTAATTCTTGTTTTTCTGCCGGATGTTAGGTCAAATTCATCTATGAAAACGCCTCAAAAGTCTGCTTTTCTTACATGATAAAGCCTAATAAATTTTTAGTGAAATTAACAATAATACTTCTGTGTTGTGCTACTTTAGATTATCCGTTTAGAACAAAAAAACGCTTTTGAGTAAACTTTTTCTACTAAGCAAGGAATCGAATTAAATGACTCAATCAAAGCGAAGATACTTCAAATTATTATTGTAATGTTAATAATGGGTTCACTTTAGAGTTGATCGAATTCTGATTTCATGGTCAATTAATTTTTTTACATCGCTTAGACATTTTGTATATGAACCATTCTTGATCACAAAATCATTTTCATGACAGCACTCAAAGACTATCATTGCGGAGCATTTGATTTATTTCGATTCAAAATTTTGCACTGACATGAAAGAAAACTCGATGTTAAAGACCGGTTATTGTGTTGTCCGTTTTGATATTGATTCAATTTATATATTGAACAAGGTATGAAACTTACTAATTGAACCACAACAAAACAACATCGTTTATCATTTATAAATAGCCTCGAGTGAAATAAAAGCACAATTAGTTCTATTTTTGCGAATAAAAAATATCGCATTTGTATCATTTCAAGATTAACAATAAAATCGAATAACGCCTGATGTTAACGTGAAGTTACTATTGACTTTTTATGTTTCAACTTTCTGTTTCACTCATGCATTTATATGTTTAATGTCATAATGTTCTTATTGGTTCTGTTTCTTAAAACTCAAGTACTTGAAATAGTTTCTAATCACAAATTTCAATGTTTCAACAAAATCTTCAAAGATAGTTCTTTCATTAAATTAATTATTATGTCAATAACTTATTGAATCGAAAACTTATTTAATAATGTCATATCGAATTTCATGTATCGATTTGCAATCCTTTTATTGACTTCATTACGAGAAATATAGATGCAAATGAGATTCTAGTTTTTATTGCAAAAATGAAAAGGGTGTGGCCTATGAAACTGAGTAATTATACAGAAAAACTCGAACTTTTATTTTACCTTATTTTCAATATTTGCTTCATCTTCTGTTTGTATGTTAAATAATTGTCGAAGAACAATTGAATTTTTAATTATTTCACATACAGTATGAATTGAACCCGATGAAAGTATTGACGAGCAATAAGGTGTTAAATAAAATTCATGTGCATGAGCATTTTTTGATTTATTAACGTCCGGAGATTTTATTGAGGATGGACTAATTTGAAAATCATATTTAAGTAGAACATGTGGGTGCAGCTCAACTTGGCATACAGGCAATACTATAACACGCATACTTTATTTCATTGAATTCAGCAGTGTTATTATTTACAATAGGCCAATATATGCTCTAGAAAATAAAGAATCGATTTTTTAGGAAATGGTCATACATAAAATACGTCCTGAAAAAAATAAGAAAGAAGTATTTCACGAAGAATTCATCTAAGATATGATTGCTGTTCAATAGAGGAGCAAAAGAGACTGAGAAAACTTAACATAGGTGATGCTGCACAGATCAAAAAATAATTCATCGACAATTCAGCAAATACTTTTGCGATATTGAACTAAATACGTTCCTCTTTTAGAGAAACTATATTTTTCTCTATCAACATTTTATAGGAAAAATGTTTTAGTGACATAACTTTAACTATTCGATCTCACTCATGATTATATTCAAATTCTCGAATTTGAGTCTTCATCGAAAAGTCTTAAATCTCTCTCTGATGCATACTCATTAGATTCTAAGCTTCACTCATAAAAATTCGATATTAGTCAAATTAAACAATTCGACTATTTTTCTACTGTTACAAAAGAAGCTGAATAATCGTATACATGATGCATTCATAGCAACGAGTAAATGAGGTGTGTTGTACAAGAGTTGCGATCGATCAAATGAACTAGCAAACTAATTGAACAACGGTCTTTCTACAAACAGGTGGATATGGAATCAAAAGAAAAATACAACCTATTCTAACTTTGGACATCCTCTATGTATAACGTCCTATGAAATATATGAAAAAATAAAATAAAATAAAATTCAATTTTATTTTATTATTTGTGTCAACGATCGAACGCTGTAGTCTTTCTCTCATCTTGGCTAGCTTAGAACTCTTCTGTTTTCCTCCATCGAATTATTTAATTAGAAGTTAACGATTATAATAAACAAAACTTAATTTTTTGATATGAAAATTTGTTAGAAAAGAAAAATTTTCAGTTATTTCAACAATAAAACGTAACAAAACAAAGTGCATTAATGTGTTATGTTATCAAATGATGGACGATTGACTATCTAATGATAATACATGTTTATTTGTTATTTGTTCTTCTTTTTTTTTGTGTGTTTCTATAGATTATGACCGTATTTATACAATAAAATTGATAATATTTTTCTTACAGATTCAACGGCGCAAAAACAAAACGATATTAACCACACGAGATTGATTTTCAGTTTTCTCCTGTCTTTAACTTGGCATTGATTCATATACCGTGACGCATATATATTTAAAAAAAAAGTCCATTTTTGTGACGATCCTTCAACTGAAACTATGACACTCCAACTCATTCCTAATGGTGATCTCGTTTTTAAAGGCCCATTTAATACTGTATCAATGACATCACTTAAATTGCAAAATAGTGGCAATGAACGACTTGCTTACAAAATAAAAACAACAGCACCAAAACGATATTGTGTGAAACCAAACAGTGGTTTCCTTGAGTCGCATGGTTCAGCAAGTATTCAAGGTAAAATGAGAATAATATGTTTTTTTTCCTGTTATTATTCCATTTTTTGTTGTGTTTACAGTTATGTTACAACCACAAGCAGCAGGTCAAGATGATGATCGTACGAAACATAAATTTATGGTGCAATGGGCTGATGTACCAAGTACTTATTCGGAAGACGTCGAAAACTTTGTAAGAGTAACAATTCATTTAGTTTTTGAACGCAAAATTGAAAATTTTCATTTAGTGGAAACAAGACTTGTCAAAATGTAATGTACACGATTCTAAATTGAAATGTATCTTTGCAGAAGAGCCAGCAGCTGCTGTTGTACCAAACGATTCATTTGGATCGAAGGATTCCGATACAGTAAATTCACACATGGATATTTTAGATAATTATCAATATTAATTTAATTATTTTTAGATATCTACACGTACTGTAAGTAAAATATCATTTCTTTTGCTTGCTATATGTAAATAGTGATAAAACTATTTGATTATTTTGAATATATGAGAATTAAAATTTAACTGCATGCATTGCTTGCTCTTGTTTTCAATACCGTTCGCGTTTAGACTCAATCAACAAATGCTAGCGAACCTCGTAACCAACAACAAACTAATAAAACTGAACTAATAACATCTACTAATTTGAATCAACGATCAATGATGAATGCTTCACGAAATACAAATCCGATTCAAACTCAAACTCAAGATTGTCAGCAGGTTTCTATTCTAGATTTATTCTCTCAGAATGTATCAATACACTGAACTTTCATTGGTCTAAATATAATTTGGTTGAGTCTTTTTTGCTCAGCTATTTGCTATGTTCAGTTTTTTTGGAGCTTATTTTATAGGCATTTCACATTAGAGCTTTCTCACGCTTTGAAGATGACTTATCTATAGAAGTACATATTACTATATTTTTTCTTTTTCTTAAAGGATCTTGGCGACGATTCAAATAAAGCACGCCTCAAACAAGAAGTTGATCGTTTGAAAGACGAAAATGAAAGCTTAAAAGTATGCATCGTATAGCCATTTTTTTCTTTTTCTGCCATTGAAATTCAAATGCTATCATTTGACTTCTCTCCAGTTTTTGCGGAAGTTTTATTTTGTATGTTTAAAATGTGAGAGAAATTAAAAGTTTTGAGTGTAAGAATCTACCTATTCTATCTGACATAAAATTCGACAACTGAATGAGAATTTTGATGTTAAAATTTAATTGTTCACACGGAATAAATCTCTTAAAAGATGATAAAATTTCATTATGATCATTTTTATATCAACTATGAAGCATATTATTTATAATAATTCAATAGAAATTCTTTATTTTTTTTCTCGTTCGTTCATTCGATTGTATATTTTATATTTACTTATTGATTTATTTTTAGGAACAACTTAAAAAACAAGAACTACGCCAGAGAGCTCCAGGTAGTGATCGTGTCGATAATCCAGTCGTCGATCGATTTAAAACCCGTCAACAACAAAAAGGTCCCGTTCTTTTTGGTGTTGCTGTTACTGAACAACTTGTTCTTGTGGCTTTTGTTATTGCATTACTATTTGGATTTTCACTCGGTTATTTTCTTTTTTCCTGTGGCAACTAGAAGAAGTAAAGAGCATAAAATTTAAGCTAACAAAATAAAATCTAGATATAAATAAATAAATAAATAAATATATATATACATACATACATATAATACACACATATTCATGTTCAATAACTTCGTTTTTATTTTATTTTTCTTGTGTGTGTTTTATTTGGATGAGTACATTTATTGTAGCAAAAAAGACTTTAGAAACTTTAATTCCTTGGGCTCTAACAGAAATACATTTTACAGATAGGTTAACCAATCTTTATTATACGTTCTAAAGAAATCAACTTCATCTTTTTCCTTTTTATCCTAAGTTCGTTTCTTTTTTTCTGTTTCCGGTGTGTGAAAATGTTACAGGATCTTGACGCTTTTTTTAGATTTGTGTGCTATTGTAACAACTTTGGCGTTGCTGTTTATTTGGTTGGATGTTAGTTTCTTTCGTTTGTTTTCTTTTTGTTCTTGTTCGTTACGTCTCGCTTTTTCCTTGCTAAAAATGTAATCAGCGTGTACTGTGTGTACATGATTTGGTTATTGGAAAAAAGTCATCGGAAAAAATTCGAAGATGAATAGATCTTTTCAATCATCTAACAGGTTTTTGTGAACTTTTGTTTTTCACGAACCTTTCGTTTATTGATACTTCTGATTTCCTCTATTTGTATATTCATATTTAAGAGAGCGAGAGAGAGAGAGAGACACTAAAAACAAATTTGTCTCGTTAATCGGTTTAGCAATTCAATGAATACACACATACACAAGCATGACTTTTTTCGTTCTCATTCAAGCATTATCAGTTTTTTTTTCAAATGTTGTTCATGGTTTTCTCTTTCTAATCGTTCGTTTCTGTATGTCGTTCACTTTTTCTTTTTTGAAATAAGTAAAGAGATAAAATCATAGCAACAACCTGAAAACATTTATGCAGTCATTAAACTTGCTGTCTTTTGTTTGAAGATTCTTATTTTTATTTTTTTTCCAAAAAAGAAAAGAACAAACAGAAAAATGCCCAGTGAAATTATTACTCTACAACTTGGCCAATGTGGTAATCAAAGTAAGTGAAATTCAAGTCATGGTTGATTATCAGAAAAAGAAATAAATGGTTCGCTATCGATCATGATAGAAATGAATAGTTGTATGCATGACAATTTATTATTATGACTAGCTAAAGAAATCATTTTCTATACAATACTGAAGTCATGATGATAAGTATGAGTTTTATTTTTAGAAACAAAAAAAAAACGCCTACAGATTTAAAACAATAAAAAGTATATATGTAATTAAAATAAGTCATTATCAATTCGACTAGAACGTGCAATAGCTGAGTTATATTTTCAAGTGATAATTTTCTTTTGATTATTGAAAATTACTTTTCTCGTTAACTAAAGCATTCAATTTTCTCTAGTTTTCACCGAGCAATTAGAATGATTCTGTTGATGTATAATTGAAGGTTTCTTTACTATGTGACTGTAAATTTCATCTATAATTTTAATCTACTGTCCCTAGCATTTAAATATACAGTAAAAAAATAAAAATAGAATGCGTGCGTGCGTGCGTGCTAGAAAAAATCTTGATCATGATATAAATAAAGATATATTGTCTTTAGTTGGTATGGAATTTTGGAGACAATTATGTGCTGAACATGGTATTAGTCCTGAAGGCAAATTAGAACCATTCGCAACGGAAGGTTCCGATCGAAAAGATGTCTTTTTTTATCAAGTTTGTTTTCATTTTGGATTACTAAATCAAATGCAATCTAAGATGAATTCTATGTTATTTTAAATAGGCAGATGATCAACACTATATTCCACGTGCAGTTTTACTCGATCTTGAACCTCGTGTCATCGATGGTATTTTGAAATCGCCATATAAACATTTATATAATCCGGAAAATGTTTATATTTCAAAGGATGGAGGTGGTGCAGGTAAGTGTTTTGTACTGATTAATATTATTCTTTGTTAAAAATTTATTTTATTGTTAGGTAATAATTGGGCACAGGGTTTCTATCAAGGTGAAAAATTGTACGAAGAAATTTTTGATATTATTGACCGAGAAGCAGATAATGGTGATTCTGTTGAGGTAAATATTTGTTTAGTGAAATTGATTCATCCATTTTTTTCTAAATTTTTTCTCAAAGGGTTTTGTTCTTTGTCATTCCATTGCTGGTGGTACAGGTTCCGGTATGGGTAGTAATATTCTTGAAAAACTTAATGATCGGTAAGAATAATATATTTTGAATGATGAAAACTTAATTGTTATCAATAGATTTCCCAAGAAATTAATTCAAACTTATTCTGTCTTTCCTATGACAAACGAAGTGGTGAGTAAAATTATTTTTACAATTTACTTTTCAACGTCTTACTGCATACATATATATTTTCTTATTTTTAGGCAGATGTTGTTGTTCAGCCGTACAATTCAGTGTTAACACTTAAACGATTAACTGAGAATGCCGATTGTACAGTACGATATATCGATCACATTGTTCATAATTTTCCATGTGTCGTTTTATTTATTTTTCCTGTAATAAGGTCGTCCTAGATAACACAGCATTAAATCGTATTGCTACTGAACGTCTAAAAAAAGCTACACCAACACTTGCTGAACTGAATCAACTAGTTAGTTTCTAAAAAAAAAGCAACAATATTGATTCAATCTTATATTTGATTTAAAGGTATCAACAATTATGTCCGGTAGCACGTCAACACTTCGATATCCAGGTTATATGAATAATGATTTAATTAGTTTAATATCGTCTCTCATTCCAACACCTCGTTTACATTTTCTTATATCTGCTTATACACCATTAACATCCGATAATACAGTAGGAATAAGGAATAAAAATAAAAATTTATTCTTGAAAATTATAGGAATCTGAAGTACGTAAAACAACTGTTCTTGATGTAATGCGTCGTTTATTACAACCGAAAAATGTTATGGTCACAACAGCAGCACGTGATCGTAATGTGACACATTGTTATGTTTCAATATTAAATATAATTCAAGGTGACGTGGATCCATCAGAGGTAGATAGTTTCTAGATCTTCGCCTATCTTTGAATATGGATTTAGAAATTTGTGCTTGTTTGAAAATAGGTTCATAAAAGTCTTATGCGTATTCGTGAACGAAAATTAGCTGATTTTATACCATGGGGTCCGGCTTCAATTCAAGTGGCTCTTTCGAAAAAATCACCGTATGTTACAACGCAACATCGTGTTAGTGGACTTATGCTTGCTAATCATACAGGCATTTCATCAGTAGGTTTTAAAAAAAATTTCGAACCAAAAAGATTACGATTAAATTATTTTAGTTATTTGATCGCATCTGTGATCATTTTGATAAATTAATTAAGCGTGAGGCGTTCGTAGAGAATTTTCGTCGATTACCAATGTTTAAAGATAATCTTGATGAATTCAACGATTCCCGTGAAGTAATAAGAATGAAATTTGCTGTTGAGAAATGAAGACTAGACCATGCTCTTTTTAATAATTATAGGTTGTTCAGCAACTTATGGATGAATATCGAGCAGCAACTACAAAGGATTATGTTAACTTCGGTAATACACAAACAGGACAAGTAAGAAAAAAAACGACTTTTTGCTCTGATTGGTTTTGTTGAATGAATCTATTTAAAAATTTTATTTTAGACTGAGCAGGCATAGAAAATCGACATTATATGTAGAAACATTTTCGGCAATGATCTTAAAAAGTAGTCATGCACAAGTCAGATAAACAGAATGATGATATTTTTATTTCTTTGATAAATACCTTTTCCTATATAGCATGATTTATCTTAATATATAAATAAATGTTTGAATGGGTCTATGATATAATCTAATATTTAATTTTTCAATTTCAAAGTCTCAAAGACGAATAGTATAAATAATCAATCGGCATTTTAATTGTATAGAACTTTAATGATGCTCTATTTCTAGAGAAATATTATTAAAAATCATTTATACTATCTACGGTAATTTGTCAAAGCCTCTCGAATCATTGTTTATGAGGAATACGCTTGGCACTAAAACCTATGCGACGATATTTTTCTATGCACATCACAAAGTCACAATTCTAAAAAACATTTTTAATAAAATTCAGAAACATTTATTCATTGTTTCAGAGTTTTGCAAAGACTTGAATAATGTGCTGGGTGTGTCGTATGAGCAGGGGCGTAAATAGGGGGTGGGGGAGGGGTGTGTNTTGGCCACGATTTAGCCTCGTGTTTGTGAACGATGTAGGTCAAAATTTCGTAATATGTGACAAATGTCGAACAATTGTTACCTATAAAAGTTCAACTGGTACTGTTGGTTTAAAGAAGCATTTAGCATCATGTGACAAAATTACATTATCAAATACTACACAATCAACTATAACAACATATTATACTACTAGCAAATAGTGACCTGCGTAACCACTTTGCAGGTCTCTACTCAAATAGTATTACTATCATTGGACTCTATATGAAGTTCGAAATTTTGCTCGAAATTCAAAAATATGATCTTGTTTTTCATCATATAGATACTGTGCACTGATGTTGACCAGATATATGAAGTTCTGCACTATAAAAAAAAGGGGTTATGATACGTTGCACTTCATAAACGCTTTTTTCTGTTAAATACCCTATCAAAAACGTTTTTCCCGTTTATTATTCTGCGGATTTTTTTTACAGTGTAATTCAATATCAAATCAATTATCATCTCTTCGCTTGAGTTATCATAGATTATCTGGTCATTGCTAATTTGAATTTTTTAATAGCATCCTATTTTTAAAATAAGATCTGTCGTTGCTTTGTCAAATATTTTATTTTATGTCATGAACAAAAGTTTAACTTACAGTTATAAGAAATAAGAACAATTGATAAAGCTAATGCACATCAAACAAAGACACGAATTGAAAGGTTATATTCTCAAAAAAAAAAAAACAATAGATAAACTATATGGAGTGATGAGCATAGTGAGATAGATTGAGTTCAAAAAAATTGAATTCCAAAAAAACAAACCAACAAACAACAACAAAAATTC